GTGTAAATAAATAAGTCTTTATATTTTAAGTTCGATTGTTTAAGCACTTTGCTCGGTTAAGCGCGATGATTCTTGCCCAGAGGAAAACGGTCGCGCGGATCTCCTAACTGTTTCCTCAACTTCTGCTCTATATATCTAGAATGCCTCATCTTTTGGCTATGGAATATTGCCTTTGATAAACACAGCGCAGTGTACGTTCTGGAATCGGCTGCATTATAATTTACATTTCAAATATGGAATCTGCAATGTGAGCGTGGGAGGGCTAAAAACCAGTTATTAATAGTTATTGATGCTCTGATAAGCACTTCCGCAATCAGTATCATTGTTACAAATAGTATTGTATAATTCGTAGTATATATATACTAATATATATATACTAAATCAATCTTCGTAAACTTCAAAACGTGATTTAATAAATGAATTTCGTCTGTGTTAATTTAAACAGAAAAATAATATGTAAAGTCCATCGAGTACGCAACAAACTCTTCAGCTTTATATATTGTTTTGATATAAAACAAACGGGCAGGAGGCTCACCTAATATTAATTAGACATGGACACTCCCACAGCCAGAAGACACGCAAGTTCATTGCCGGCCATTAGTAATGTACGATGTTTTCTTGATTATAATAGTCACTAACAAATATTTTTATTTATATTGTTAATCTAATTAAAATTACTTGATGTTTTAATTTTTGTTAACAGTTTATTATTGTAAGACTTGAAAGACATCGTAAACCTCTTGTATATGTAACATAACTCTGGGTCTATGAAGGAAAGAATTGGTTATTATCTACATACATTTTCTATTAGTAGGTTTTTGAACGAGTCTCAGACACTGTGGTTAATTTTAAATATGGAATTCCCTATATACGTAGTTGGTCCCAAAGTTCTGTCACTAGCACATTATTTCTACATTTCGAGCAGGATTTTATAAAAAAATTATTGCATTCTATTTTGGAATATAATGTTTGATTATTGTTTTAAAACAAAAAACATAACTTTCCGTAATTTTTCACGATGGAGTGGACATTGAAAGTAAACCGAATAGTTGTTATTGCGTTGCACCGCTGTGGACACTCGCCGAGGGAAAAAAAAAAAAAAAACCCCCCCCCCCCCCCCCCCCCCACCCCCAACAAAAAAAAAAAAACCCCCCAAACCAACCCAAAAAAAAACCAGAAAAAAAAACCGGGGCCCCCCAAGGGCAACACACAAAAAAACCCCTGAAAAAAAAGCCGCCCCGCCCAAACCACAAACGTGTGGGATGGGGAGAAGGGCCCTCCGAACAGGCCCGCAGTGTGGGGCCCGGCCCTAATGCGCGTCTGGTGTACCGCAAGGATCTATTGGTCTTACCATTTGTAATTAAGAATCATAGTTGCTCAATAAAAATTTGAAAGTTATAACATTAGGTTTGTGGTTGCCGCGGCGGGGGGAAAAGGGCCAAAAAGGGAAAAAAAGATTGGTGGTTTTAAAATGGTAGACCCAATATAAATAAGTCGTATATTGAAAAAAAAAAAAAAAAAATTAAGGGTACGGAATTCGGGGACTTGGGTGTTATTATTGACAAAAATTAGTCTAAACAGTTTGAGGACTTAAAAAAACGGAACGATGTTTGGTTGTAGGCGACTGAAACAATTTTGTACAAAGCTCGTGGTGGGAGTCATGTGGGTTGGTAGTATTATATGGAATCCACTATATGCGTCCATTCGCAACGCGTTGAAAGCATACAAAGATCTACGCGACACCTATTTCATAGCAGGGATTTCACAGAAACCGTACCATCAGCGACTTAACAAGGGAGCTCTAGCGGAGTTACATTCTTGTATAAATCCTGTCAACACCATTTACAGAACAGTGACCTTTTACAAGGAAAAAAAAATTGGCGGCCCTTCCCTTCCCTTTTAAAATACAATATATTCAATCCATTGCCAAAACCAACCTAGGTGTTCAGGCACCTCTCGTTCGAATTCTTCGCGATTTCAACAAACTGAACACAGCGTATCCAGAGCTGGATTATTCGTAGTGGGCTGATCGGTTTTAAGAAACATTGTGGGGGGTGCCTTTTTAGAACCTAATTTCTTTTTTTTATATTTTTTTTTTTTCACATATTGTTGAAAATTTTATTTTATAAAAAATTATTTTTTTTTTGTGGGTGTTGTGGGGGGGGGTTTTTTTTTTTTTTTTTTTTTAATTTCTTTTGATTTTTTACTGAGAAACTTATGCTTTCATTAACTTCACACATTTTAATGGATTTTGTGAAATATTGTGGACTTATACTGTGTGTGATGTTGTGGGCTTTAAACTAAATAAATAAATAGTAAGAAATCCTGTCCGAAAACAGAAGTTGTGCTTTGCAGATGGGTGTCAGTAGGAAAACAGGAAAAAAGGTTTTAAATGAAGATCTTGGTCTACGAGCATACAAAAAAAGAGTGGGCACTTACTTAATGCTCGTCTAAAAGCAATAAGGCTTAAGAGATCGCGGGTGTTGTTTAAGCGGTACGCGAAAAACCGACACCGTGATATCCTCTTTACGGACGAAAAATTTTTCGATATTGAAGAGAAGTTCAATAAACAGAATTATACAGTGTACGCTAGGAGTTCTGAAGAAGCTGAAAATAAAGTTCCAAGGGTGCAACATGGACATCATCCATCATCAGTAATGGTTTGGTTCGGAGTGTCCTATTACGGGCTAACTGAGGTTAATTTTTTCGAAAAGGGGGTCAAAACCAGTGCTACAGTGTACCAAGAGACGGTTTTGTATCGCCTTGTCAAAGACATGTCCAGCACCCTATTTGCGGGACATCACTTCGTGTTCCAGCAGGACTCTGCGTCTGCATACAAAGCCAAGACCACTAAAGCCTGGTTTGAGCGTCAAAACATCGTCTTAATTAGACATGAGGATTGGCCTTCCTCCAGTCCGGACCTTAATCCTTTGGACCAGAATTTATGACAGGGCTTAGAGAGGAAGGTCTGTGATAAACCTCATGAAAATTTGGAGAATCTGAAGTCATCTTTAAAAAAACCAGTGACTGAAATCGACACGAATATGGTGCGTGCTGCGATAGACGACTGGCCGCGACGCTTAAGTGCCTGTATTAAAAATGAGGGAGGTTATTTCGAATATTTTTATGCTTTTTTTATTCCTTAATTAATGTACTAAGAATTGATATATCACTCATTACAAACTGATCAGTACTTTTGTTTTTATCATTATTTCCATTTATGACAGAACTTTGGGACCGACTACGTACAGCTGAAAGACGCCTATGATATATTATTATTTAATATTAACTGGAGTAATTTTTGCTTGATGAAATATAAGAGATAGCGGGGAAAGATTGGAATAGTAGCGACATACAAATGGAAGAATTTGGAGAAGAATTTTAATTTAATTACTTATATTAAATATAATAACATAAACTTAATGTAATCCTTATTTTATTTTTGCTTTCTATTAGTTATTGAAAACAAATTACATATAATAATAATAATATAGCCTTTATATTCCGAATCTCTGTGATCTGTGATCTTTAATATATTTCACTACAGTATATCTCGGAGCTCGGTGTGCCTCTTGGCAAAGGCCTCCTCTAACCATTTCCATTTATCCTTTGCGACTCTTCTTCAGTTGAAGCCTACTGTTAATTTGAGTTCGTCCTCCCATCTTTTGCGTTGTCGGTCTATTCTTCGTTTACTGTCTGTAGGGTACTATTGGAAACGAATTAGTAATATCTAGTTTCTGGCATATATCCAGATATTGTTGGAATGATGAGGTCGGCGGCGCCTTACCGCAAACGCCTCATGGTCAACCTAACTATCAAACTACAATATTACTTGACACCGTATCATCTCCATTGCCGGGTTATGCACTGGTTTTATTTAATGTTTTGAGGTAAAAACATTTTTTTTAACTTTACTGCGTAATCTATACTAATATTTCTAAAGAAATATTTGATTGTTTGTCTGAATTGAATAGGCTCCGAAACTACTGGAACAATTTTTTTTATAGTATATATATATATATATATGAGACGCCCAAAAACGGTAGTTATTACAGCCCATGGGTACCCATTTTAGTGGGTGCGTTGCCTTTGATTGAGGAATATAGGTACTGTTAGAAAATTTAAAAAAAAATCCCCATTTGGAAGAATTAATTTGTATAATTTACAAAAAGTGAGGTTTCTGTATGTAATTACAATAAAAATTTCTAAATCGCTGTAGAAACTATTGACAATAGAGGAAAGTGATGTACTACAGTTATATACGACTTCAATATCTACTAAGTCCGTGATATGTCTAACAAAAAATATTATTTTTGCATTAAAATATATTTACCAAGAAAAGCTTTAGGCTATAGACGGAATGCGGGTGAAACCGCAGAGCACAGCTAGTTATAGTTAATTAATGCGGGCATCAACCTTGCTGTATAACCTTCATTGATAACAGTATATTTGGGTCATCATTTTAGTTAATTGAAAAAAAAACACGAACGAAACACATAGACAGAACACAACATACAAAAGCATTTTCATCAATAAAACTCAAATTTAATATTTGTATTTCTTAATCCATTCTTTTCTCTTTTATTTTAATTGTATTATTTCTTTTCTCTAATAATGTTTTATTAATATAATTACATTATACATATAATTTGTATTTACAATTTTCTTAACCTACAAAGTAATAATAAAAATTATTAAAAGGAAAATTAAAACAAATCTAAAAAGTTTGGTCCCTGTGGCAGTGTAACTTTAAGGTTGGCAGCATTTCCTAGCTGTAATGCGATACTTATTCGTTGAGCGAGGAAATCACCAGCTCTGGGGGCATCGGTACTATCTACCAGGCGCCAACTTAAATCTTTAATAAGTGCCTGTTCACTTATAATTGTAATATTTATTAAGAAACTAGCTACCGCGAACTTCAACATATGAAACATGCTATGCATAGAGACTGTTTGCTTTTACAGAATAAAAATCTGCCCATTTTTTCAAATTTTCTCACTATGAAAACCTTCATCACAATTCAAGGTATAAATAAAATCAACATGCAATATACTAGATTAAGAAATACAAATATGCAATTTAATTTAATATATTTCTTTCTAATTATGACGAATACAACGGAATATTTTCTATAACACGTATGACAAATCTATTTTAATGCTACATAAATAGGTAACATTGTAATTCATGCGTGCTCCCGCGCCGGTCACAGCTGCCGTCGGTATTGTATCACGATGTGGCACGCTACACGCGCTTGCTAGGTCAGTCGGTATCTTTGGTACATTACGTAAAACTCACGTAATCGCATTAGTCCACATGTCTCCAATGATTTCGTTGACCTCGGCCCCACTCGATCCTTGCGTACACTGTTCCGCAAATGACGTTTAAACCTGTAAATATGTCAACTTTTTTGTATATATATTATTTTATTTATTTTTATACAACAGGAATAAGACGCCTAGAGAACTAAACCTATTGAGTTTAAAAACCTAGTGTAGTGAATATAAGTGCAAGTGCGGTATCTCGGACACGCGAACATTGTGTCAAAACATTATAGAACAATAAAACTGTCAATGAACATTACCTTAGTTTATGCTATTCACTAGTATTGTCAATATTATGTTGATAATTAAGTCAACAAAATATTACTTATTAGCCATAATTATTGTATAGGCTGGATTGTAATTCATGTAAAGTTGCAGTCTCTTTTGTGATCTTTATTGTAGGAAGAAAAAAATTGTATGTATTCCATATTTGGCTATGTGTTTAGTATACTTGTTTTTTGTTGTACATATGTTAGCTGTAGGTATAAATAAATAACTCTTACGTATATAGAAAAAGAATTAAAAAATAGAAAATTTAATAATATTACATTTGTATAGCGAACCCGATAGATTGTACATACAATTAGAAAAACAGTATCTAATTGTGAATCTAAGCCATTCTCGAATTTATTTGAACACAAAAAAAATCATCAAAATCAATTATAAACACGTAGATGATATAATTTTTATTTATCTATATTATCACGCCTCTTTCCCGAAGGAGTGGAGACTAGGATCTCCACTTGCTTACAATCCTGAGATACCTCTCTCGCTTAAAACATTCACCATACATGCTCGTCGGTACTTGTAACTTGTTTCTTCTCTAGTACCTCCTGGATTTGGTCCAGGAATGTACGACAAGGCCTACACAACTCGACATCACCATCCACGGTTGCCTTGTATGGGATATACACTTGTTAACCGCTACTCATGCATCCGTTCTACATGGTCAAACCATCTAAGCATTCCTTTACCTTCCTTGCTCACGTACCTCTATTACTTATCCTGTCACGCAATGTAACACCGTACATCTGAACGCTCTCATTTCCACGGCATTTCTACTCTCATTCTTTCTCTGCCACCCAACATTCACTACCGTTTTATTTATTTTTTATGTTTTACTTGGGAAAATGCATTGCGCATACCCTTCCGCAACTCGACTGCTTAGTGCGGGTTACATGGGACTCGTGGGGTTGTACCACTGAAACCCCAAGGCGCCACCAACACTCGCCTAGGCGGTGTGCAGTAATAGCAGAACCTTATCCGCTTCCCGATATGCGATGCGGCGGTTGCGTCCGCCTCTCCACGCCATTTGTTAGTTTGTGAAGATACTTGACACAGTATCCTTCACAGACCGGGCCATCCACTTTTAGAAATAGCTAGGGGAGATCGGGCTCAGTCTAGCAGAGGTGGATCACCATCCCTTCTTCAGCTTTCTCGATTGGGCACCTTCTAGGTGGCAAGGATTTAGTGAGCACGTCGCGCATTAACATTTATTACCGTATGTTAACATCGGGATAAGCACTCCCCGGTAAGGCCAGTCGAACCTCGTTTCAGATTTCTTGGCTTTACTTAATTACACACTAATGAATACAACGCTCCATTTACGTTATTCCCAACAATGTACAAAAAGAATCGATTGAATAACTTGATAATTCGACCTTTATCGTAAGCTATATTTATCGTGTGCTGGTTGTCCTGTATTCACTTTGCACTAGTAGATTTTATTTATGACAGTTAGTCATAAATAAAATCTACCGCCGCGAACTTTTTTTCGCCTTAATATGATTTGTACTAGCTAAGCTAATATGGAATATTTTGCTATTACCCCATAGAGACTGTTCGTTTTTCGGGAATAACAACCTAAAAAAAAAATTTGAAAATTCCTTAAAGTTTAGAAAACTACTCCAATTGGTCCAGCCGTCTATGAGTTTTGAGCTTAGCAACATATTTTGCGATTAATTTTTGTTTATATAGATTTTGAACTACGTTTACATAATATACATATATACATATATATAATATACATAATATACTTAGCCGATTTATGTAAAGACTAAAAGACAACCTTTTAGTCTATACATAAATCGGCTAAGCCCTTTAATGTCAAAAAATTGTTACACTATGGTTCACCTATTCGACCTCTTTTCTTGAAGGAAGTCGAAAAAACTAGCTGCTGTGGTCTCTGTCAGAATGACCAGCGCTGTGGAACATTCTGCTCCTCAGCATAATGCTGAGCCAGGGCCAATTACAACCACAGCACACACGCATTATACACTTGAAACGAAGCGAATGGGAAAAGGGATTTTTTTTTATATCTCATTATATTTTTATTATATTTTTTTCTTTGATTATTGTTATTTTGTGTGTTTATGTGTGTGTGTGTTATTGTTAGTAATAAATGTTATGTCTATGTCTAATTGGTTCGGAAATACTTCAATGATTTGGTTATTAATCCCCTTTGACACGTCACACATGTTAAAAGGCCGGAATCGCACGCGCGTGCCCACCGGTATCAAGAGTGTTCATGGGCGGCGATATCACATTACATCAGATGAGCGTCCTGCTTTATAAAAAAAATTAAACTAATTACAGAACTACATTAAAAATTTCATTGATTTAATCTACCTCAATAAAAAAAAATCTCAAAGTTAAAGGTAAAATAATTTAGAAAACGTTGCGTCTAAAATAGTTTTTTTTATTTCAGGTGTGCTGGACACAGGCACGCTAGTAAGGGGCTCGCGCATGCGCTGGTCATTAGCAGCACACGACATTTGCTTCACGAACGCGTTACACGCTGCATTTTTCGCGCTAGGAAAATGTGTACCCGTTGTACGCGGCGCTGGAGTGCACCAGCCTGCTATGGACTTCTGTGTTGAGCGGCTCTGCAGTGGTGATTGGGTCCATATATTCCCCGAAGGAAGGGTTAATGTAGAAAAAGAGCATATTCGTTTCAAATGGGGAGTTGGTCGACTCATAAGCGAGAGCGCCGCGCGTGGTCGCCCGCCGTTAGTTCTACCAGTCTGGCATGAAGGGATGGATCACGTACTTCCCAATACAGAGCCATATCGACTGCGTGCACGCAACCACGTCTATCTCTGCGTTGGTGAGCCCATTGCTCTCCATCCACTGCTTGACAGGTAAATCATGCCATCTTATTTATTATGAACTAAGGGTATAAGTACCTAAATTATACATTCGGTTTAATGGGTTCACGGTTCTAAATATTAACCGAATTGAATACATCGTCATATTAAATCGATCTGGAGCAATAAAAATATTTATCGTGTGATTTGTTACGCAGTTTTGCTACGGCACATTTTGAGAACTTTGTAATACATGTTTACGTAAAATACTTTAAGAAAACCTTTAAATTTCTGACGTAACTGGAAACTGGTTCCACACTCGAATTATGTCTTGGTTATAAATACATACTGTCCGTAAGGCGGGTAATAATACATAAATGTTTTCAGACTTAAAAGCACGAACGCGAGCGAGGAAGAAACACGGCGAGTAATAACAGAACGAATACAAGAGGAGTTGTGGCGTCTTCGCGACAAAGCGCATGCGCTCGTCAGACGAGCAACGGGTCGGTTATTAGAGGAGACAACCGCCATTCCCAATGGGAAACAACACAATACACCAACACCAGAACCCACGCCCAAGGAGTGTCTCGAAAAGGAGAAGGAACTGTAAGACCCTTCAAGGACCGCGCTGGACGCGGATTCACGGCATGCGCCAAGTAACATTGTCTTGCACAATCCTCGTAGTTAAGAGATAATTTTATACCCTCAAACCCAAAGACTACAGAGAATTGACTGAGTTCCTCTTGTGAGCCGAGTGAGATGAATTTTTGTATATAATTTCCAGTGTTTTATCGGAATAATCATATCAGTAAGCGTATGTACCGATGTTTTATAAACCTTTACACGGCAAAGTTTATATATAGGGTTAGAATATACAGTTGAAAAATTAATCGATTTTACCACAGACACAGCATTCTACGTGTTCCTAAACGTCAAGATCAGTTTTTGACTTGAACGCATAGATTTTCTATATTCGAATACTTATTGTAGCTTGATTGTGATTGGTCCAGAGCTGACCAATCACAGTCGCCCGCAATCTAACGATTCGTTTTTTAAACGTACATTCTAACGTGCGTTGCCTTTCTTTGGCCTGGGGCATTTCTTCTATAAGGCAACTGGATATAGAAAAATATTTTCGTCGTAAACATTTTGATAGCAAAAAGATCACTATTTCATTTCAATAAATGCGAACCGTAAAGGTAACATAACGATTTCCGTACTAATTATGTTTAATCTATTTTTGATGGTATATTTTAAAATTTAACCTTTTGAGCCTAGTGTTAAACTGTACTTGACAGTTCTCAGACTACGTTATAATAGTCTGAGAACTGACAAAAAATATTTTGAATTTTAATATATAAATGTTACCGTGCACAAAAACATAAATTTTATTTCGAAATAAATGATAGATTGTCAATTGTCGATACTCGCGTAAACAAAAAATCTTGTAAGGCAATAATTTTTATCGTGTTTCACAAAATTAGTAAATATCGTCCTTGCATGTGGTTTGCGGTTCTGACGTCATGGCGACGCGGGATTTCCAAGCAAAAACTAATTTATCCTATTCTTCTACTGAACAATTGGCCTAGTGACTTTATCCCCAGGTGTGAATCAATGTACTTTTAGTCTGTGTGGTAACACTCGCTCGTACGGTGAAGGAAAACATCGTGAGGCATTCCATAGTGTCAGGCACAGAAGGCTGATCACCTACTTGCTTATTAGTAATAACTAATCACGAAATAGATAAAGAAATCGGTCTTACTATCCCATATTTTAATACTTGAGTCCCGTCAATGTCACTCTGAAATGGAGTTTAGCTTTAAGATTTCTAGTATTATATTGGTGTTTTGTATGTGTGTGACACGGTGACGTCATTACTTAGACGTTGTAATGTGATTTTGGCAACTATTTTATAATAAATGTTTTAGATGTAGGATATATTTTTGTTGAAATTTTCCTTGTTCCAAATTATTTTTTACCGTGTTGATAGTTGTTAAACTTGATTGTAGAGGATGTTTTGGATGTTCTAACAATAATTACTTTACGTATTATAGAAGATTAAAATTGCTAGTTTCAAATCCACTTAACCATATTGTGTTAACTATTTAATATACATATCAACAGTCAGGACAGTTAACTTACCAAAATTGTGGTCATTACATAGCAATAATTAAGCCTCATTTATTCCTTGAAACACTCATCTGTACAAAAGATAACTGACACGCACTTAAAATTTTACACAAAATAATTATATAAAAATATTTTTTATTCATATATTTTTCATGCTAAAAAACAATCGATTAATTAAAAAAACCGATTTTATATGCAGAATGTCACATCTCTAATAACCAAATAACCAATAGAAAAGTAGATAATGTACGGGTTGCTTATGAATTTTAATACATTTCACAAAATTTTAAATAATCTCTAAAGTCCAAGTAAGACGCAACTCCGACAGCACTTGGAGGTGTTCCAATCAAGGTCCCCCGAGACAACTACAAAATCAGTATCATCAAATTCGTGCGACGTAATTCTAAATCCAATTCCCCTCCATCTCTCTCTATCTTGAGCATTTTTATGAGAGCAAGAGGGAAAACTGTCTTTCCTTTCCCTGGTGGCCCTTTCCACCTTGTCACCCTGTTTGCCCATAATAGACAAAAAACTAGATTCCATACAACTAGTAAGTAGTAACTAATAGATACAAATATTTATGAAATTCTATTTAGTAATTTTTCTGTATCCAATGGTGCAATTTAGTGAGCATTGATAAGGCAATTTTACGCCTGGGTTTTCCTCAGTAAATCTCCCGTAATAACATAAAGGGAAAGATTTGATCCTTCGGTTTGTTTTAGACTTTAAAAACCATGTGTGTCTGACAGAACTGACTGAAAGGCTCGTATAACTGATCAAATATATGCACAAATCTGGACTATATTCGAGTAATTTCAGTTCCAAAACATCCTGTATAAAAGATATCAGTAGAGCAAGACGCGAGCTTTCCCTAGTGGCCACTTGGGTAAGATTCAGAGTCTAGACTTAGCTAGGTATACTCATGTATGTCAAAATCCTATTTTTGACATAAGTCTACTCTCAATGTTACCCTTATATCCCGATGCTGTTTTTAGTATTTTTACACTATACCGTTAATATTATTTAAGATATTTGTAATAATCATGTTTCCAATCCTATGAAAAGTGTTAGCGCAATTTATTGTATAAAATGGTTGTGTATTTTTTTAATGAAGACATTCCTCGATGTTACCGTTGCAATAATCTTATTTTTAATTTAAATACTAAGAACTGCTTAAAATAAGAGAGATTTCTATTTACTTAAGCATCAAGATGCTAATTTTAAGTAAATTATATTAAATTAGAGATTTTGCTTGTCTTTTTAAGTGAAATTTGTTCGTGCCCTTGAAAAGCTATAAGTAGCAACACTGAAAATAATCTAAAAATCCTAAAATTCCTGTTATTTCACTCGATAGGGTCATTTGTAATGGCCAAATCTTTATAATTCAAAGTTCTAAGTAGTCCCTACTGGACATGAAAAAAATTCATTGTGTAAATAAGTTTTTGTGTGTCGTGCGATGCCATATGAGCCCTTGGACCTTTGTAAATAATGTGTGTGCTTTTATTAACTGTTGTGATTGCATTGTGTGTGATGAGTACCTATCAGAACAGCTTTTTGATTATTTATTTTAACTTAATCACGTATGTGAAGGCTGGATAAAATTAAGACGCTACATACCTATAGTTTAATTGTGATGGATTTTTAAAAGTTACTTTATTGTGAAATTGTTAGTGCCGTCAGTCAAAAACTATTTATTATGCCATAAATTCATGATTAACACAAAGTTAGTTCAATACATCTGCACAAATTTTGTATTGTAAGAATGTTCAGATATTGCCAGTTGATGTTACATAACCTTAAATTTAGATTCAGAGTCGAGACTTGGCGCTAAGTCTCTCATCTATTTTCAAAAGGTGTCAAATAAATTATCTGTAAAAATGTAGCTACGTATCTGAAGCGCTCAAGACGAGATTGTTGCTTGAGATACGAATTGGAATTAGAGTTTGACAAAGTATAAACGCTAACGTATAAAACGTCTGTGTTCAATTATGGACAATTCGACAAAACGAAATCTAAGTTTTAAGGTCACAACACACATATCAACTCGAAAACGGAACGTCACCGTATCGCCGTTCGCCTCGCTGTCAACCAGGCGTCAACCTAATGTATGCACGTAACCAAAGCTAGGCAACACCGCGCTTACGGCTAAAGATATTGGGTGCACAATATGAATAAAGCAAGGAGTGTCGCGGGAGGGGACAGGGTCAAGGGTGGACGAAGAGACGTGAGTTCGGGTACGGACAGACGTAAGCGCGGGGACAACGGGCCGCAAGCGCGAGGACGACGAGCCGTAAGCGCGGGAACTGCAAGTTGACCACGCACCGCATCGCAATTCGGAGGCGAGGCGATTACGTTACGATTCCGATTAGTGTGCGTTGCAGTAGGGAGTTTCATACAAACAATACTGAACGGCTCGAGGTGATACGGTGGCGATCCCTTTCCGAATTGATATGTGTGCTTTGACCTTTAATCTGTATTAACATGACGTTATGAAGTAAAACAACTTGTAATTAGTCAATTATCAAAAATCCTATACTATTTACTTTTAAATAAGTCACTTGATACAAAACGGTCACAGATTAGACCATGACAAAGACTAAGCGCCATTTTGTGGATACTCGCAATACTTAGATTTCGTATCAAGATTTACAGTTGTTTTGTACGTTATCGTTTAAAAGCAAGAGCCACTGATGTATTTCCCGTGATATATCGGTGGTTTACTCATCTCTGGAGCTGATATTTATTTTAATTTGAAGGGAAGGGGTAAGATTAAGGAATTTTGTCTTTGATGTTGTCCAAAGTGAGCGCTTTTTGAGGAACTATGTATATTATTTTCGGTAATAAATCGATGGATTTGTGAAATTTTCTTTATTTCCAATATCTCTACAGGGACAATAAAAAACAAATTACATCAACAAGTTTAATAATTATGAATAAAATGCATTAATTCACAAGATAACTTACTTCTCTGTCGACACACATTCCAAAATTCACAATCTACATAAAAATATAAAATTATTATTCATCTGAAATATCACAGGGCCCACTTTTATTTCATTGTAACGCACCTCTAATTAAATTAAATTTCATATCAAAATTAGATATTTCGAGAATCTGCAGTTATATACACAAAAAGACGAATAAAATGACACCTACTTAACACCGACTAGTTCCTGTTCATAAATATTAAGTATAAATGGCGTGTTTACGTCGAAAAATCGTCGTCATTTCGCTGTAAGACCAGGAAACTAGCTGGTATAAGTATAAAGAAATTAAAATAAATGCTTCGAAATAACCTTTCACAATTAAATGCCATAGTCTCAGTTTATTCGCCCGTATTATGTAATTCCGTAAATTAATTTATTTTTAATCTCTTAATACAGCGTTCAGATTTGATTTATATTAATTACAGGGGTCGACTTTAGTGAGCGCCGAATCTGAACGAGAAGTGAATCAATGCAGCGGCAGTAGAGAAGCGGCACCGAACGGCGGTCGGTATTCGATGTTCATCTCCTTAAAAATTTGCTGCGGAGGGGCAATATTGGCGAGGAAGACGCGGCCAAGCGAGGGGTCCAACGGGGTTGGCAGTCCGCCTACGACTGCGGCGCGAGTGGGCGTGTCCGGCCAACCACCGGCCGGGGGCTCCAACGCTAGCACGGCGGCTCTCTGCGCGCGGACCCACCCCAATACCTCTGAATGCCCTGCGCGGCCAGCATCCGCCAAAGGATCGTATAGCGCCAGTACCACCAGATCGGCCACCGGGGCGCCACCCATGCCCCACGCGGCTGCCCCGCCCGCCGCGGCGAACGCTGTCAGCTCTCGTTGGAGCAACGCACACGACTCGGCGCCCTCGCCACTTAAGGCGACATGGGCGCGGACACCGTGCGAAAGTAATAACCGCGCAGTCAACACGCCGGCTGCCCCACCCAGGTGGGTACCGGCCGCCACCACAACGACGGGTACTTGATGGGCGTTCCGTGCCTCGAGACGCCTTCCACCACCACACAAACGCAACGCGAAGTCGGCCACCGCCCGCGATACGAGCAGCAACGCGCTATCAAGCAAGCGCAGACGGAGGAGACTCTCCCAAAGCATCTGTCGGGCGCGCGGCGTGGCTGCAGGTATAGTTCGACCGTCATCTGTGGTGTAGTCATGGGAAGCTTGAAGATGCGCCGGCAAACGCAAGGCCGGTCGAGCGGCGGGCGGAGCTGGCAGCACGCTCTCGTCGTGTCTCATGGCCGCGTCAGCAACTACGTCGGGACGGGCAGCGCCTCCCGCTCCGCCTCGGACTTCCCAACTCACCGCCTGTAACGTAATTCGCGACGCAAACATTAATAAAACTTAGTCTATAAGCATTAAATGTATAGTCATAAGAAACTGGAATCTTCACTATTTTTGGAGATCAATTCAGTATATTAAAGTAAAACTGTAATCTATATAAGATCAAAAATATGAAAAAGAAAGAACCTGCTTGTCAAACAGTGCAAGGTTGCCCTCGAAGTCAAAATCATCTTCAAAGGCTGGGTCAGCTGCATCCCCGAAACATGCCTCATTACGACGTCTAGCCCGTTCTGTGCCACCTCCCATACTTCCCCCACTTCCACCCCCACCACGTGCCTTTGGAGTTGAACTCAAATTATAACTACCTGTACATATAGATATCCATATAAGTTGTATAAAAGATTCATAGTTTTAATTCCAAGGTAAATATTTCTTACCAGCATTTGTATTATTCTTGTTTCTATTAGGTTGAATATCTATAGGTTTGCTACGTGCTGGTGTGGTTCCACCCCGATTGGCAGTTGTTTTATTGGAGGCATTGTTGTTTTGTTGGATCCCTGTAAAGCAAAAAATGTAAACCATATAAACCACAGTTTAAAATATATAGTTTCTAGTTTATTTCTTTTAAAGACTACTAAAAACTACACAGTAGAATAAAGACAGATCATGACTTGATGTATAGGCTTATAAGGAATATGTATTAGAATAGAAAATTAATTATTAAATTGGTTAATAATCTTAAAAATATAGAAAATTGACACTAATATTTTTAAAATTATTAATAATATCTCATCATATCACAATATTCTAGAATTTGAATAGAATAATTTATTTAATAAGATTAATTACATTTAAATTTACAAATAATATTAAACATGTCAAAAACATACTACCTTTTACTTAAAGTCTTTAACATATCGACGTAGGAAAGCACATTTGCTGTAAGTAGACATATTGCAATTGTTCACCAGAGCCAAAAAACTTTATTAATTTCGGAAAAAAATTAATAGTGTCTGACCTATCCATGATATTGCTACCATTTTTGAAACATATATTTATTTAACTGCCAGTCACCATTTGCAATGTAAACTTTTTATCCAAAGTTACTATAAGTACGTGTTTGGCTAGTTACAGCAAACAGTTTTTTAAATCACAAACCTTTAAAACGCTGTAACTAAGGAAGAAAAATGTACGCGCGGAAATATTATCAATTTACAGGCGGTAAATATGCTGTATGCAGGAAATTTATGTATTTGGGTACTTTTAATTGCAATTCAAGATGTAAGATTAGTTTATAATTATGATTAGATCTAGAAATGCAGTGGGTCATTTGGTAATGTAATGTTTGGTTGAAATAAAATGTCGTAAATGGTAAAAAAAAAACAAAACTGTAGGTTCCCTAAACTTGCTGTAAGTAAACGAATGTAAAAATCACACGCCGCTGAAATGCTGTAAGTAGCGTTAAGTTTTTAAATGGGAAGAAGTAAGTATTTGTAAAGAAAAAAATGCAGATTTTCTTTTGCTGTAAGTGCGAAATGTCTGAAATGACTAGATTTTGGTCTACATACAGCATTTAATCTTGCTAAAAATAATATAAGTACGGGCGTTTTCAACGGCGTATGTAATTTTTTTCATCGTAGAGACACAGGACCCAGGTCATTCGATGCGGCTTTTTTTTCTGATTCTAATGGCAGGAAAAAGTCACTTTAGGTATTTTGTCTACTTACAGCAAATATGCTTTCCTACGTCGATATGGTAACTTTCTTTCACACTAAGTCAGTGTAAGTAAAACTCACACTAATTGAATGAAAAGCCATGGTCTCAGTTTATTTGCCAAAAATCAATTTATCTAATTAATTCAATCAATTTATTAAAACTACACATTTTTATATAAAAAAATTAAATAAGTCATTACAGACCCGTATTAGAAGAGTTTGCCTGTAAATTCTCACAGACAGTAGCTCTAGGGCCTTTCTTATTGGCCTTAGTGACTCTAACAGTACTATGGCTTAATTCTTGTGGCTCTACCTTTGCCTCTTCTATAATTTTTAAATCTTTTATATCAGCAGCTCTGAAACAAATAATGAGTATAAAAGAAAAGACAGATGTCAAAATAATGTTCCTAAAAACAAACATAATAGCAGAAGCAAAATCTTTTCTTTGTCTAATCTTACTTGAGTGTTACTTGTGATTTCGGGTATGGGAAACCATTCCTAAAGGCCTTTGTAAGCGTGATTGTATTTGCATCCGCTTTCAGGATTGTGCCCTGATAATAACCAAGAGGCTCGCCACAATTTACCGACACTGCACAACCAATCCATTTCGACATCGTTCAAAGTTAACATATATTTATGTAAAAGTTCCACTTAAACTGCAAATTAATTCTATAATTTCTTTACAAAATACTATTTTAAAAATATTTCTCAATAGTGTTAAGTGTCTTGATTAAAAAAGGTTTTGAAGTTTTGTTCACTTCACAACACAAGTTTCTCCGTTCATTTGACGTCAACGTCAGATGTCATGACTATGACGCTGCCAGTGACCAGTCGTATCAGCTTAAATTAAACCGCTGTCTTTCTAAAATATTCATAATAATAGCTCGGATTACTAAATTTGCAATTACTAAAGCAGCAAGGGGACCGTTACGAAAATAGTTTATGTTAAGTTTTCTATTTTAGTGGGGGAGCATGGGGCTCCCCTACAGTCGTGGAAATTGTCAGTGTAAATTATTTTGACTACGACTTGACAGCTTGATTTTGCTTTCCTAGATCTGTTTGACGACTAGTACCTGACATAACACTTTGGAGTAAGGTTTAGTGAGGAGAGGGCTATTTTTGGTACCAATAATTAATTTTTAAATATAATTTCTTCGAATTTAAATATTTATTACTAAGTTGGTTTCCGTATGGTGCTTACTAGTAAGTCGATCTATACTCAAGATTTAGGGAGGAATAAAAAAAAAACATACAAGGTAAGTAAATTATTATCAAATCTTAAGAATTAAATGTGTGAAAATTGTCTGCTTCAAATTAGCACAATTAAGACTGCTTTGAATTTTTTGCCTTGATTAAAAATATATTTCTGTTTTAAATCTGTACCTTTTACTTATTTTTCTTGGTTAATTTTGTTAAATTCCATTAAATATTTTTTATTTTTTTATTGAAAGAAAAAATTATACCAAGCTATTTGTAACTAAAACAATTTAAATGTTTATATCTTATGTGTGTTTTCAAAGCATGATATACATGAATGTAATGTTATATAGATGGATGCAGAAGTTGTTAAAGAGAATGTATGGCAAGCTGGCAGTGTGAAAACAAGATGGGTTGTGCTGGCAGCACTATGTTCCTGTGTCGCAGTATTGGTAGCTGCAGTGTGTGATCAATCCCTACCTACACCACTCGACCGGTCTGCACCAAAAGACCGCTTCATAGCAGAGATTGCATATGAGCATCTGGTCAATCTCACATCCATTGGACCAAGGGTAGATATTAAAATAATAATGCAAGAAAACATGCAGATTTTTTATTGCTATGTTTTAACAATGTTTATTTATCAATAAATATAAAAAAATCCTTTACAGTTCAGTTGTACCAAGATTATATTATCAGTGAAGCAAAAAAAAAAGAAAGTTACTTATAACTGGATAGTTAATCTCATATGGCTTTGGTATATCCACTATGGCTTAGTTGTTATTGGGGCATCTGATTTATATACCCTGTGTAGATAGATCAAATGCCTGGGTTTGATAGCTGGTGGAATAATATAATTTGTTTCATATTGTGTAGTTCTCAGTAGAATTCCAGTTTCATTACATCACATCTGCATATAATACGCAATGATAGACTTAAAAGGCTCAGAGAATTAACTGGTCTGTTATTTGCAGGTAGCAGGCAGTTATGAGAATGAGGTGGCAGCTGTTAAAGTGCTGGTCAATGCTGCTCGTGGGATTCAGGCTGCTGCATCAGCACATAATCGAGTCGAGTTTGATGTATTCAGGGCTAGTGGTGCCTTTTCACTTACATTCATTGATGGTAAAGTATTTCTTACTTCTCAGTGTTTATAAAGCTTACAATACACATACAGTCACAGCGATAAAACTACAAAAATAAACATAAAAAAACGCGTGTGCACGAAACAAGTATGCACAGAGGAACATAACAACTCAGAAAATAAACATTACTTGACAAATATAAAACTAACACAAAGATCGGAATAATTGTCATTAATAAAATACATATTAATAACGATATTATTGAATCCGAAACAATGGCAGCAGATTTTGTTATTTATTTGATATATGTATAGAATGGAGTTTTATTTATGAATAAAACAATAATTACTATACAAATATGATATTCCTATTGTTAGGTGTCATTTAAGTGTTTAAAGACTGAGCTTGATATTTAAAACATCAAATGAAACGAAATACAATTAACAGGTATGAGCAACATATACCGGGACGTCCAAAGCGTGGTGATCCGCGTACGAGGGGCCGGGGGCGAAAGCCGATCCACCCGTCGGAGCGCCCTGTTGCTCAATTGTCACTATGACACAGTACCTGATAGTCCAGGTAAGTTTTAAACTTACCTTTTGAGTTCTATAGTATTTTTTAAATGTGTTTAATTAGTATCAGAATTTTGACAAACTTTCGGGATTCAGTTTGCCTTGATAATAAGTATTGTTTGATTTTATCTCATAAAATATATTCATATATAACATATATAATCGTTACTTATTGAGTATTTAAACTTAAAAGGGTAAGAGATATTAAATTAAAATTAAGATTTAATAATGATTAAATACGATAAAACTCGTCAGAGAACTACGAAATTATTTAGAATATTTTTCAGGTAAATTATTTTTTTTATTGCATCTATATTCGTTAATTATCGCTGTTCAAAGTTCAGGTGTAAAAAGTGTTTACTTAAATAACAACTATTTATAATACTTTATGAGCGTCAAAATGTCTGTATCAAATTCATTTAGATTTTTGAATAATAATTCCTTATGATTTTTTGCTTAACAAGGTGCAATGCCGGGGTTCGAACCCAATACCACAGGTCGTAGAATCGCAATCTTTTATTCGTTTATATTCATAAATCTAACCAAAAAAAACTTTTGTTATGTGTTTATTTATAAGACGCGGCTTAGCGTCGTTTATTTATTTATTAAAGTTTACCACATCAAACTCTTTTATCTAAAATATGTACATTATTAAATAAAAATACCAAAATTTTTTGTTAAGGGAGCGTTCAAATATTACGTAACGAATTGGGGGGGTCCCTTTGTAAAACGATAATCAGGGGGTCAATAATCTCCAAAAATTGCGTGACGAAATACTTGAACGCTCCCTTAAAGCACAAAAAAAGAAATTACCAGCAAAACATCGGATTAGGTTCGATATCAATGCTTTCTTTAAAACCGATCAGCCCACTACCGAATGTATCCAGCTCCGGATAAGTACTGTTGAATCCGTTAAAATCGCGAAGAATTCGAAAGAGAGGTGCCTGAACTCCTATGTTGGTTTTTGGAGAAGGAATTTGGTTTCTTAAACTGTTTGTAACGGATTATCTATTTACTTTTAATTAGCAACATTAATTCCCGATTAGTTAACGACTCATTTAGGCACAGCGTAATGTAACCTTTTCAAACTGCCAGCTTTAGAAATATGTTTAGTTCTTATAAGTTCACCAAAAATCTAAAAATCTTCTAACTGCTCCATAAAGCTAAATAGTTCGTTGAACGTGCTAATTTCAATTTCATTCATTTCGAACTACGGGATGTACTTGAATATTTTTTTGGAAATGTGGTGTTCAAACTCAAACTCAAAATAACTTTTAAATTCATATAAAAAATGTAAAAATCATTTAATCATATACAGGGGGGGGGGGAGAGGGGGGGGGAAAAGGAAAAAGGGGGGGGGGAAAAAAAAACCCCGGCCAAAAAAAAACCCGAAAATAATTAAAAAAAAAAAAAAAAAAAAAAAAAAAAAAAAAAAAAAAAAAAAAAAAAAAAAAAAAAAAAAAAAAAAAAAAAAAAAAAAAAAAAAAAAAAAAAAAAAAAAAAAAAAAAGGGGGGGGGGGGGGGGGGGGGGGGGGGGGGAAGGGGGGGGGGGAAAAAAAAAAAAAAAAAAAAAAAAAAAAAAAAAAAAAAAAAAAAAAACAAAAACAAACCCCACCCCCCCCCCCCCCCCCCCCCCGCCCGGGGGGGGGGGGGGCCCCCCCCCCCCCCCCCCCCCCCGGGGGGGGGGGGGGGGGGGGGGGCGCGCCCCCCCCCCCCCCCCCCCCCCCCAAAAAAAGCGAGGGGGGGGGGGGGGGGGGGGGGGGGGGGGGGAAAAAAAAAAAAAAAAAAAAAAAAAAAAAAAGGAAAAGGGGGGGGGGGGGGGGGGGGGGGGGAAAAAAAAAAAAGGGGGGGGGGGGGGGGGGGGGGGGGGGGGGGGGGGGGGGGGGGGGGGGGGGGGGGGGGGGGGGGGAAAAAAAAGGGGGGGGGGGCAACAAAAACGGGGGGGGGGGGGGGAAAAAAAAAAAAAAAAAAAAAAAAAAAACGGGGGGTTGATTTTAATGTAGGATTTAAATTTTTTTTTTGACAACGCTTGTATCTCGCAGGATTTTGTTGAAGTATAAATGAAACTATAGGTAACACAATGTACACTTATGACTTGTCAGTAAAGAAATACATATTAATGCTTCTAATTTTACATTTACTGCCAGTTCTCAAATCAAGACCGTAGAACGGGAGAGAAGAACTGGCAATAAACTCTCCGCCACTCTTTTTAATCGACATTTTTTTTCTTTTACAAAAAGTTTGTAAGGAGCTGCAACCATTACACCATGTCCCTTGTGACCTTTTAAGTAATTAATAATAATAACATAAATTAAAAACAAAGATTTGTCCTCTATCAGCAGGAGGCTTAGGTAAACAAGTAAACTTATGAACGTCAGAAATGTAAATATAAATTAATTTTATATTTACATTTAATACCAGTTCGCAAGTCAATAGCGTTGAGCGGACAAGAAACTCTCCGCCACTCTTTTTAATCGCTAAGTTTTGAGTCATACAAATTGTTTGAACTGGAGCAAATCAATCCCAAGGATTAGGATCATTTAAATATTCGTAAAATTTATAATAAGCTTCATTGATTAATTTACGTTTAACGAGACCTTTGAATTTATTTAGTGGTAATTCTCTAATTTCGCTTGGGAGTTTTTTGTAAAAACGAATACAATTTCCATGGAGTTGGAGTGTTGGGAGCGGATTCCCTGGACAGCTAAGGAAACAAACGTGTCTATACTAAGACGGTTACAGGTAAAAAAGGTCTTTGACACTTGGTTACCAACGCATCTTGATTTTTTTGGACATGTAAACTACGGAATGTGTTTGAATGTAACACGCAGAGATCCAGAAAGTCTAGAAAAATTCATCGTGAGTGGCAGAGTGGAGGTCACCAGACCCCGTGCCCGATCCCCTTTTCGCTGGACGGATCACGTAAAGACCCAGGCGCAGAGGCTTGCCACTAACAGGACCTTCAGAAATAGAGAGTGCGAATGAATAAGACTTCTTGTTAATTTTTAAAAAACCTCAGATAAGTGTATGGCGAACGTATACGCATATTAGATAATGATAAAAAGTATTTGCATACCTATAAAAATATGGCTTAAAGGCCATTAATAGTTAATCGTGTTATTGTAGCAATTATGCGCACGCGCCGTAACTAACTGCTCAATGGAAGTCATAATTCTCTCAACATGGTCAAATAAAATAGATTTTTATTTTTTATTCGTAGTAGTAAGAGGTGACTATAAAGGTATGTATATTTGAATGGCCATTTTTTTTCACTCATCAGCTTCGTTTTTTTGTGCCGGTATCTCCCCATTCTCCGGCCCGGCAAAACTGCATGTATACTTATTCATTCGTAATCCAACAGCTAACATCAATTACATACAACAAACACATTAAACTGAACATATAGCCAAAGGTGGAATAAAAAAGTTCAAATATTTACGAAATGATATACCTAGGAATTGTTTCTTGGTTATTTTTTTTTTTTTTTTTTTTTATAGAACGGGGGGCAAACGGGCAGGAGGCTCACCTGATGTTAAGTGATACCGCCGCCCATGGACACTCTCAATGCCAGAGGGCTCGCGAGTGCGTTGCCGGCCTTTTAAAAATTGGTTATCCGAACATAGTTGAAGAATTTTTCGGGATTCTATTTGAACATTTCAAATAGCGTATGTTTTATCTAAGTATCTCTCTTCGTATTGGATGAACCCAAAATTCGATTTGCCCGAGTTAGTATTTGCGTCTAAGATGTAATACTTTAACTTATAAAAACACATGCACATGCTTGACGACACGGGCATATACCGGCATCGATACGGGCTCAGTGGTAATACGGTGCCGGTTCGATGAGTGGAAAAATGGAAATTCGCTGCAAATTCTCTGTGCCTACAATCACGACGACGTCTTACCCTGAAACGCGCGAATTAAGTTATTCCAGCCATTGAGGATAAATATATTTGCGTGTTGTTCCCACGAAAATGTAAGTCCGTGCTCCTATTTCATGCCTCCTGCTGATAGAGGACAAATTTTTGTTTTTAATTTATTTTATTATTATTTATTACTTAAGATGTCATGTGGAACATGGTGTAATGGTTGCAGCTCCTTACGTTGTGTAAAACAAAAAACTTGGCGATTAAAAAGAGTGGCGGAGAGTTTATTGCCAGTTCCTCTCTTCCGTTCTACGCCCATGATTTGAGAACTGGCGATTTCACAAATTAGAAGTCAAACTCAAACTCAAACTCAAAATATCTTTATTCAAGTAGGTAACCAAGTACACTTTTGAATCGTCAAGTTAAATTAATCGTAAATTTACATTTACTACCAGTTGCAAGTCAAGGGGCGTAGAGCGGGTAAGAAGAACTGGCAAGAAACTTTCCGCCACTCTTTTTAATCGCCAAGTATTGTCATACAAATTGTTTGAACTGGAGCCATTCAATCCCAAGGATTAGGATCATTTAAGTAGTCCTCAAATTTATAAAAAGCTTTGTTGATTAATTTTCGTTTAACGAGGGCTTTGAATTTATTTAGTGATAATTCTCTAATTTCTAAAGTATTTCATATATATATTTTTTTTGCGTTCATAAGTGTACATTGTGTTACCTGTATGAGTAAATGATTTCAATTTTTTTGTTATCAACTTCAGAGGCTAGACTGCGGATCCTTTAGGATGGAGAAACAGTACAATCCTTCCTCCACAACAACTCGATCATCCATCAGTTTGGTCCACAAAAACTTCGAATTGCGGTTCCCTTTTGGTTTTTTTCGATAGGAAATTGATAAATGCAGAAAATGAGTCCAAGACCAGTTTTATCGTATTTATACTACCAAAATAATGATCAATTAACCTATTAAGGTCTGTAAGTATAAGTATGGAATCTTGCATGATATCGTGAATGACACGAATTCACAATTTATCAATCATTAGTAACGATAAAGTGACCCCAATCGAACCATTTACAGATTCCATTGATGATAAGGAATTCACTAACACTACTTGAATCGGAATTTAAAAGATATTTCTCTATTCATAGAAAATAATAATTTTATTCTCGTTCTAACTTGTCCTATATTAAGCACGCGTTTTGGCCAAAACTCACTGATATCCAGATTGAGCATTCTGTTAAACGAGCTAGGTCTGTATATCCATAGTCGCTCCCCTCACACTTTGAAATAGATTTTCCGATTTTTTTTTTTTAAGACAATTCACACCAATTGACCTAGTACCATGCTAAGCTGGTGAAGCTTGTGTTATGGGTACTAGGCAACGGATATACATACATATTATAGATAGATAGACATATTAATACATATTCGTCTCAGCCGGGCATCGAACCCGGGACCTATGGATTCGCAGTCAAGGGTACTAACCACTAGACCAATGAGTCGTCCATTATTTTTATCTCATGTTATGTTTTTTTAAGACTGTCTTGTACTGGATTCATACACAACTAACAATCACCCATGTGGACTCAGTTAACCTGAGTTTTATTTTAGGTAATCGAATAATGGAATCGTTGATTTTTTTTGTAACCCCGTAAATCATTTGGTTATTGATGGTTAATAAAGATTTCTTATTATAGTATAAAAGATTTTCTATGATAGACGTTCTATTTATTTATTATCACAGCACATAATATATAATGCATTATTAATAATCAATATAATAATATTATAATAATCAATACAATAAAATCTATCAATTCTAAGATACATGATAATTACTATGAACATAAATTTTATATAAAAACGTTCTTGAACTCTGGCCTCGGTAGTCGGGATATCATTTAGCACCTTAGCACAAAATTTATCAAAAACTCGTTTCATGACGTTATAGTGTTTTTATATCGCGGTTTTACTAGTTTCCTTGTATTTTCATGTAAAAATGCTCGCTAAAGTACATGTTTAACAATCCTTGCGCCATTAATTTTTATTAATTCGTAAATTTTATCAAGTACATCTACTGATCGGTAATATAATAGCTTTAAAACTACAAATAGGGTTTGTTTATAAAACTGACTATTAAATTGAAGCTTCTATAGTTTAGTAGCCGTACCCAGAGACACCCATTAAAATAAATCTTACACTAGCTTAACATCTAACAACTCGTGCAATTCAGTCATTTTAATGCTTGTTTAGTTAACTATTAATATATGAAAGGTCTTTTGTGGCTTCGTCTTCAATTAGGTCTGGGCCTCATTTCTGCATCTGTTTCATGATCATTTGTAAAGCTAATAGGCAACAAGGTGATCAACCCCCTGTGCCTGACACACGCCGTCGACTTTTTTGGGACTAAGGCAAGCCTTTATCTCACGTTTTCCTTCACCGTTCGAGCGAATTTTAAATGCGCACATAGAATGTAAGTCCATTGGTGCACAGCCGGGTTCGAACCTACGATCTCAAGGATGATAGTCGCACGCTGAAGGAACTAAGACGCCACTGCTCTCCAATAAAGACAAATAAAAAGCTACTAAACAATTACGGACTTTTCAATGTATGGAACAGTTTGACAAGTTTGAAAATTCATGAGCCAATAGGTAGTATGTATCGTTATAAATATGTTTACTTTATTCGATTGCAATGTGGTTCCAGGTGCCAGCGACGACGGCGCTGGATGCGCTGTAGTACTCGAAACACTTAGAGCCCTAGCCGCCTCACCACATCCGCTTCGCCATGACGTAGTCGGTCTACTCAACGGGGCTGAAGAAAATATAATGCAGGCATCCCACGCCTTTGTAACTACGCACCGGTGGGCGAAATCTTTGCGGGCCTTTATCAATATTGAAGCCTGTGGCGCGGGTGGTCGTGAAATTCTGTTCCAGGCGGGTCCGAATGACCCCTGGATGCTCGAGGTACTCCCCTGTACGTAATCACGCACGACGCATCTCACCTCACGTTTGCATGTTATCATTGTTTATCATATCTGTAATTCGTAGTAGCTTATTAGAACCCTGCTACGAGATTCTTTGAACGTATTTGATAGCCATTTTTTCTTTTTGATAACTTACCACTTGTATGAACAAGTGTTGGAAGCTGACTGCGACAGTCTTGCTAACAAAGCAATGCACTTACTGAATGCTGTCTCCGACACTATCGACATTTTTACATGTTAACTTTAGCGATATTGTGTATCTTATGTATTTAATATTAATTTTTTTTAAATTAAATTAAACTGCGTTGATAACAGTAAAATTAATGTTAAAACGATTAAATATATAAATATCTGATATTATTAATTAGTAACGAATTTCTTGGGTTAAATTTGAAGCAAAAATGCACTTTTTAACTGAAGCACTTATCAATTTGTCCGCGTACACTTACGCTTGATCGCTTTTGGTGTTTTCGTTTATATGTAGATATAATAACTTGCTTAACGCATATAACGGCTAATGTTATTTGCATATATATGCTAAAGTCAATGGCCATTAAAGTGGGGGGGAGACTGATAATGTATTTGTCTAAATGTATAAAATAGGGTGGCAGGGCTGGCATTAAGGATGATTCACGCTACGCCGTGTCTCGATCGGGCCGTGCCCCGGCCGGGGCACGGTCTAACATTAATGATATACTTTTGTATGAAGTAATTCATGCCTGACCGTGGCTCGGCCGTGCCCTTACCATGCGCCGCCGGGACTCGGCCGGGGCAAGGCGTTGTAATGTCGGTGGGTATTGTTTCCCGGCTCCGGCACGGTCCGGCCCCGACACGTCGTAACATGAACGTAGGCGCCCGGGCACCCGCAGAGCAGTCAACGTCAAATCTTAGTGAGGTCTGCAGCTCAACAGCAAAATGGACGATGAAAAATTATTAGAATGTGTACGCAAGTACCCTGTGATTTACGACATGAGCCATCCTAAGTATTTAGATATAATTTTTCAAGTAAATAAGTAAAGCATTCTTTAGACACTCTAAAATAACCATAAAACTTGCTCTCGTCGTCTATTAATTATTTGTAAAGCAAAGAAAATTCCCCTTCTGCTTCTCGCTTTCTCCAGGTTGGATGTACACCCCATCTTTTAGTACTTTCGCTTCGTTTTTCTAATACTTCGTCATCGATGGCAATTGCAATAGCCTGCCAATTCAAATTGTGAAAATTGCATAATTACTTAAGCGTCAAGTCTATCGACAGATGAAATCACTAGCTGACAAAAATAGATATAGTCGTGCAAACATGTACGTGAGTACACCCAAACAGCCCGGTGTAACATGAATCACTGTCCAGGCCGGCGCACGGTGGACGTGTCCCGGCCGAGTCCCGGCCCGGTCGCGACACGTTGTACCGTGGATCATCCTTAATGCCACGGGCCCACGACCCAAGAGGGCCCCTGCCCAAGAGATATTATGTTCTATGGATGAATGTGAAGTCTCCAATACGCATTGGACTAGCGTGGGGACTACAGACAATTCCCTCTCGTCTAAGAGAGGAGGCCTATGGCCATTAGTGGGACATACAACGTGTAATTGAGTACGCTGAAACTCTCGAAGTTTATTAAAATTAAACTGAGTACAACGTGACGATTTTTACTGATACGGATGGTCTTTAAGTAAATTGTTTATTTATTTATAGCCTTATATCAGAATACAAAATATATACATTATAACTGTTATTTTCCTTAATCTATGACAACTGATTCTGTGTGCCTACGGGCAAAGGCCTCCCCCATTGTCCTCCATTTTTCCTTATTGTAAACCAATCTCGTCCAGGTCTTAGTCTTTCCTGCCATTTCCACGATTTCATTTTTTGGATGTCCATTAAGAGTCCAACTTCTTTGCTAGCTGTATTCAGTTCTATGAGCATATTTTGTAATTCTTCTGCCGTATTTGCAAATACCACTATGTCGTCTGCGAATCTCAGATGGGTCAGTTTCTCGCCATTTATATTTAAGCCATAGTCTGTCCCATCTAGCTTTCGGAATATTTCCTCTAGAACAGCTGTAAACAGTTTGGGCGATAGTGGGTCGCCCTGTCGTATCCTCTAAGGATATTTATGTCGCAGCCTTCCTTTTCCATTTTGATCTTTCCTGTGGTACCTGTGTAGATGTTCTTAATTATCCTTATGTATTTGTAAATTGTTTAACGCATATTTATTATACAACACTTTCTGAACGGTTGCTGTAAAGCACGGCTGAAGTCAAAGGCGTCTCCAGGGAAGTAGGGAAGGACCCCTCCTTACTTCTCTGGAGTACAGTCTAGACCATGTTGAGCATTGGTTTATTTTTATTAGCACTTTGACTGATACTTTTACCATCTTTACCAACTTCATAGGCTGACGCCGCCCTTGGTTAAATTAACCTTTTATGTATGCATTATAGGTATACGCGGGCGCAGTACCGCACCCGTTTGCATCGTCTCTAGCCCAGGAGATGTTCGAGAGCGGACTCATCCCCGCTGATACTGATTTTCGAATCTTTCGAGACTTCGCTAACATTTCCGGTAAGCTGAATTTACATTTCAAAATCATTTATTCATATAGGTAACACAATGTACACTAAGGCTGCTGCCTGGAATTTTGCGGGCAGCGGGGCGGCAGCGGCGGCGGCGCGGGAGCGGCAGGATCTTATGCGTAACATCAAATGGACCGGTTCTCGAAAACAGCGACGTGGCAGCGGCGCGAGGGCGGGTAACGAGAGGTGAAATCGCCCGCTCCCGCGCCGCAGCCGCCGCCGCCCCGCTGCCCGCAAAATTCGAGGCAGCAGCCTTATGAACGTCGAAAAAGAAATGTATATGAAATCTTTACATTTACTGCCAGTTCTCAAATACACATAACATTTATTAAACAAAAACACAAATACACACACTATAACAATAATCAACAAAAAACATCTTAATATATATAAATTACGTGTCACGTTGTTTGTCCGCTATGGACTCCTAAATTACCGAACCGATTTCAATCAAATTTGCACACCGTGTGTAGTTTGATCTAACTTAAAAGATAGGATTGGCTTACTTAATTTATACCCGCAATATTATTTTATTGCAAAATATTTGTTTATTATTTGACAGTCATAAATCTAACAGATGGCGCTGTGTTGGAAGTACCAACGTTTCACATTAGTTACAATTTAATGGCATTACCACCAAAAAAGCATGGTGGTCCTCATGACTGGTGTTCTCCTACGTTTCCCTTGAATAGGTTACTACTATGTAATATAATTAGAACCTTAGCCACAGCAACGCTTGGCCGGTCATCTAGTATATATATATACTAGCCGTTTCGCGCCCGCTTTGTGGACGAATTAAAATAAATTTTATGTTTCATTATTTTATTTTTTTTCATATTTTTATTATTCTTCTTTTTAACTTCCCGCTGAAAATTGAAATATTTCGAAAATCGAGTTTTTAAAGATGTTGGTTTGAGGTTCTAGGAAGCCTCCCGGAATGTTTCCGCGGTGAAGTCCGTATGGATAAATTTTCATAAAAGTAAAACAGCAATAAAAAAATGAAGGAACGTTGGAATTTAATAAATAAATAGCCATAAACCATCGAATGGTGGTAGTTTCATGTCGATACGATCAGTGGTTTAGGTTAGGAGAAGGAGCCTCAAACGAAGACCATTTTTCTTTTATATATATAGATAATGAGTGATATAATTTATTTATATTTTCCTTTTCGGTTCGTTTCAAGTGTGTAATGCGTATGTGCTGTGGTTATAATTGGCCCTGGCTCAGCATTATGTTGAGGAGCAGCTTTTTACTAAAATTAGCATCTATATTATTATTTTTATTTGCAGGTGTGGATCTGGCATGGAATAGCAATGGATATGTGTACCATACGAGCCTTGATACGGCGGATAAAGTGCCACTCGCCACCTTACAGCGCACCGGCGACAACGTGCTTGCGCTCACGCATGGTACGTACAGTAGGGACGAACACATAATTATTATAAGTATTTATATAGTAAGTTAGTTATAAAACTGATATTTAAGCACAGTTAAAGAACACTATGAATAACAATTTTTTTTTATTGAGAAAACTTACATAATAAAAAAAATGCACAAACAAAAAAACATTGCTTCCGGTAAAAAAAATCTCAAATAGATTCGGTGACTTTATTTTAGAATCTAGATTATAATAACTTCGTGCTTTACTAATTATTTCGTGTAATGGCATAATAGAGAAGTGATGTTATTACATTCAATTTAATGGTTTTAAAATATTAATAACTACTTAATTGAAGACAACATCTGTATTTCCGAACCGATACGACTAAGGGACATCCGGAAAAACATACCATTCCTCGGTCGGCAACACACACGCAACCTGCCCCGCGCAGGTGTCTATGGTTGTTAGCACTTTATTGAAAGTGACTCGCCGACTAGTCTCCTGTTCTATAAAAAAACTGGAATTGCAATAAATGTCTGAGGACTTTAGACGTGCGTCCGATCTCTGTTCGTCGCATTTTTTGAAGTTTGAAGAAACTTCTTTAGGCGCCATGAGGGTAAAATTTATATATAATTACGGAACGTCACAAAGATGTGCAGCGTTTTTGTCGAAGAAAAGGGAGAGAGCTATTGAAAGAGAGTGAGAAGGGTGAATTACCTTATAGAAATTCTATTTATAAAATTAAAATTTCGTAAAGAATTTATGAAATGTTAGTATTTTATATTTTATGCAAAAGAATTTATTGAAATCTCAAATGACGTATTGTAAATTAAATGCCACGTGTTTTTATCGAAGAAATAAATAAAAAAAAATAATTTATTATCTGTATTAATTTTCGACACTTTTAATATTTTAATGACAATTAAATTCATTAAATTCCTAACATATCTTCCTTTTTCCCTCCCTCTAAGTGGCGGAAATCTAAAGTTTTAGATTTGTATAAATAATATGAACAATACTTAAAAATTAGTTTGCCAAAGAAGTTTCACTTTTGGCATGTGTACTTTGTACACACGCACTTTTTTATTTATAGATTTTGATTTGAATATTAATAATCTCCTGCAGGTCTGCTCAGTAACGAGCGATTGGAGGCCGCTGCCGAACGTACACGTGCACCAGTGTACTTTGACGTAGTGGGGCGCGTGGTAATACTTGCGCGGGCGCCTGCCGCCTTCGTAGCCACAATCTTAGCTTTGGCTACAGTTGTGCTTAAGCTATACTTAAGCGCCACTCAGGCTAAGCAGCTGTATATACCGAGAATGCGATGGATGCGGGTGGTCGGACGTGCGTTGTTGTCGGTGACGCTTGCGCAGTGTTGCGGCCTCGCTGCGTCTATTGCAGTTGCTCTGGTGTTACATGTCGGTGGAGCCCGATTGGCGTTTTATTCCCGGCCTTGGCTTTTGATACCGCTCTACTCTGTTCCAGGTATCGTATTCGAATAGTAATTCAGCTCTACCATAGTTTTTTGATTCGACTTATTACCTTTGAGCATAGATCGTACCAATTCTTAAAAGGCCGGCAACGCACTTGCGAATGTTGTGGTAATGTTAACGTCCATGGGTGGCGATGTCATTTAACATCAGATGAGCTTTCTGCTCAGAATTTTTTTACTGCCTAGCTTTTTTTATTTTGTTTTCTTTTATTAAGGCGTTTCTCTATGATTCGTTAGTCTATGGGGGAAAAATATATATTTTTATGAATGGACACATAAACCTATCGTCACTGTGAATAATGAGATGATTCACACAAGTTGCTATTACTTCACCTGCAAGTTTGTCTATAAATATTTAAAATTATATAGGTTGAACGCCCTAATCTTAGAACTGCAGGAGTATTTCCTGAAGGTAGGTCGGTCGCTACTAGAATTTTTTTTTCTGCTTAGCCATTTGGATAGCAAGACATATACTATATAAGGGTGTTTACAGCCGTGGTAGCGTCGTGGTGGGATGCCCGTCTGACGTGGGGCAAAGCGCAAAGGGGCGGGGGCGTGGCCACAATAGCGCGTGGGGAATGGACGCTACGGGCGTGGCATGACGCGCTATGCCTCGCAGCCGCTATCTTACTCGCAGCTGGAGCTTCTTTGTAAGTACATCATACATAATGCAATCCTATATATAAGCAACCAAAAAACGCACTTTCTTCGCCCAACATTTATTCTCCTTTCGAGTCTCTTTCATCTTTAACCACTACCTTCAAAACAAAATCACTAACATTTCAATACATACTCACATTACACATACAAAATAAATTTCAAACAATATCTTTTCAACCTCTCCTATGCTGATACAGAAAATATTCTTATGGTGCAGTAATAGTTTAAATATAAATTTGTGTTATGTAGAAATCATAAAGTTAGTAAATACCAGATATTATATAACATATACACTATATGTTAAAAGGAAGAGACTGGCTGCCCACAACACAGGGAATCCTAGTGTCGGGGCCAGTGCACTTTACTTTACCTAAATATCCTGTATATTGTGTATAATAAAGTATTTCTTTTCTTTCTTTTCAAGTATTTTATAGTTGAACAACATTGCTCCCTTCATACCTGCGGCTAGTGGTGCCTACATTTCCGTTTTATTTATCATTCCGAGGGAACCATTACGATATTCATTAAAGCTCACCGCATCATATATAATGCCATATCTATAGTATATGTTACAAGGTATCTTTTAACATATATGACAATTTGGTAAACATAAATGTTTCAAAAAACGTGGAACGTCTGCCCCACAGCATAATGCTGAGCCAGGGTCAGTTACAACCACAACACACACACATTACACACTAAAATGTATCTTAAACTATTTAATCTACATATTTTTAGAAGCTTTTAAAGAATGGAACTAATTTAATCATTACCTATATATAATGCTTATTCAAATCATAACATTTAAATATTACAGAGGACTGCGCAGCGCCTTCGTAGTATTTCTGTGGACGTTGCCAGCGGGCGCGGACGTCATTTGCGTACTCCTTGGCGTACAAGGAGCTCCGCGAGTGGTGTGTGGGGCGTTCGCCGCTGCATTACCCGCGCTACAGACCGCATACCTGGCCGTGGCGTCACTCAATATGTTTGTCCCGGTCATGGGACGCGCTGGGACTTCGCCTCTACCACCAGATGTAATTTTTTAACCTTTTGCTTACGCGAGTTCAAGAGTTTGTGCAGAGAAAGCGCGTCATTTTATTTCTTCACAAAAATTATATACAAAATTGTTCATATTACGTATTACTATAATGAAGTAAGAGTGTTGTCAACGTAACAAATTAATTTAACACCTCGAATCCTAAGACGCTTCTTTTTTTGCACAGACATTAAAAAAATGGATGAATTTTTTTAAATTTAAATCTGTATCTTTTTCATGTTCATTTGTCAATCTAATAAGCAAGTAGGTGATCAGCCTTCTGTGCCTGACGCACGCAGTTTTTTGAGTCTAAAGGTCGATTCACACATATCAGGAGCCCACAGTTCCGGCACAGTACCGCATAGTGATAATTATTCACACTTGTCAGTGTCAGTGTCGTCTCAGTACCGTCAGTGTCAGTGCCGGCACCGGCCATCACGGATGTGATCGGCGACAACGATATTTTATCACGGATCACTGACGCCGCGTTATTATTTGTTACATTTTATTTATTGCAGAAGAATATTGAAGAAGCTCTCTGTCATTTTAAAATATTTTCTTTAACTAATTCTTTGTATAATATGATGAATTCTCCTTCCGTCTCTCTTAATTGCCATGCTTCATGCACCCATTTTCTTTTTTTTCCTTGATGCTGTTCTTCTTCTTCGTCTAAAGCAACAGCTATCATTGCTAGCTCCGTAGTATTGAACAGAGCCATAATCACGTTACTTGACAACGCGACGGACACGTTTTCACTGAAGCTCCGTAAACTGAGTACTGACATGTGTGAATTGAATGACTGACGCAATACTGTATCACTGATACGGAACTGTAACGGTACTGTGCCGGAACTGTGGGTTCACTGATATGTGTGAATCGACCTTTAAAGTTGGTTCCCTCACGATGTTTTTCTCCACCATTCGAGTGAATCTTAAATGCGCACATAGCAAGGAAGTCCATAGGTGTACAGCCGGGAATCGAACTTACCTCAGGGATGAGAGTCGCACGCTGAAGCCAACTAGGCCGACACTGCTCTTCTATTCATTATTCAATTTTAGTTTAAGTATATTTTACGTATGCCAAATCACCGTGAAACTACTCATTTGCCCGTGCGCAATACATACAGTATTATTTTTGTCTGAATTGAACTATTAAAGTGATTGATTGCGCCCAATGAAAGTTAAATATTTGATAAATCTATTCAATCGGTGAAGTAATTGGCCTTCTGTGCCTACTTTTAAATGATAATAGTAGTGAGAAATTTTTCCTAGGTGATAATGGCAGTACTGGTTGGTGCGCTCACGCTGACGTTGTTCAGTTGGATGCTGCCGCTCGTAGTTGCTGCTAAACAGCCGCAAAAACTGGTAATTGTTAATATTATTAAACATTTATTATATATATCAGCGATAAAAAATTCCTAGTTAGTTAATCATCACTCATTAAAACAAAGTTGAAAAATGTAATACCAACAAATCATATCATACGCATATATTAACTAAAACTCTTTACACATATATATATATATATATATATAAAGTTGTATAAACACAATCACTAATAAAACAAGGGCCCAAATCAGCTTTAAGTCGTTGTCACCAGCAACACTGATTTTCAGTACAGTGGAGTGAGTATATACACTGAACAAAAGAAAAATTTTAACAATCAAAAACAATCGAAAGTGTTTATAGATAGAATGAAAAAATTTATTACAAACATTTTACACATTCTTAGTCCGGTCAATCTAGACCAAAAAATTAAAGTGAAGGTAAATATAATCCCAACAAGCTGAAAATCAGTAAAATTGGTCAAAACATAATTATAAATAATATTTCCTTATCATTCCCGTGTATGGAATTTTTTTTATTTAAGATCAAAGGTAAAAAAAATGAGTTTCTCGCTATTTTCAGTAAAACGGTAAGTTTTGGAACAATTTTACAGATTTTCAGCTTGTTGGGATTTTGTGCACCTTGGAATGTGTAAATTGACCGGACTAACTGTAGACATTTTAAATAACATTCATTTATAATTAAATAACACAGCTGAACATAACCCCTATTCCGATCTATTTCTGTCAAATTGTGTGTAGGCTGAAAAAGAGTTTTTTTATATTTTTATTATGTGTTTAACAGAGTAATATGATTTAAATTATGGTATATTACATTTGTGTTTCATATTTTTTTATATAATAGGAGGTAAACGGGCACTTAAGTGATACCGTCGCCCATGGACACTCACATTGCCAGAAGGCTCGCTAGTGCGTTGCCGGCGTTTTAAGAATTAGTATGCTCTTTTCTTGAAGGGCACTAAGTCGAATTGGTTCAGAAATACTTTAGTGGGCAGCTGGTTCCACATACTGGTGGTGCGCGGGAAAAACTGCCTTAAGAAATATTAATGTTACAATCGCAGTCTTGTTAGATAGCGATAACGTATATAAGGGGGTACCTAGGTAACAATGTTCAAATATTTAACTATGAAATAATCACATTTATTTATTACAATATTAATAAAACTTAAATTAATTGATTACAGATACGACTCGGCTGGGCGGTCACCTTATGCACGGTCGTACTTGTACTTTGTACTCCACTTGGATTTCCATACAGCGAGGCACGACCGCAACGCTTCATGGTGTTCCACACACGACGAACGGAACACTCACACACGCCCACAGACACATTATTGTATTGGCTTCCCGCGTTGGACGCGAACACGCCACAATCGGTATACGCGCACGTGCCCGAAGTGGCGTACGCGCCCGCCGCCTGTTCCGACAAACTCTACTGCGGGGCCCCGTACTACCTCCCCGTCATATCCCTGGTGGCTCGCGGCCATGAACTTCCCGCTCTGGAGGAACCGAAAACGTCACTCAACGCCAGTGCCGAAGTTATAGGCGAGGGACCGTCCCGCGATTTAAAACTTAAACTGCACGGCCCCAACCATATAGTCGTAATTTTATCGCCTGTCACCGGATTTATCTCGTGGTGTCAGACTGGAGAGTTTAGAATAATCCCCCAGCCAGGTCCCGAATGGAATAACAGGCAGACCTACTTCCTCTCCCTCCACGACGCTCTGAGTCCAGCCCCGTGGGAACTGTTATGTCGCATCGAGTCTCACGTTAACGGCTCGAAATGGGTAGATATATCTGTGGCGGGGCATAGTATGTCCGGTGAGTCGAAACATAGCGAAGCGCATGCGCAGTTGTTGTCGCGCTTTCCGAATTGGTCCGCTGTTACGGGTTGGGGAGTACATTTACATCTCTTTTCCCTATAGAAGTTAAGAGTGGAAGAGAGTGACATATCGCTAGTATTTACTTGTCTTGCCACGGATTGGACGTAACAAACAGTGTTAGGACTCGCGGTAAAATACTAAAGGGTCAAATTAGGTGCAAGCGTAGTGTTGAGGGGTAAGGCAGACATGGCGTTCTTAAATTATAGTTAAATGATTTTGTATCTGAGAAACTAAAAGTTGGTAGTCTAAACAGTAACATTGGATAAAATTTTGACCATCAATGAAATTGTATTGATAAAATTCTTTAGTCTGTAGGTCATAGTAATTTAACTATAAAGAAGAGAATACACTAGTTAGTCGAAGTTGACAGTAAACTCGAAAACAAAGTTCAAAAAGTTTTATCTGCTGCAATTTTTATTTAGTAATCTGTGAACAAAACTCAATGATGTGTGTCTAATATTTTTAAATAGTGGACTTACCGTGGTACTGGTACTTTTTCATAGATACGTTTAATTCTATAAAAAGTACAGTTGGCAAGAAAAGTGCCTTAGCAAATGATTTAAAACAAATAAGTGTCAAAACAGTAAGAAATTTTCCTCGTGTGTCAATTGTCACCTAAGAATGATGCGGATTAAACCGCGTTTAATAATGACAATTATATAATAATTAGTTCAAAATTAAGCTCAGTATGTGTGTGATAAGGTAGAAGATTATTAGAAAAGTGTAAATTTGATGCGTAATAGTGCAAATTTTCCCGCTAAATCTTGCACGACGACGTGTTTCTTTCGATACAGTTTCAATTTGTCAAATATGACAAGGTTTTAAAAACCATTTCAGATTTTTAACTAGCGACTATAAAAGCTATACAAATTGTTAGTTTTAATTCTGTTAAAAAAATTAAATTTAAACATTCATAATTTTAAGAACCCGCCAAAACGCGTCCGTCATCAAGATGGCGTCGCAACAGAATGGTACGTTATAACTCGTAAATACTTAAACGAACATCAAGTTTTCTACGTGTTCATTATTATTCTGCGCCACTTCATAACGCTTTTTAAAGCAAAGTTTTTAACAGAAAACTTTAACACTTTATTTTTATGCTATCTAATAGCTTACACATGATTGTGACGTTATTCGTGACTCTGAGTACTAAGGTAATACAAATTAGCAGTAATTTATTATTAAATGCGTGTCTTTTAAATTTGTTTATCTGACATTTGTGGTAGTATTTTAACAGACAAAACTTACAGCAATACAATCCCCATAGATATATCATAGTTATAGATTATCTTTAGCAAAATTACACCAATAATTTAAGTAGGTATTGAACATAGGCTGTGAACTAAGTAATAATAAGTAAGCTTATTATTTAATTTAAAAATCGGATTACCTTGCCAAAAGAATTAGACGCGTTCTTCGTTGTACTGTAGCCGTCCATTTTGTTATTGCAATTGTGTCGCACAACCTATTATGATTGAATTATTCAATATGAAGTTACAAAGAGAATTAGGGAGCGCTCAAGTATTACGTACCGGGTGGTACGTTCTTAAATTCGCGTTACATCACATTGTTGTATGCTCCTACGCATTTGTTTTTTTATCTCAAAATTTCAAAAAGAATGACCACATTTTCTTTATTGGTGGTCACGTAACGTTTAAGGGGGAGGGGAGTATAGAAAAACGTTACCGTGCGTTACAGGGGGGGGGCTCGAAAATATTCAAAAAGTGCGTTGCGTTTTACTTGTACGCTCCCTTTAATGTAATCGACCCTAAAATTGTTGCCAGATGAGTTTTCGTTTTTATCTGTGTTTTACTTCGAATATGCACAAATAATTAATATGCCTAAATGAATATTTAGATATTAATAGGATTTATTTTGTCGTGTTGGTATTTATTTTGCGTCAATGTTTTTATGACACTAGCAAATAGAGTAGCTTTAGTTATGTGAAAGATTTAAATTATTTCAGTAGGTGTTGTGTTAATCTATTTCAAATATACAAAAAATATTTCTAGTGTAGAAGAATGGAATGCTTGTTTTTACAATTGTCTTTTTCTTACTCTTGTTAATCAGAATCTAATGCAATGATTTGGTCAAAGCGCCGAGTCGTTGTTCAGATGCGCGACATCCAAAGTAGCCATGCTGATAACCAACCTTCGTAAGGAGATGGCATTATAGGATACTATTCATCACTGAGTTCGTAGGTTCGATCCCCTGTGCACCAATAGACTTTCTTTACATGTGCGCATTAAACATTCGCTCGAACAGTGAAGGAAAACATCGTGAGGAAACCGGCTTGCCTTAGACCCAAAAGTCGACGACGTGTGTAATACTATTAGATTGACAAATGATCTTGAAACAGATACAGAAACCTGAGACGTAAAAGGTAGCGCCACTGATTTATTTTATTTTTATTATACATTTGGTATTATCAGAAATCGCTACGTACGTGCATTTCATTGTTATGTATTGATAATAAATTGGAATTCTCTGGTTAGAATTACCTCTTCGTATTTTTGTGTCACCTACTTATAAATATTTAGTTTCTCAATTTATGTTGGTATTAAATTAATTTTAAAATCGGATGTTTTATTCAACCCTTATAATTTTCAAAGTATTATGATAATCAAAGTATCATAAACTTGTCAAAAAACTCTTAAAAATAATTACAAAACACAGTCAGTTAATTTCATATTTTGAATGATTCAATCATTCTTGATTGATTCTGGTGAATTCTCATCAAGAAAATTTGAATGAGTGATACTTACTTATAAATAAACTTGAATCTTCAGAACGTTTTATTCGACTTTATTCTTGTCACGTTATGATGATAAAAATGGTATTTATTCCCTTTTTAATCTGGTGTAATATGCAATAGATATTTATTTGTTTACAATTAAGTGATTTTTATCAAAGTACCAGAAAACCTTGTGCTATCCATTAATTTTTTAAATCACAGTAAAACCTCAATACGCTTCACAAATAGGTTATACTCCAGCAAAGTCCAGAAAACTATTAGCTGCGACTTGCGAGAGTAAGCGGCTAATGGAGGCGGTTTTATTTTCGGCATCGGTGATAATTCAACAAGGCTCCAGAAGATAAACCACTCCTTATATGGAAATTTTACAATTATATGGAATTGTGTTTTTACAACAAACTCCCAAGCGAAATTAGAGAATTACTAAATACTCTAACACTAAATATATTCAAAGCTCTTGTTAAACGTAAATTAATCAATAAATATTTTTTTATAAATTTGACGAATATTTAAATGATCCTAATCCTTGGGATTGATTTGCTCCAGTTCAAACAATTTGTATGATTCAAAACTTAGGGATTAAAAAGAGTGGCGGAAATTGTCTTGCCAGTTCTTTTTGCCCGCTCTACGGCCTTGACTTCAGACTTGCCTAGTAGGTAAATGTAAATTTAGAATTAAGTTAACTTCTTTTCTGACGTTCACAAGTGTACTTTTTACCTATATGAATAAAGTTATTTTGAGTTGAGTTGAATTGTCCCAAACGTACTAGTCATAATCTCTCCCAGAATGAATGCACTTCCAGTTTCATTATTCTTGTCCATAAACCAAATTTGATTAAAGCTTAAGCCCTACGAACTAGTGAGATCCGATCCAACTCAGGGTGTTTCCCTTGTCGGGGAATACCCCGAGTTGGATATCCTTGACAAAAATAATTAATGGAATATAACTTGGGAGCTGGCGAGCAAAATATCTAAATACATATATGGTTTGCTCGTGTGGCAAATTTTTTTAATAGCGATAATTATATGATAAGGAATATTATGCACCACATCTGCCACCATGGTAGCGGTCCGTTGTCAATTGACACCCCCTTAAAAATTTATAAAAAACAGACCGTATACTCTATCATTTGCTCGTCTCTGCCTCATGTACCTATAGCAAAATGAAAAAAACGCAGCGCTCATAATAGAGCGCGCGATGGTGGCAGACTATTTTTCTGCGGTTGTTCGCAGGGTTTTTAAGCGAACACTGCAAGTCTGCCAAGCGTGTATGTCATATATATTTTTTTAAATTATAAAAAATATTAAAAATTTTGTATCTTGAAAAGTCAGACTCCTAGATGTATGCCTTATAGATTTTCTTCGTTATCTAAATGGTACTGACCACTAGCCCCAGAGGCAGACACGAGTAAATGATTAAGTAGGTATCGATTTTTTTTACAGATTTAAACTCCTGTAGCTTAGAAACGCATTACCACCTTAATTCATTAAGAAAATTCTGTTTTATTGATCCGAACTTTAATTCCCATCAATACGAAATACGAGCAAATCATATACTTAAATGCTCGCCAGGACCCTATAGTCGAATTTTTAATTAGACGATATCAACTGACGTTTACGGTGTTGTCAGTTTTTAATGAAAAAAATATTTGTCACATGATTTGTGAATGATTGAAAAAACTCCTGAATTAATAAAATTCCTCGATTGCCTATGAATATTAATTGCGTACTGCCGATATGATAGGTTCGAATTTTAGTCGTGCTTTGAACATACCAACGAGTTTAGTACTAAATACCAATTGTTTTTAACATTAAGGAAATCATTGCGAGGAAACTTGTAAGACTGTCCTATTCTCAATATATCATTTAACTAATTTTAATAATAACAATTTTTAATGAAAATAATAAACATCGCTTATTACATAATTTTTTTTATTCATCATCAGATAAAAAATCATCACTATGCTTTCGGTGACATTAAAATAATCTTCTGAACATTGTCATCATTCTGAGACCATACATTTTATCTTCTTCTCATTATTGAGACACGCAGCTACGCCATTTATAGGTGTATTAGTTTAAGTCCTTCTTCAAAATATTTTTACTTTATTTTGAATTTTATATTTTTGCAACAATCCTTTAGCCTGCCCATACCATCAATGGATTAAGCTCAAGTGGTATGGGCAGACGTAAAACAATTATCTCATGCCTATCTTCCACAACATACTTTTCGAAATGATCTTTTTTCTGCCGTACAATGTCTATAAGAGTATTTAACCATTGTTGCTTCGAATGAAATATTTTTGCTCGTTAGCCACTCTTGTATTTTAGTTTAGTCCAAGACATTTTAGGCAGCGATTCTAGTTTCCTGGAGTGGTAGGGGGCATTATCTAGCACTACAACGAATTTGTTTTAGTTTTGGCAAGACTCCACTAAACCACTTCTCAAAGGAATCGGCATTCATTTCTTGATGATATCTTCTTTACTTTTTTGCTTCAAATATTAGTAAGCTGTCTTCTACGAATCCTTCTTCCCCACCTATGTGGCCGATAATTAATCGTTTGCCCTTTCCTGAAGGCTGTTTTAAGCCATAGTCAGGCCATCTAGGAAGGCCTGGCGAGTCGATAACACGTTGTCAATCCATGCCTTTTCGTGCATGACCTACAAGATAATGAAAAATAACAATTATTATGAAAGTACAATTTAATGTAAAGAAAACAGAAAATTGTAATTATTCTTATAGTTTCATCTTGTAATAAATATACCTTCCTTCCCTTCGATAGTCTTTAATTTTGGAAGGTATCCTGGCGCCATAACATAATTCCTGTCTTCAATTAACATGTTTTTCTTGATTTTGTGAATATTTGAAATTTAAATTTTCATAAATTTCTTAATGTACTCAAGAAATTGGTAAGTCTGGTCTTCATTGACAACCTTAAGAATCTGTGAAGTAATAAAAAACTTTTTGAGTAAGGAAGTCTACCAATCTAAACTTTGGTTTTACAAAGATCATTATTGTGGACACAGAATATAATGCAGTCGATGGAATAAATTTGTTACCTTTATAATGGTGGTGACTCATTTGCATAAAAAAATTATGAACTTTTCGCCTTATAGCGGCCAAAGTAAAATCGTCTAATTTATCTTTGAAATTGTTTCGGTCCACGTTTCTCGGGAGACTTAAATTGTTCATTTTCTTTATCTTTTAATACACTGTAAACTGAGGTCACGCTAATTCCCAAAATGTCAGCTGTTTTCGAAACACATTCTTTTTTTCGGGAGCCTCAATAGGTAATAGTAAAGCAGCTTTCTCCTCAAATACGTGTTTGTAGACGTTTTGTATCATAACTTCTTGGTAACCTTAAAAATCGTCTCTTCTTTCTTGAGACAAGTTTGGTTGACGTTTGTTGAGGATCCATATCGTTTTTACGAAACAATATAGAAATAAAAAAACACAACAATAACCACAAACACAACGTAATGAAAAACTTAACAAAACTATAACTAAACAGCGTGAGCGAGAAAAAACATTCGTGCTATCAGACCAGAGGTTAGAAGCCGAATACAAACATGGCGACCGACGCGCGCGGCGTCGATCGGTGTTGGCACTAGTCCCTGCCGCGCTCTGTATTACAGCCGTCAAAACTGATTGTAGTTAATACTATAGTACCTAACTTAATCAGAAATTTTTATACAATTTTAAAATAGTAATAATATTATTTTATAGTTTGAAATGATTAACTATTCACACTCACTCATTGTTCATTCATCTGATTGAACAAGAACTGAATGTATCACTATTACTTTAAATGTGGCAACATTATTTTACTAAGTGACATTAGCTACTGTCAGATAGCTTCGTCTAATTAAAAATTCGACTATAGCTAATATAAGTTGGTGTCTTTCTTTGTTTGATTATTTACTTAAAAATAATCTTACAACTACAGCTATACACTTTATAGAAGAGAAAGATTTATATCGCATAATTGCATTTGACGAAAGAGATAACATGCCAGATCCGCCATTTTATGTCTCAAGTTTTGAGGAATATATGATGTTAAAATAAATAAAGTTTTAGGTTTATTGCACTTATACATTTGCTATTAATAAAAAGCTTTGACGAAATAATGGTTAGAGGCTTTAGGTGAGGGAAAATACTAAATATAAGCCTAGAAGTTAGGCAGTATCCTATGATACTATAATTATATTATAAATAATTGCAATTAGCAAATTATAAATGAACTTTACTCTTGAAGCCCATGTCTAAGTACCGTACATATTTTAAACTATTAAGAAATCTAAATGGAAAGGTGTAAAACAATGCATGTAAATACAAAATACAGCTACAAGTTTTAAAAACTTTTTATGGTATGGTTAATGTAGTGACAGCCGTAGGCAGTAGCAAACCATTTTTGATAGTGTATGGTTTAACAATACACGTTTTTTGTAGGTATTACCAGTCGGCACTCGCCACTCGGCAGTGCTCTATTTTCTGTGGGCCGACCTGTCATTTGTCAAAGACATTATTTACTATTAGTATTTTCAATTTAATGCTATAACTTGCCGGATTTCAGTAATCAGTTCCCACGAGCTATAGCTTTGCCGCCCTTTTAATTTTTACATGCCTGAGTTTTAAATTTAACTATTACGTTAATATAATTAAATAAGTTAAATTTAAGATACAATAACAAATGTAAATTTTCAATTGCATCTTTCTGTTCGGTTGCTTCGCCAAATTAAACACCATGTAAGATATTAATTTAAAATACAAATACATATTACATTCATTATTATTATTATACATATTTTTTGCACACATTTGTTTTATAATATCAGAACATACACTCGGTTAAGTCATAAATTGGCATTTATCTAACCTAACAAAAATTGTATGCCTGGTTATTTTTATAATTATTTGTGCAATTCTGTTGGTCTCAATAGATTTTTAAAAACCATGAGATGAGTTCTACAGTACCTGGAAAATTTAATACCTTAATCAATGGAATCACTTGCAAAATGTGCCTGAATCAGGGAGTAATTGGTCTTATTGGGATTTAAGTTTAGTTTTACTGATGGATGACATTATCATATATACAATGTAAATTAAAAATCATTTATTTTACAGGTCTCTTAATCATAGTAACTTGGTTCAACGCACAATTGACTTGAATTATGCTAATAAAAAACGTACAGGGTCTCTGAAATGGATATTTGTAAATGCCATATTTCTTTTAGTATTTACCTATGATTTGTGAGTATAAATATTTTTGTCTCTCATACCACTGAAACATGTAAACTAGAAAATAATAAATTGTTATATGTATATAAAAAATATGAGTTACTTTTCATTTTCTCACTTGTTTCACTTTAAGTTTAAGATTTGACTTTTTAGATGTTTTTTAGTTTAGTTGACATGTGTTGCACCTGATGGAGTCTTAATCGTGTACACAAGCTCAATGACTTCTTTGTTATTTACAGTACAATATAACAATCTCATGGGAATGTGTACAATTTTGCAGATCATGCAAGTGTCCAGGCTACACATCTGTATTCCACTACATAGAGATGGCTTGTGCAGTTGTGGTTGCAGCCAATCTTATCCAGCACCTAATTCGGCTCTTGCCACGCCGGGCTCCACCTATCACTCTCACCCGCAACCAACAGAGATTATTAGGACTCCAGCAAAGTGATCTTGGTATACCTTATTTTTGTGACCCTGCTTTCTATAACACCTTTATAAATTTGTATTAATTATTAATTATAAGGTTTATATTTTAGTACTATCTTCAAACTTATTAAATTATTCTAAATTGTCTTTAAAAATGGGGGGAGCTACTAAAAGCAACCCTATTATTATCTTAATATATATAAATTACGTGTCACGTTGTTTGTCCGCTATGGACTCCTAAACTACCAAACCGATATCAATCAAATTTGCACACTGTGTGTAGTTTGATCCAACTTAAAAGATAGGATAGCTTACATCTCAATTTATACCCACAATATTATTTTATTGCAAAATATTTGTTTATTATTTGATAGTCACAATTCTAACAGATGGCGCTGTGTTGAAAGTAGCAACGTTTCACATAAGCTACAATTTAATGGCATAACCACCAAAAAAGCATGTTGGTCACCATGACTGGTGTTCTCCAACCGTTTCCCTTGAATAGTTTTCTACTATGTAAAATAACAAAAACCTTAGCCACAGCAACGCTTGGCCAGTCTGCTAGTAACATATATAATATAAAACATGATCCATTGGTTGTTTCAGACTCATCATTCATACTGTCAGAGAGCTTAGAAAGATCAGTTAATGAGAGTGCAGCTGAAGATAGCTGGGTGGGGTCTGATGCAGACTTATCTCTTTCCCCAAGGGCCTGGTCTTCACCCACTACCAGTTCTCCTAATCGGACTTCACCCTCTGCTACACCACCTTCAACAACACCGCCGTCATACTCACCTACACGACCCTTTTTTGACATAGATAACAACAAAGATTGTTTTATTGCTGACAAAAAATCTCTTGACAAATATCTAAAGTGAGTATAACTTTATTGCAACTGTTAACTAAGGATAGGCACACAAAGCATTTCACCACTATCTAATTATATCACAGGATTAATATATGGACGTAGGAAAGCACATTTGCTGTAAGTAGACATATGCAATTTTCACAGAGCCAAAACTTTATTAATTTGGAAAAAATAAAGTGTCTACCTATCCATGATATTGCTACCATTTTTGAAACATATATTTATTTAACTGCCAGTCACCATTTCAATACTTTTTATCCAAAGTTACTATAATACGTGTTTTAGTTAAAAAAGTTTTTTAAATCAAAACCTTTAAAAGTGTAATAAGGAAGAAAAATGTAGGCGGAAATATTATAAATTAAGGCGGTAAATAGTGTATGCAGTAAATTTATGTATTTGGGTATTTAATTGAATTAAGATGTAGATAGTTTATAATTATGATTAGATTAGAAAGAGTGGGTCATTTGGTAATGTAAGTTGGTTGAAATAAAATGTGTAAATGGTAAAAAACTAAAATATTCCATTTAGTAAATAATGTAAAAATCAAGGTGAAATGTAAGAGGTTAGTTAAAGGGAAGAAGAAGTATTTAAGAAAAAAAGAATTTTCTTGTTAGTGAATTAAATATAGATTTGGTCTACATAAGATATGTAAAAATAATATAAGAGGGGTTTCAACGGGTTGTTTTAAGAGAAAGAAGGTAGGTTTTAGAAAATATAGGAGAAGAAGGGACATATACTTATGTTTAAATGTCTCTTTCATTAAAAAAAACAGAGAGATTGAAACCTGCACTACAACAGAGGGAGGGCGCAATGACAACTCCTGGAGTGCAACGGCAACCACTCCCCCATATGCTGCTGTCACTCCAACTTACCAGCTTGCGTCAGTTGACACTGGTAAGTTTGTTTTTGTAGAATTTTAATATTTAGTTTTTTTCATAATCCATTTTAAAAGTGTACTTATGTCAGTGTGTGTACAAGGTGCAGGTAGAATATTTATGATAGCAAGTGATATGAATGGCTCTTAAAAAGTGGGGATTTTTTAATATCTTTTGGATCTGCTCTTACTGATAACAGTATTACATTACATTTTTTGTAATGTTTGAGCATTATGTGTATTAAATTTTTTTTGCATTTTCTCTGTAGGTCGCAACACATCTACAGAGGAAGGTGCTATGGCAGGCGCTCCTCAGGTGTGGTGGCAGTTGGACTTGGACCCGCGTCGACTTACACAGTTCAACCTTAATTTGCGATTAGTAAGTCCTAGTACTGGATCATGCTAATTTTGGTTAGACATAGAGATACATTTCAATTTATTTACAAAATATTGAATCCTTTGAAACTTAAATAAATTTTCTTTTTTAAACTGAGGCAGAGTCAATAAAATCAATGAAATATTATTCATTCACATTACTAACTTTATTTACTTGACCAATTAAGTCCATACTACATTGAGAATATAATATATATCAAATACAAGATTTTTTCGGAAGAAAGGTCTTATATGAAGATGACTTGTAAAATTACCTGTCTTGGTCATGAAAGGTGAAACATGAGGAGCCCTACTCACATACTACTTTGTCTACAGTGGGTCCACGTGACAATCTTAACCCGACTTTTAGAGGAGCTACGTCGCGCAGACGAGACCGTCCGTCGGGCAGGAGTGGCCCCAGCAGGAGCGCTATTAAGTGGCCGTGTGCCCTTGGATCGCCTTCGCAACTTGCCCGACCTAGCGCCATTACTGCCCTTCCTCGAACCGTTCCCCGATCAGCGCTATCTGTTGCGACGCCTTCGCGAGCTGGCTAGTGGTGAATGCATGAGTGGTTACCGCTGGAACACTGGTGGCGCCGACTGGGATGACACCAAGCCCACCGATGCAGAACTTGTGTTGCATTTAGTTGCCACTTACCTGGACGTTCAGGGTGGAGCCAGCGCCCGGACGGGCCCGCGCCATGTCGAAGGTGGCTGGGGTACGGAGGAGCTGGGGATAAGGCGAGTAAGCACTAAGCCGGCCCACTACGCCCTGTTATTGGGCGGACAGCGTATTGAGGTACCGCGTGGTCGTAACAATCTTCTGCATACGCTGCTGTGTCTTCTGGCCGCCGCAGCCAGACGGACGCCCCCAGCTCTCGCAAGGATGCATCTAGGTCCCGCCGGACTTAATATGCTTTGGATCATTGGACGGTGATCCGAACAATGACTCAGTGTTTTTTTACTTAACATGTACTAGTAGTAATAAGTAATCTATTAATTAATAAAATTTAATATTTTTACTCATTTAGTTTGAATAGTTTCTCTAATTTTTAAAGACTATATATATAATAATCTTTTACGTGTAACATCAACAATCCCTTCTTTATGTACTGCCCAAAAACAAATGCAACTTGAAATAATATTTTTACTTGATTAAAACATGTTTAACTATTGTAATTTAGATATTGTTTGTTTTGTTTCCTTACATTAATCCTAAACAACATTTAACAAGTTGAAGTTTAGTAGTTGTTTCTAATGCAATAACTGCCTATGATGGTGGTGTGATAAATTTTACTTTTTATGTTTTAATGACAACAAATTTTTTTTATACCTAAATCACCATCAATTCAATGACATGCCCAACGTGTAAAATGGATGTAATATCTATTCTTTCATTTGTGATATAAATAAAAATAATAAATCAATACAAATTTTTAGTATATTTTTAAAAGCATATCAAAATACTATATATAAATAAATATCTTATTATAAAATAGTTCTGGTTGATAGAAATTGACTGTTAGTTTTCATCATTTAAAGTCTGTGTATCCTCAAGGTACTGTCTTAATGCAGACTGTAATGCATCAACAAAGTTAATTAAATTTGTATGTCTAGTGGCATACAAAGCGCGTGCTAAGAATGGTAGTCGTCGTAGTGAACGCGCCGATATTTTGGCGGCGGCTGCTGCACATGCTACTTCGCGTAGACGTAATGATGAGCGAGAACCTTCAGTGTCTGAAAAGTTGGCCGTCTCTAACACTTGCAAGCCAAACAAAAGGTCTCTGGGAACAATTATTTCATGAGCCATTAATTCTTCACAACACCCCTTAAGAATATCATAGGCAGCACGAGCAGATGGTGGCCCCACCAAACGTTTAATATCGGCCCTATCAACAAAAGCCACATCAATAGCCCCTGTAACATTGGATGTAGTCAAAACTAAAACATTAGGGTAACGTTTCAGTCTATCTAATTGTGTCAGTATTGCATTAACAGCTCGAATTGAATCTGAAGGTTCAAGACCTGCCATTGCTGCACGGCGTGCATGTGCTAGTGACTCTATCTCATCAATCAGAATGCAAGCAAGCAAACGTTTATCCTCAGCAATCTCTCTGATGCGGTCAAATACTTTAGCAACAAGCTTTCCACTTTCAGAAAACCATTTTGAAAACAGTCCATGACCATTAATTTCAAGAAGATGAGCGCGTGGATATCTGTCAGCCATTCGTATAGCAAGTTTCTGAGCAAGTGCACGACATAAGCTAGTTTTTCCTGTTCCAGGCGGTCCATGAAGCAATACCACTCTGTTACAGCCAATTATATTAGGATTCACACATCGGTCGGAAAACTCAAAAGCAGTTTCAACAAAACGCAATGTATCTTCTTTTAGTTTTGAATCATAAATAAGGCTTTCCCATAGTCCATGAAACTCTTGAGTTGGAAGTGCCCATACGTCTGCTGCGTGTATATCTTCGCCTGAAGATTCGTCCGTCATAGTGTCTGTCTGAGATCCAAATGTGTTTAGCGTATAAACATGATAAATTATTTCACAATCTGTCATTGCTACTTCTGTATCGTGTCCAATATTACAAAAAGTTATGGAGAAAACATGACTTTTAAGCTCTTGACCTTCCAAATCAGTTTCAGACAAGGTCAAACCTGGCTTCAATGAAGTGAAATTGCTTAAATATGAATGCACAATTTCTGTTATATGTTCCACACTAGCAACGCTTTGATTTCGTTTCACCACCTCAACGTGGAGAGGTATACCCAACATTTTAACGGATTGGTTATAGTTTTTCAATACATATTACGCTTATATATTAGTATTTTTAATTCTTAACTTATAGAACAGCTTTTAATATATTTTACTGAAAATTAAAATATAAAAACAAAATAGTAGAAATAACTGCCATTAACGTCAATAGCACAGAATACAGATCAGGTAGATCGAAGTCCGAAGTAGAAATAGAAAATATAAATTAGTTTCTGTTTTTTTTTTAATGTAATAGGAGGCAATCGGGCACGAGGCTCAATCGTGTGTTACGTGATACCGCCGCCCATGGACACGCACATTACCAGAATGCTGGCAAGCGCGCTGCCAGCCTTTTAAGAATTGGTACGCTGTTTTCTTGAAGGACCATAAGTCGAATTGGTTCGGAAATAATTCAGTAGGCAATTGGTTTCAAATAGTGGTGGTTTTGTATGCTGCCTTGACGACCGATGATAAAACTCACAAGGTATTAGTCCGAACTGGGACAACACCTCTGAACAGTCACTATGATAAATTCGGTAGAAGATGCAGGGAGACCCCACATTTCTACGCAACGCCAAGAGAAAGAGCCACTCGAAAAGTCGACGATACTAATAGTTCTTCGTTGAATACGGCTAACGGAGCTGGTACTGGGAAGCTCCCGCCCCATATGAAGTCGAATTTATGCTTTAAAGAGTTGTAAGCGGTGGCCCGGAGTGAAGTATCGTCTCGCAGTTAAGTCTAAATTATAGACTTAACTTTCAAATGACCGATGTGTTAATAAATAAATATACTCTCGGGGCGTAACTACGACGATTTAGGTAATCGCCACGCTTATAAAACTGGGTGAACCTGGGTGAGCAAAATGTACAGCTTTGACTCGTTCTACGACCGCCGGCGCCCTCATAGTAGGGCTGTGGATGACGATTGATGATCCTTTCATATGCTTCAAGTTTTTAGTTCTTGAGCACATGAATACAGAACACTACACGTTGTAGATGTCGTAAAATAAAAGTACAGACCAAGTCATAGTTTTCAGCACCGTTCTCTAATCTATAATCTATTTTGACATTTGTGGATTATTGATTTGACTATCTCGAAAAAAGTAGGTATTGAAAAATTGTATTTGTGTAAAAGTTCAAATATATAATAGATGAACTATTTACTTAATTTTTATTATAATTGATAATATTTATTTCAGTACTGAGAAATGCATACAGAGATTTTATTGTAATCATTTTTAAAATATCGTAAGTATATTACCGTAACAGTTAAATCATGTAATGATTATCAAACACAGCAAAATATTTGGTTCTTGGAATCTCATCGACTATTGACTAAGACTAAGCTGGATAATCTTCGTGTATTTAATATGCGGCAATAGTTTATAAAAGTCGCGATGGCGGCAGACACCGCTGTAACATCCAGTCCCGAGGAGACTCTTGCATCCCTTGTGAGAGAAGCAGAAGCGCTTAAGCAAAAGTTGGAAGAAGAGCGACAAAAATTAAACGATGTTACATGTAAAGTATAACTTTATTATACTATTTCGTGTGCTTGCATAGCAAAAGTTTCAAATTATAATAATAGTTTAAATTTCTCAGTATCCTGTGTAGCAGAACGCCTGGAGCCTATAACAATAAGTAACTTGAAAGTACGGCGCATCTTAAAAGGACACCAAGCTAAGGTGTTGTGTTGTGACTGGTCACCAGACAAACGGCACATTGTCTCTTCATCTCAGGTATATAGTATATCTATAATAGCTTTAGATTACTTTTCACCTATCTTTCAGTGCATTGGTTTTGGCTCAACTGGCTAGTACCAATCAAGCAAGCTGAATATAACTATAAGGCCAAATTTAAATTTATTGTTTCTAGTGTATTTATTTATTAAAGTTTACCACATCACACATAGTACTAAATCTACAGTATTTGTTACATACTCTTTTATCTAAATTGTTTGACAATTTAGGTAAACATAAATGTTAAAGTAAAGGTAAAAGAATATTAAAAATTCAATTAAGGGATAAAATAAATACCAGAAATTTTTGTTAAGCACCAAAAAAAAAAAAAATACCAACAAACAGCGGGTTAGGTTTGAGAAAGGCACTTAACAATGTTTTCTTTAAAACCAATCAGCACACTACCAAATATATCCAGCTCCAGATAAGTACTTTTTAATCTGTTAAAATAGCGAAGAATTAAAAGAAAGGTATCAGTTTATATCTAACTATAGTTTTGGCCTGACTACCAAGAATAATTTTAACAAGGTTCATTACATTTTCATTTTGACAAACTTTAAATAATTTTATTTAATACAACATCTTTTTCTCTACACTGCCCTTTTATGTTTTTGTATGAATTACTTGTCTCTTTATCTCTAAGAAAGTATCCTTTGTATACAGGATGGCAAGCTAATAGTGTGGGATGCATTCACCAGCAGCAAGGAGCTTACCATTTCTATGCCTAGCACTTGGGTGATGGCTTGTGCTTATGCTCCATCTGGAAATATGCTGGCAGCTGGGTTAGTTTATTTTACTAATATTTCTATTTTATTTTTTCTACTAATTTAAAGACCTAGAGTGATCTTCATTCATGTAAGTCCTTAGTATTTAATCAATCTTGGGTAAATTTTTATGAAATTATAATTTTCAGTTCAATTAAATGTCGCAAAAACGCAAAGGTTAGTTTGGGTATATTTCAATTTGTGTAATTTTTCAGAGGCCTGGACAACAAGGTGACCGTGTTTCCTCTGGGCGGTAGTGGTGAGGAGGAGCCAGCAGCGCGCAAAAGAACTGTAGCCACACACACCTCATACATGTCGTGCTGCCTATTCCCCAACACGGACCGACAGATGCTCACGGGAAGCGGCGATGGCACCTGCGCGCTGTGGGATATCGAGTCCGGCCAACTCTTGCAAAGTTTTCAGGGACACGGCGCTGACGTGACGTCTATTGATCTAGCGCCGAGTGAGATGGGTGACACCTTCGTGTCGGGTGGGTGTGACCGCGCCGTGCTAGTGTGGGATATGCGATCGGGTCACGCCGTCCAAGCGTTCGATGCACACCAATCGGATGTCAATAGCGTGCGCTTCCACCCAGCCGGTGACGCGTTAGCGAGTGGCTCGGACGACGCCAGCTGCCGGCTGTTCGACTTGCGGGCCGATAGGGAAGTGGCGCGCTACGGTCGCGAGAGTGTGATCTTCGGCGCTAACTCTGTGGAGTGGTCGGTGAGTGGCCGCGTGTTGTTCGCGGGCTACGGGGACTACACGGCGTGCGCCTGGGACGCTCTGCGCGGTTCGAGGCTGGCTTTGTTGCCCGGACACGAGCACCGCGTAGCTGCGGTACGCCTTGCGCCCGATGGCACCGCTCTCGCCACAGCCTCGTGGGACGCCACGCTGCGCATTTGGGCCTAGACAGGCTGTGACTACCACTTCAGATGCACTGTTCAAATCACTATTTCCACCTGAATAGCTGAGGCCGACATTAGAAATATCCTACTTAAACCATTGGAAAAATTCAACATAAACCCACACATGTAATGTTCCACTAGCCTGTCAGTTTTAACTAGATGATGTTGTCATTGTTTGTCCCTTTATATTATATTATCATATCTGAGGTGACACCTACAAACTCTTCGGATTCAAATTAGAAATATATATTACCAAGGCCTCTCAATTATTCAATGTTTAGATTTTTTAATAAAAGATCATCTTTAACATTATCTGGTGAGCGTTTACAAATTAAAGTGGTTTATTTGATTTCTATAATAAACTCTATTTTAGCTGTTGAAATATCTCGTTATATAAAGATCTTATTTCCTGTCAATCGACACCAGCTAATATAATAATTTAATTAAATGTTGCTTAACCAACTCAGAAACAAATGAAGCTTTTAGGTTTGGACTAAGTATGTGAGACTTTATGAACATTCCTTTTAGTCAAATGTTCAATTTCAGAGCATCTTTACCTTTATAGATTCACCAAAGTTTCAGTCGTGTTGTTTTTTTACTAGTGTAATATTAAGTTAATGTTGTGAGAGAATCTTTTGTTGTTTTTGTATGATAGTCTAGAGATAGCCAAAACAATGTGTTTAAAAACGTGAGAATTGCCGATTAAGTCTTAGTTTTATTATAATTATAATGTTTAACTTTAGTAATTTAACCCGAAAAAAATATATTAAAATACTTTTGTCGTAGGTAAATTGTAGATCTTCATATAATGAAGCAATCGTAATATTGTTGAAACTGAACAGTACTTAAATTTCTATAGCAAGATATTGCGGAAATCATTTGTCTGTTAATGAACATAGATGAATTCCTGAGCAACTGAATATATATGTTAATAAATTAAGCGATTACTTTTTTAATATCTTTGTGATGTTTCCTGAGATCTGTATGTTTACTGTGTTCTCTGAATCTCTCGCAAATTGTTTCCTTGTGTGTTTCAGACAAAGGCTACGCTAAGCCAAATGTAACCAATAAAGATTTGTTACCTATCTTAATGATCATTATGTATTGTATATTTTAAAATTTAAACAATGTTATAAGAAAAGCCCAGTCGTGTAGTAAAAATAAAGTGAATGTTGAATGACTTATTTTCTTATATCCCCTTCGTTATAATGTTAAGCATTAAATATTTGGTTCGAGTAGGGCTACGAATGAACCTCGTGGAACAGTCTATACAAATATTATAAAGAGATAATATCTAATCTAAACAGGTACAATTATTTTACTTAATAGAAGCTGGCTTAAAGGTCTCGTTACCAGGCCATAAAATTATAAAAAAAACTTAATAGAAGGCTACGTTACTTGTGGCCATTTATTAACCAGAAAAATGAAGAATCGTGACAGTCGAAAATAAAACCTTAACGATGAGAGATATATGATTGAGTTTTATAAAAAAAGTAGACCGTGATGCCTACAAATTAGTCGGTGACAGTATACTTTTATATTATATAGAAGCATCTCTGTTTGCGAAAAACTCAAAAACTGCTGAACAAAATTTATTGTGGTGTATCACTAATATTAGAATGATTTATGAGGCAGGTTAAGGTATAAATTTTCAAGGGTCACTGTTGCTAGCCGGGACGCTTCCCTAGTTTTACGAAAGACCTTAGCAAAATCTTAAGAATAAATAAAAGATTTATATAGACTTTATTATAGTCCTTTACTTACGCAAGTATTGACCTCGAATCGTAACTTGGCAAGATTTTGCGAGGTGGGGGAAAGTTCGAGCATATATATTTTATTATACAGTATGCTTGGTAAGTAATAAATGTTATGTCTATCACAATTTAAAGTTTCTGTGTTTAGTGTAATTTAAGCTAAGCTGTTAAAGCCCTACGTTTAAAAAATATAACTCGACTGTAACATTCATTTCTTTTAAATCTTATTTGGAGTAACTAGCACTTTCCTTCATCATTCGAGTTTTTATAGTTAGCTAATTCAGGAACCTTAAGTTTTAGTTAAATATTTAACCTCTTTCAACGGACTTATTTAATGATTTATTTACCTTGACGTTTCGTTTCTCGCTCTTAATTCAAAAGTCAAATTGAGTAAATAACGTATATAATCAATTGTTTAAATGTCTAGTAGGGTATGTAAAGAAAATATTCCTTTTATCTTATTACTCCGCTGTATGAGTTTTGCGTCAGAGTTTGAGCAAATACCTAATAATAAACAATATCATTAGAATCAACTTAATATTTATTATCAGGGTGAGGTGACGCAGGCGCAAGGCCGCGCATTTGTCGCATTGCGTATTTGAACATAGTCGCTAATATATGATTTTTGGAGCCAGATAAAAAAGAAAGATACGGCTGTGTTAGCAGTGATTTTTATTAGCTGGTTAATTTACGTGAAAACACATCGTTAAGTACACTACTATATAGTACGATGATGCTTATATTAGCTGTTTTGTTGAGTCAAAACATAAAATAAATTTTATTAGAACATAACATTTACTATTATTAATATATACAAATTCGAATGATGTTTTCTAATACACACACTAAATAACAGAACATATTTTTGGTAAATCACACAATTTATGCTTAAAACAACAGTATGTACTTATATACTGATGGAGGAAGGCGTGCTCTGTCGCTTCCTCTCCGCACACAGACCACAACTTACGACTTTTTCCTGGAAAATAAAGAGTAGTTCGTTAGTACGGGGCATGTTAGGAATAGAAGTACGTGAGGTAGTGACGATGCTCACTGGTCGTGGTTGTCCGTGTCGGAATCGTCGAGGTCGGGCTTGGTGCGGCGCTTCTCGTACACAAGGATGATGGCGCAGAGTACGAACACCTCAGCGCAGATTCCGAGGAAGGGCCAGAGCGCCGCGTATTTGTCCTTGACGCGCAGCAGAGTTTCGGCCGGCGCGAACGCGTCGAGAGCTTCGCAGCGGTAACGGCCTGCGTGAGAGCGTGTTGCGTCGGGCAGCACTAAAGTACCGTCCACAACTCCTTGCTCGCTCTCACTCAAGTTAACCCCGGTCACCGGTTCGAAACGCGCGCCATCCTCGGTCGAGTTGGAGTAGCTCCACACGATACGCGGGTACGGCTTTCCGAGCACCTTGCACGTCAGCTTAAGCTTCTGGCCCTCGACTACGTTGCTGTTGGCCGGTAGTTTGAGATGAGGACGGGCCCGGACTACCCAGGTAGTAGCGGCTGATTGACCGGGCAGGGAACACGAGTAGTTGCCGTAGTCGTCTTCGGCGGCACGCTTGACGTGCAACTCTATTCCGCCATGTTCTAAGGTGTAGCGGTCCTTCATTTCCCAGACTTCCTCGAGTGCGGTGCCGTTCTTCTGCCAGGCCACGGCGCCACCACCGGCGGCTGCGTCACAACGCAGCGTAATATTGGAGCGCACATCGAAGAGTACATCTCCGCTGTCACGGATACTGCCGTCTCCTCCGCTCACCTCGACGACCGACGGAGCGGCCTCATCTGCAGAAATGTCACTATTATTATATACTCAATAAATGCTCCTCACTATCTACTGGCTACCATTCGACAGTAAGCAATATAAATTAATCATATTTACCAATTAATGTATCTGTTTATGTTTGATGTATATATTATGTACTAAGGTGTATACTATGTAGTATAGTTATGTAAAATGGGTATTCCAATAATTTTGCTAAATTCAGGCACAATATGTGAATTTAAAGATTAGAAACAGGACAGAGTAAAAATTTAAAAAATATTTTTAAAACACAATAAAAATAAGCAATATTATCTTTGATTACATTTAGATATAAAATATTTAATGACTTTATCTCAAAGTTTTCCCAAGGTACTTTACAAGGCTAAGATTTTATATTTGAATTAATGATTAACAGTTAATTAACAAATGAACACTATTCAATCAGATCTACTTAATAATAAAAAAGAAAACTACACCAATTCTCTGCATGAATTAATTTTGTCTTAAATTATTAAATAATATTAACTTTGTTAAATCCCAATAAATTGCTAATGAATAAAAGTAGAGAACCACTTAATAAATATTTAACTATAGTTGAGAACCATAGTTAAATATTAGAGTTAAAACTTTTCATTAATTTAGAATTCAACAAATATAGCACAAACTCATTAATGTCAATTAAACAACTTGTAGACAAATTACAGATGGACAATGTACAGACTACATAAAAAGAAAATTAAACTCCCTTGTTTTTTAACTGTATCTTTAAAAAAGATATATTCAATATGCTTATGGTATAAGGTTATGTTTTCAGCTTCATAAAAACCATTGCCAATAGGTATTCATATAGATTAAGCAGGGTTGAAAAAGACACAGTTATTAATTTTATAAAACAAATAGTTGAAACTGTTATAAACAAGTGTTTTTTTTAATTAGGACATGATTTCAAATTAATTTTAGCCTTAATTTTTCTATTACTAGATATTTTCAAATATGCTGTGGTACATTAAATATTTGCAAAACATGATGGATTCATTTATGTTGCATATCTCTAATCAATACTGAACGCATTCACTCTGTATGTTCTTAAATTGGACCAAATAGACACTTTCCTAGCGGTACTATACCATAGAGGGGAATTACCTACGAAGTGTGAATTCTATTCTATGACCAGGGGTAACCCCAATATTTAGGTTTAAATGAGTAAAATAACCACTAGTCAATTGAATCATTTTCTTTTGACAGTTCACATTACGGGCTTTAATTATTAATTCTGTGACTTAATTATTAAAGTAAAAAAAAATTCAATTCCAGTGTGATGTTGAAAAAACATGGCTTATATTCGAACTGTTTTAAGCATATGTTTTAAAACCACTTGTTTTTATCATTAAGGGATTAAGTAATAATTTTTGTGCAAATGATAAGCTACTAGAGATTAGATATTACTGCAAAGTAATTTTCATAAAGAGAATTAATAGCATGCTGCAATATAATAAAAAAGCGACGAGCGCACGAGACTCCTACTGACATCGACGCTAGAATAGAGAACAGAGCACTACGAGTTGCTTTTACGAATGATGCCAACCTAAAAAATACTGCGAGGACTACAATTACTCGGTGAGCACGAGACTAAGGCAAGCGAGAATAACGAGAGAGGTCGCATCGTGAGAATACCGGGCGCGGCGTGTGTGGCTGCGGGGTTCGCGTGCACGAGTACGCGCACACGCTGGTCGCGCTCGGGTGAACAGGTGTAGAGCCCTGCATGGTGCGGCCGCGCAGCCGATGCACGCAGTCGCGCACGCAAGCGTGCCTCGCCATCTTCCTCCTCAGCGCGAAGACCAGGTGGCAGCGGGCCACCATCGCGTCGCCACTCTGCTCGCTGCTCGGCGCGAAGTCCGCACTCCACAGTCAGCGGAGCGCCGATCGCCACCCGCACCACCGCCTCGCCCGCTGCGCACCCGCCCGCACTTTACTCACCCCTATACGACCTACGCTCTACCGTGCCACACTCCCCGTATTGACCACACGACAAACCATTTAAGGATATAAATTTATATGAAATTTAAGTAATGAAAGGTTAACCTCCTTTAGAAGTGAGACCTTGAATATATATTGTACATTTAATAAATTTACAGCAATAAAGAGCTTTAATCCTTTATGGCTAGGAAAATACATACATGTTGTATATAATTTCATAATTTAATTAATTATTATACCACTTTTGATATGTAGATATTTTAATCAGCTATAATCTTCCTACAGTGTAAATAGTAGATATGAAAAGCATACTTGTCATTGAGATTAAAGATATTTTATCATTTGTTCACTGTGGTGTGTCTTACAATAATTATATTTGTACATTATTAGGTTCTTATAAGTGCATTAATGGGACAAAGCCATTACAATAACAACTTAAAGTCATTTTAAAGAAAACAATATAGCTAATTGATATTACTTAGTTACAACTATCAAAATATATGTATGAAAAAGTACTTTTCATCTGTTTATAATTGGTTATTACAAATTTATTGTTCTTACAAATGACTAATCAACCTTATAGTGAGATATTTGAAATGGGGCTATAATTAAAGCCTTACAATAGCTGACTAAAATGTATAGATTAGACAATGAAGTAACCATCTTTTGTAGAACGTATTTTAATTTAATATAGCGACATTATGACATCACCTATGTGAACCAATTTGTCTCAAATATCGATCCGCTGATAGCGGGAAGAAGCGCATGCAGATGGTACAATCCAACTCTCAAGAGAAGATAAACATCCATATCAGCTAGTCTACCGAACCCAAAAACGAGGCCATCGACTTGTAACAATTAATTTTACTAATCTAGAAAATACTCACTTGTGGCTTCCGACGACACAGCATTTGCTAAAAATAGAAATGCTAAAGAAAGATACACAGCAGTCCGAACCATCATTGCAGGGCTTAATCTTTCAAATAATTTGTAAACAATTATATTTGAGAGTTATGTCAACGCCCCGATCCAAAGTACTTTTAAAATCACAATGAAATGATTTTTGGTCTCATTACAAGAAACTAGAATGAATGCGTCAATTGCTTGCGCACTGTAACCACAGATTAAAATTTAATAAATTCTACGCATTTAAAGCTTAATCAGAAATGTCAACTATCCGTTAGTTTATGACATATAAATCTGTCATTTGAAAAAATCGTTTTCATAGTTTTCAAATAAGATACTTGGCTTAAAGGTCTCGTTACCAGCCATAAAATTAAAAAAAAAAGAAAAAAAAGATAAAAATAAATTATCATAAAGTTAAAAATAATTGCCATAAAAAAAAAAATACAAAGAGAATACCGAAAGTTTTCTTCGGATTAAATAAAAACTATAGAGGTATAGGCACTTCGAGATAGAAATACTATCAAACCCCAGGCGGTGTAGGAAAAACTTTAAAAGAAACTTAAAGATAAATGTGAATATTTATTCTTTTTGAGTTTTTTGTTAATTATTTATAAAGGTTTTTTTAACGGTCTCCTTACCAGGCCATAAAATTAAAAAAAAAAAATTATAAACAACTACAACATTTCCCTACGTATGTATTTTATTATTATCTTTAATACGATTGAAGTACTGATAACTTCTTTTAACTGTTTCTGCAATTCCAGTTAATGCTACTATCAATAATATGGAAATTTGGGAAAAATTAATTGATGCTGGTACAAGTTTTAAAGACATCAGCAGTTTTAAAAAGACTATTTCTTCTGCCCGAATTGTACTTGCAAATGACTTAACTGACTTTGAATCAGGTAAACATGCATTTTATTTGGTTTTAATCTATATCTATACTTATATTATAAAGAGGAAAGATTTGTATTAAAGTATGTTTGTAACGAATTGGCTAAAAAAGTACTGGACCGATTTTTAAATTTTTTTCACCATTTGAATGCTACATTATCACAGATTATTATAAGCAAATTTTAATTGAGATTGAGAGATTAAAGAAAAAATAAGGAACCCTACTAAAACTACAATAATGTTACCCAAAGTGTAAAGAAATGCCTATAAAATATCTTTCATCACATGCACAGCAAAAACTATTGATGATAGAAAAAAAGTGTTCGACAATATTAAAGAACATATTTAAATCTACAAAACATGTTTAAATATCCACCCATGTGAAGCCGGGATAGGCTGCTAGGTTAATCCATATGAAACAATGGTTTCTCAGAAGTATAAGAGACTTGTTGACAAATTCTCAGATTGGTTTGTATCGACGTTGCTCCATCAGCCAGTTAATCTCCTAGACACTCTCCAGAAGAAGCGGGGAGACTCAGTGTGGATCGAATCTATTGTGGATGCCCTGGCTCTTCTAGCAAATTTATTACAAACTCATAATGGATTACACCTTTATTATCATCAGATTGTGCAGGTATTATTAGCTACTATTAGTACATGCAGGACTTTAACAAAGAAAATGATTAAAAAAATTTACATTCAAAAATGACAGAGACAACTTAAGATACAGAAAAAGTTCCTTAAATATTTATTTATTTGGCCTTTTCATGCCTTTTGTGCGGTATGAAAAAATTATTAAACTGTTTCTCCCTGAACTAAAGCCAGAAGAGAATGTCTTGAATATCTGTTGTGTGAGTTTCCCATTATCCATAACAACATGGTGTAGGTGTGTTCAATGGTATCCGATGGAGCCTGCCGTACCCCTGCGCTAACATGCTTATTACATACAAGTCACCATAGTGCCGCTCCTGCCAACCTACAGCATCTAATAGCTGAGTTTGAGTGCCCTCGTGTATCAAGCCGTGGTCCTCTTGGACTACTTATTGGTGAGTTGATTTACTGGCCTTTGATAGATTTTTAACCAAATTGATTCTAAGTTGAATAATATATAAATGTAAAATTGAGCACTAGTTTCTATCCATCAGGGTCAATTTGCCGGTCATGGCCGCAAGTAATAGAGGAGCAAGGTGAGCGAGTATGGCGGGTTTTCCTACAAGTATTGGAAGATGAACAGCTGTCAGGGACTGCCAGAGCTGCAGTACTGGAAGGTGCAAGTGGCATATTATCAGCATGTGGGCCTGAGCTACCCACTGCTGATCTTTTAGGATTCTATAACTTGCTTCGTACTACTGTATTTCTTCACCCACGATGTCATACTGGTATGTGTATTTATAAGTATTATGAATAAAACTAGCCGAGTGATTATTAAAGCAATCAAAATTTTTTTATTTCTTCCAATTCAGATATGTCTAATTTATATTAATAATATAAAAACGGTTTTAAATAAATTGGATATTTGCAATATATAAAATTCAATCCATTTGCTTGTGTTAATACCAAAGGAATACTCTCTTAAATATAAAACTTATTTATATTAAAATTGATTTAATCAATTATGATGAATTTAAAGGAATTTTTTATAGCTTGAACTAAAACTTATTAAAAGCGAATTTTGATTTGTTGCTAATATTTTGATGATTTAAAGATTTTATCCTTGTATTACAAATACAATTTATTGTATAGATTTTATAAGTTATGTATTGAAATTGTATTTAATACTTAATTGCTCAATTTAAAATAAGGGGGCTATCATTTTGACTTGTATGTATATATGTCCCAATTTTTTAAATCAATTAATTCAAATTTTTGAGAATTGATTTCCATACATATCTTCTATATTTCACATTATTGTAAAGTTTATTTTCGGTTTTGTTACTCCGCAGTATGCATGCGCATTTTACGGTGTCATGTGTCGCTGTTCAGCGAACGAGCTTGTGAGGATACAACGTTGCGAATGCGTTTATGGGAACTCGGGGTCGAACCTGCGTATCGCGCGCTTTCCGCCATTTACCACCAGATGGCGCGCAATCGTCAGCTATACCCTACGCTGGCAGCTGAGGTGCTAAAGTACGCTGGAGCCTCGCAGGCCGCAGCGCGTGTTGTTGCCTTGCGAGCGCTTTACGAGTTACATACATTGCCGGATAGCAATGTGGTTTCACCCCTCTGTTACATACATGTTCCTAAACTTGAGTGCAAGCTGCGGGGTGACGTTCAAAATGATGACGTTGTACTAGTAAGTTCGTGTGTTGTATTTTTAATTTGGTTTTTCGTTTATATAGCGAACTTTTTGTTTATAAATCTTAATAAAATTAATTTAAATTATTTAGAAAATTACTTTAAACTCATTAACATGCTCTATCACGTGATATTTTACTAATTGTATAAGGGATACACTTCATTCTATAATTTAAAATGTAGGGAATCTCTTAGAGATAAATTCAAGGAAATTAATATACTTACCTTTCCCTCGCAATATATTTATGAAAATATTACGTTGACATATACAAAAATAGTGATAGGTTTACTAGAATAGAACATACGCACACTGTTAATACACGGAACAAACGCAGGCTGCAATTTCCCCGTACTAGACTATCTAAAGTTAGTAATTCTTTTTTGGGGAAAGGGATACTCTTCTTTAATAAAATCCCAGAGGCTCTTTTATCTCTGCCTTTCAATAAATTTAAGAAATGTATTAAAGAAAAGCTGTGTAAAAAGGCTTACTATAAAGTCAACGATTATCTAGTTGATAAAAGGGCCTGGGACTAGTGCTAGACAGGCTACTTCTAATCAATTTGCGATATTTGTTTTAAATAAGTGTTGTTTGATGATTTGCTATTTTAAAAGAGTACCGAGAGTTTTTTACGCCGGCTTTTTCTCTCGGCCTACACCCTCCGTCTTCTTTGCCGATGAGTAGGGATGCCTACAAATTCAAATTTAATGACGTGGAATAAGTGATACATGTATCTTATGTTCCATAATAAACATATTTTTTTATTTTACTTGGGTAAAGATAATGATTTATTACATCGCACATAATAAAATAATTAATTACTTATAAATAATTAAAGGCTAAAAAATTATTAGTTAGTGAAGTATTAATACTTAATATATATAATTTGTGCGAATTTGATAATAATAACAACATTTTTTTATATTGTTCTTCACTGGCTTGTCCATAGATAGCGTGGTGCATAGAAACTGGGGTGTCGGGGGCATCAGAGCTCGTCAGTGCTTGGATAGAGCGCAATACTCCGCTATTGTCTAGCAGAGAGCAGCAGTTGGCGCGAGCTGTCTTAGCTTCGCCATATTTTTTGAGAAAGGTCAGTCAGGACAAGGAAATTTGTATTTTTAAACACACCAATTTGACTAGAGCCAAGAAAAGAGCGTAGCAATTCTTAAAAGGCCGTCAGCGCACTCCCGAACTGGCATAGAGAGTGTCCATGGGCGGCGGTTTCACTTAACATTATCTCGAGTCCGTTTGCCCCCTGTTCTAAAAAAAAATATCTGTACGTTTATACAGTCAATATAAATTTATATGTAGAATTAAAATTGTTCAAAAATCACACTAAAAATACCAAGAAAAATAAAATCAGTGGCGCTACTATACATAACCTTTTTGGGTCTGGGCCTCAGATCTCTTTCAGGCCTCAGTATCTGTTTCAATGGCAAGTAGCTAATCAGCCTCCTGTGCCTGACACACGCTGTCGACTTTTTTGTGTCAAAGGCAAGCCGGTTTCCTCACGATGTGTTCCTTTACCGTTCGAGCGAATGTTAAATGCGCAGAACGTCCATTGGTGTACTGCCGGGGATCGAACCTACGACCTCAGGGATGAGAGTCGCACGCTGAAGCCATTAGGCCAACACTGCCCTAAAAATATAATCTAGTAATTATCTTCTAAAACACTTGGTTGTCTATTCAGGTCAGAGTCTAGAATTTAGTCACTTTTATTGCTGCATTTTCCAATTGTTAATATACAATATTTTTTGTGTTAGTGGACAATTCACGTGATCGTAACTGAAAGTTGTCGTTCAACTGGACGTCAACGCAGTATAACACTATGCCAGTACTTGTTCGACGTATCGAGTGAAAATAATTCGGAAAATGAGTCGGATAGGTTATATGCGATGGCCGAGATGCTAGATATTCTGGTGGAGGAAGTTCTTAATGTTGTTGGTGGCCATTCTACGGATTGCAGGAAAGAGGTAATAAAAATATGTTTCTATTTATTTATAGATTTTTCTTTTAATGTAAAAGCTTGCTCCTATTTCACCTTGCCTAGAGTCTGGCTAATGAAAGAAGATAAATGAATTATTTGAAAACTTTCGGATGGCAACACAGAATGGCATTGAATTTCTTAGGTTAGTATGGTTTATTGTCTTGATACTTCATGTAATTCCTAATTGTTATTTCTATTATATATTTTTTCCGATTAGTTAACAGGTATAATAGCCTAAACTTTGTTTTATTTGATAGAATATTTCGTTTCTTTCGCAGGATTTATTCCGAATAAAGTTGTGTTTTATAATAAATATAGTTTTAGTTTTCCATGCAATGCTAGCCATTTTAAGTATCAATAGTAAAAGACTAAATACGTATAGTATTTAATTTCATAGTAATACAGTTACAATTAATGTAAAAAATAATAAAATAAAATCAAGCATCAAGTAAGTTTAATCCACAAAATATATCAAACTTTTAGGGATACCATACTAAAATTATTTGAATTTGCCCCGCTTTTTCGTTATCTTCTTTCATTAGCCAGACTCTAATGAAATAAAACAAATCTTTGTTTTTTGTTTTTTATTATTTATTACTTAAAGACGTCATGTGGAACATGGTGTAATGGTTGCAGCTCCTTACAAACGTTGTGTAAAACAAAGAACTTGGCGATTGAAAAGAGTGACGGAGAGTTTATTGCCAGTTTAACGGATGTAGCTGGATATATTCGGTAGTGGGGCGATTTCCGTCCCCCATTATAACGCGGTATCTTCCCCCTATAACGCGGAGATGTCACAAGTTATATGTCTGTAGTGTGAAATTTATAGTGATTTGTTAAGTCCATAATTAATTTTGCGTACCTTTGCACCTTCAATTGTGTTGTTATAAAATTAAACTAAATAACTTTATTGAATTCGTTGTTTTTACATTATAAACTGTTATAGGGTGATTGTGAGCCGATAGCAGGAATAAGCGCACTAGTATGTGTAGCGTTATGTAGTGGAAACAGCGGGGCGGCGGTAGCTGGGGCGAGGCTAGTGGGTGCACTATCAAGATGTGGGGTCCGTCATCCTGCCGCTATACCAGCAGCGTTATCCGCTGCCCTAGCGTCTCCACTAGCGCCGTCCACAATTGAATTGAAGGTATGATTATTTATAGAACGGGGCAAACAGGGTAAGAAGTTCACCTAATGTTAAACCCCCCCATGTAACGCGCCGTAACGTTTTTCGGTAGTAAACGTTTCGAGACCACCCAGTGACTCTTTAGACCTAAAGTTACCATTATGTGGTGTAAAGTACTGGAAAGTCGAAATAATATTAACAATAACGCTTCATTCAATCCCCGCCCCGCATAACGTAACGTACTTGTAACGTTTTACAAAAAGACCCAGAAAAAATTCGTTACGTAATACTTGAACGTTCCCTTAGACTGATCACCTACTTGCCTATTTGTAACCATGATAGAGAAATCTGAGGGCCAGATCTAAAAGTTGGTAGCGCCATTGATATTTTTATGTTTTCCAGACATTGCGGGTGGAGGCGTTGCGTGACGAAGAAACGCAATGGCAATGCTGTAAAGTTGTCTGTAGTTCTGGTATTGCACCACCACAGTTTCTGGCTAACTTCACACTGGCTGCTGCCGAGGTACGTAAACTGCTTTGCGAATCTATATTCTACATATACATATATATATAAAAATATGAATATAGACCGATTTCGCTAATTCTTTTTTTGTTGTGTTTGTTATTGTCAGGGGAAGGTTTTTATGATAGAAAAAAGTAAGAAAATTGCGCGGAAAATTAGAAAATTAAAGAATACTTAACCACCATTCAATTCAAACTTTTTTGATGTCACCTTATGGCGTTTGACATAACATTGACAGAAGGCGTGTTGCAAATATCGTCAAAGAGGCTCCTTCAAGAAGAGAGCGTGCCATTTCTTAAAAGGCCGGCAACGCACTCGCTAGCTCTCTGGTATTGAGAGTGTCCATGGGCAGCGGTATCACTTAACATCAGGTGAGCCTCCTGCACGCTTGGCCCCTGTTGTTAAAAAAAAAATAGAATAAATCCTGAGAATATACATTTTTAATTAACCTATTCTGAAATAGAAATATATTTATTTTCTTAAAATTAAACTAAATATATATGCAATTTGCAGATTGTCCTAAGTAGTGGACGCGCTGAAACGACGCTCTTGTGTGCGTGTGTTCGTACACTGGCCGCTTTAGTACGCACACACCGGGACATTATCGATAAAATATTGCTTAATGAAGTAAGTTCTAATTTATTTTTCGTGTGATTATTTAAGAAGACACTATCCTAATAGAGTTTATGCAACTGTCACATAATAGAGGGTATTAAAACATGAGTGTAGTTTCAAATATTCGCTAATTTACGTTAAATCTTATGAATTTACAGTCTGTCTCTTTTTACTGCCGCTTTTCCGTTTCATCGACATTCAAACTTTAATTATTTTAGTTTTTAAATTTACATTAAATTAAAAAATTAATTTAGAACAAAGTCTTATACAACATTTAGATACTGAAAAAAGTCTAATTTACATCTTTTTAATTTAAATTATAGAAACTTTTTTAATCATTGTAGTTTTTCGTAATTTTTATTTTTTTCATTATCTTGAAACCACAAAATAGTAGAAGATTTCACTTCTACCACGTGTGAATTACACACATGTTTTTGAAGTTATACTTCTTTAGGCGCCTTATGAAAAATTGATGAGAGTGAAATATTACGATGCGCGCGCACCGTGACACAAAATTATCAGAATGAAGTTGCCCACGGAAGATGCTATGGCATTGGACATGACTAAAAAAAATCGAATAATAATAGAATTTATGTTACTTATGAATTTATTTATTTAATTTTTCAAATGTAAACTAAACTTTTGACTACAATGACTCCTTTTCCAGTCTTTGATTATTTAATTGTAATTAAGTATTTGCATGCAATCCAAAACTATTTTTAATAATGCCAAAGAAGTATAACTTCTTACGCCCGTACATAAGTACACGCACCCTTTTTTTAATTTTTTTTCAACCAAATATACAAAAATGTAAGAAATATTTGTAAATTGAACCTTTTACTTGTATTTTTCAATAAATTTTTCCTTAATACATTTCAGGTGAGTAAACGTATAGCCGAGTTACCCGCACGTAGCTCCGCCAACTCCCGAATTGAACGTGAATTGCGTCGAGAAATCCTCTTATTCCTTGGGCAATGTCCGCTCCAAGCATCAGATAAACTTGTTCGTCACGCTACATATGACATAGACCTGGGAAAGCGTGACATTGCAAGTGCGTTGGAAGCCGCTACCCATACTCCATCATTGAAAGCGGAAGAAGCGCAAAAGATGGCGGATTATCTTTCGAAAATATTGCGCTCTAAAGGACCAAGTGATCCGCCTATTTCTATTTTAATATGGCTGGCTCGGTCTGGGGCAGATTTGCTACCATTTGCGGCCATATTTCCGCAACAGGCTCTCCCTGAGCTTTTTCAGGTGAGTTTTAATTGTTTTTTTACTGTAAGATATTTTAATACTGCCAATAGTGGTCATATAGTGGCATTGGTTAAAGTTTGTGACGACATTCGCCGAGGGATGGATGGTGGGCAACTCACTGTTCTGACTCTGCTTGACTTTAGCAATGCTTTCAATACTGTGAACTTTGAAATTCTGCTTGGGTTGCTTCGCTCGAATATCTGTCCATCCGCTATTGACTGGTTTCATAGCTATCTTAACGGTCGTCGGCAGCGTATTAAAATGAATGATGCTTACTCTCAGTGGAATAATATAAGTGCTGGTGTTCCGCAGGGTGGCGTTTTTTCACCTCTTCTTTTTTCTATCTTTATCAACACCCTGACTGCACGTCTATCCGCTAGTTATCACCTTTACGCTGATGACCTCCAAATCTACGTTCAGTCTACACTGGATGAGCTTCCTCTTGCAATACAGACGATGAATGATGATCTTGAAAACATAGCCAACTGGAGTAAAGACTTTGGTCTTTAAATTAATCCTGCCAAGAGTCAAGTCATCATCATCGGAAGCCCTTTCTTTATTTCAAGAGTCAAATGGGCTCAGCTCCCTGGTGTTTACCTTGACGGTGTGGCCTTGGCCCTCAATAAGACTGTTAAAAACCTTGCGGTCTTCTTCGACCAAACGTTTTCCTGGGGTCATCACGTAAAGGAGATCAGCCGTAAACTTTACGCCGCTTCTTTTACTCTGAAACGTCTTCTAATTTCCTTCCTATCCGCACTAAAACTATGTTAGCGCAGTCTCTTCTGCTTCCTATTCTCGATTATGCGGACTCATGCTCCTCTGATTTGAACGAAGAGCTACTTGACAAGATCGAACGCCTGCAGAATTTCTGCATACGGTTCATATTTGGTCTTAGGAAATATGACCATGTGTCTAAATTCCGCAGGCAGCTGGGGTGACGGCTACCTATTCGATTCAGACGTCACGCTCATCTTCTTTAACTTCTATACTCAATTCTCTTCAATCCGAAAACCCCTTCTTATCTCAAAAATCACTTTAAATTCTTAGGTCCTTCTAACTATATGTTACGCTCTTCTAATAGATGTTTATTGGAAATTCCATCTCACACTTCATCCTTCTTAGGCAATTCATTTACGATCTCCGCCATTAAGTTGTGGAATACGCTGCCCGACTCCGTACGATTGGCTACCTCTCTGTCATCTTTTAAAACTCTTCTGTATAATCATTTCTTAACCTTATCCTATCCTGATCAATCGTGACTTGTATAAATCTTATGTTTCCTTTTACATCACTATTTGCTGTCTATGTATTTGTAAGATTAGCTTTTAAGTTTTTAGTCTGTTGTTAATATTTTTTTTTTTATTACTTTAGATTAAGGTACTATGTGTATATATATATATATATATATATATATATATATATATATATATATATATTTATATAACATTTGTTTCTGCACTTCTCGCACGAATCATGTTTCTTTTTTTTTGTATTGTGTTTGATTTATTGTTTTTTGCAACGAAGTGTTAATAAATAAAAATAAATAAATAAGTGATACGGTCTGTATCTTATTTTCCATTATAAACATATTTTATTTTTATTTTAAATAATTCCATTTTCTGCGTTAAACGATAGTATTAATTGTTGAGGAAGAAATAATTTTATTTATGTGTGCTTGCAAACATGCAAAAGTTACGTAAAAAAGAAGGTAGCCGGAACATCGCCATCTATCCTCTGATTTTTAATTCCGTAGAATTCTGACATTACATAAGTGTTGCTAATAAAACAGTTCTTCACCGAAAATGGGACAAATTTGACTTATTTAAGGGCAATAAAAAAAATGCTCCGTATTTTTTATGTTTGACCTACAAAAAGGTAAATCTAACCTAGACTTTTGACCTACAAAAATAACAAATAATTCAATATCACGAATTATATGGGTGATTCTCTTATAAGAGGTAACTATGATGGCCATCTAATTAAAAGTGTTTTTTTAATCTATACGTTGCTATTTTGTGCAATGAATCACATCACTTTAATGTCCTTTATTAAATAACAATACAATTAAATGTCTAATTAAAGCATATTTTATAAAACTCGTTATATAGTCTAAAAAAGTCTCTACCCTGGCCTGTCCCCTTACCGGTTTCAGCTTAACTAGCATACAATACGTCTTATTTGCCAAAACAAACTATGCTTACCACAAATTTAAGTAAATATACTTAAATATTATTAAAGAAAAATGGAAAAATATTTGCTAGTTTTCAATAATTTTGAAACTTAATTGTTGTCCCGCTTTTTTTGTGTATCTACCCTGGCAATATTCACACCGCTGCTACAATATAAAATATAAGATGGCCACATTCCCAAACTCGCTCATTGACATTTAACAATGTGAAGTTAGCAATACTAAGCACAGAAGCGGTTAGATCGACGCCATTTGCCAGTTGTTGTGACGCGTCCGTGCGATGTAACGGTTTCGCAAGGTCAATGTGTCTCTCCACTGGTAAGTAATGAAAGTTATAATAGTCATTTTATTTATTTGCAATTCCTGTCCTAATTTAGTAATAGTGTAATAGTCAAAGCTTGCTTTATTATTAATTGAAAACTTTCTTGTATAAACCAAAATAATGTATTATGTTATGAAAACGTCTTTCCCCTGGCGTCTTTCCCCTGGTAAGATTACTACCAGGGGAGAGACTTACCGACCAGGGGAGATATGTATCATAGTAATTGTGCCACCTATTTATTGTCTGTGTGTTACACACGCCAATACGAACAGTGTATTTCGCAAGAATGCATCAATTGTAAAAATAAAGGACTTCAATAAAAAGAATTTGATATTAGTAATCAAATTTTTTGCAGAAAGTGGGAATCCAAGACTACCAATATAACTGATCCTAAAACGCATAAGACCAGAAAGGTGACTAAATATTTGAAAAAGGTGATTCAGATTTATCTCTATGATATTAGAAGACAAATTTGACGGTAAGAAAAGCTGTGATTCACGTAGACTTTAGTGAGAATTATTAAACAAATACCTACGCAGAAGAAATTCAAGCATTCTATTTTGGAGGTACACGTCAACAGATAAGTCTGCACACAGTTGTAACTTACACGAAAGAGGTGGCGGTTCGATGTCACGAAATTTGTTACATTCGCCTCCAGCTATATATGGGCACACTTACAGCCAATTTTGAACAGCTTGCCACCAGAAGTAGAGATCCTCCATTTTTGGAGCGATGGACCCATAACACAATATCGCAACAAATACATGTTTTATTTTCTTGTCACTCATTTAATAGAAGTTTACCCAGCTCTTAGAGACTTTACCTGGAATTACCATGAAGCTGGACACGGTAAGGAAGCTCCAGATGGTGTTGGTGCTGTTTGCAAAAGATCAGCCGACCTATTGGTAGCCAGTGGCAAATATATAGCATGTCTGAGCGATTTGTCAGATGCTATTCAGAAAAACTGTCCTAGCATTAATGTTTTCGTTATAAATGACAAAGATATTTTAGACAAAGACGCTTTGCTTGCTAGTGGTAAAACACACCATAAAGACTTTTGCTGGTACTTTGCGCGTCCATCAGTTGTCGTGGAACATTGAAGATCCGACAACATTGAAAATGAAGTCTTTAAGCTACTTTTGCAATGAAGATATACATTGCGATCATTTTAAGCTTGGTGTCATGACATACTCGTCTAATAAAAAATCTCGTCTCCGAGTCGAGGATGTTTACGGCCCTGATTCAGAGTCCGAAAATAAAACTCTATTTGACATTGAACAAATAATAACTTCAAAAGATCGCAAGCACCAAATAAAAATACTCAACAGTCGACATCCAAAGAAACGCTTAAAAACGGCGCATTTAGTCTGATTAATAATAAATATGATAAAAAATGTTGCCTGATTATAAATTTCAAGAACAATCTTTGATAAGAGTTGATTATTTCAATTGTATTCTTTGTTTTATTGCTTCTAATTATCTCCCCTGGTCAAATACGTATCTACCCTGATCTTCATGTCTCTACCCTGCCTGATGTATTTACCCTGGCCCTCTAAAAAGTGACAAAATATGTTTTAAGTAACTTGCCCTTACGTGAGTAGATACATAAACGGGCCAAAAGTCATAATACATATGTATAATGGAAAAACTCCAACTTTTCTCCTTGGCCGTCTCCTCCATAGACGAAAAACCCTTTATATAAGAACTACCCATATATCGAATTAACTTTAATTACTTTATTTAATTCTTTAGCTAGCATCAGCCTATCTTATCCTTTAAAAAAAAAATGTTGTCTTTACTTGTGCGTTTTTTACTGTTTGTGATGAAAAGAAACGTAATTACCATTCGCCGTTAAACCACTTTTAATGCGACTGTGCACTTAATAAAATGTATGTCTATACTCAGATGTTCAGTCTCGTTCAGTCGAAAAATGTGCCCGGCCAAAAAGGTTTGCCATCACTGACATATTATAATCATGAAATAACATGATAGATGGACAAATAATCATGAAACAAATACAAAAATCTGAGGCACAGACCTAAAAAGGTTGTAATGCCACTGATTTATTTATTATTCGTATAACCCTGCCGATTCCCTTTCCGCAAAAATTCTAAACTTGTACATGTATATTTGCTTTAATTATTTGAAATTCCATAGAGCGTAGAACGCGAGCGTAGTGCGGTGACACGTAAAGCGCTGGCAGCGCTCGCGACCGCTGTACTCAAAACTCTACCGCCTGGGGATCAAGAGATGCAGCTGCGTTTTTTACTTACTACTTTCCAAGGCTAGTTATTTTATACTATATGATCTCTTTATGTCGTAAACGTTTTTGTAATATAAAAAAGAAAGAGAAAGAAAAACTTTTTACTGTGTCCATAGTCTACTCTGGCCTCAGTACCTATGTTTTGCGATGTTGGTTTGGTATGTTATAAAGACTTTTAAGTTTTAAACTAATTTAAAAAAAAACTTCAAAGAGAGGAGGTTTATCAGTTTGAGATAATATTTGATGTTATTTAGGCCTTAAATTCAAATTCAAAAATCATTTAATCATATGGGTAACACATTGTACACTTATGACTCGTCAGTAAAGAAATACATATTAATGCTTCTAATTTTACATTTAGTGCCAGTTCTCAAATCAAGTCCGTAGAACGGAAGAGAAGAACTGGCAATAAACTCTCCGCCACTCTTTTTAATCGCCATGTTTTTTTTCAACACGTTTGTGCTGCAACCATTACACCATGTTCCACATGACATCTTAAGTAATTAATAATAATAACATAAATTAAAAACAAAGACTTGTCCTCTATCAGCAGGAGGCATGGTGAAATAGGAGCACTTCGAGGCACGTGTGCTTGATCAGTATATATTTATAGGTTTCTTCACAAATTTGAAGGCTAAAAGTTCAGGTCTAATTCAATTTAGGAAATAGGCCAAATATCCCCTTACAGAGTGTACAACATAACTTTTTTTTTAGATTCAACACAAGAGGGACGCTTAGAAATTCTGTTAGCGGCATCACAAGCAGTTCGCGATGATAGCGTATCTCTACGTGCAGCAATCCTAAAAGCACTTGCAGTCAATGGTGGCTTACACCTGACTTCATCACCTGTATCGTGTGTTCCACCTGCGGATGTCATTAGCTCCCTACTCTCCGGTCCATTACCGCCTGGATTCCCCCATTTTACGACCGCCTCGCTCTTGAAAGCATCTCATCAGATTGTACTGATCTGGTGGTGGAGGCAATCGATGATAATTGCAACTTTGGAAGGTTGCTGAACGTCCTCAATGAGATAAGAGGATCCCCTGGGTTGAGTCGGCGGGTTTGTTCGATCCGGGATGGGATTGTGCCAAGAAAGTTGTTCGCGCTAGAATGTACTGCGCCGGACGCCTTTCAGTTCATCGCTTGGAATGCCGAAGTTTTGATGGAAATAAATTCTGTGGTGAGTAGTGCTGGCGTAGTGACTTCAGCGTGCTGTTATTCAAGTTTAAAAAAAAAACTTATTTTAATTAACTATATTTAATAACTTGAAATGATTAATACAAATAGAGGATTTAAAGTCTCGGAATTAGGATTGAATAAAACAACCGTTCTGGATAAGATCTCAAAGCAGACTGACTGTTTTAGCTTATGATGACTTTAGTATTGTGTTAGCATTAATGCTGACATCTTAGGGGGTATAACAGTGCCACTCTCATCCCTGAGGTCGTAGGTTCGAAATCCGGCTGTGCACCAATGGAGTTTCATTCTGTGTGCGCATTTAACATTCGCTCAAACGGTGAAGGAAAAAGTCGACGGCGTGTGTCAGGCACAAGAGGCTGGCCAACTATTAGATTGAATCTGAGGCCAAGACCTAAAAAGGTTGTAGCGCCATTGATTTTTTTTGGGTAGCCACCCTCGAAGTATTTTGCGTTATTACCGAATAAACAAGTATTATCATAAAAATCTGTCAAGTCGTATCGCAGCGTTACAAGCTGACTCGAGAATTATTTGTATTCAAAAATTTCAGGCAACGATAGAAACAGTTTGTAAATTAATAGAAAGCGTCAAAATTGATGATATCCGAGCGATACGGAATCTCGCGGAATGCGTTCAAAGAGTAAGGCTGGAGAATTCTGATGTGAACAAATTGTATGAAGCAAGCGAGAATTGGCTTAGGAAGCAGAATTTGTGCGAAGTAACGAGAGAACTTAGGAGATATGTGTTTAAGACTGAGCGGTGGGAGGTCGTTCAAGGCGTTCTAGGTATGATAAAGGTGAGTTTATATCCATTTGGTCCACATCATTGCGTTGTACCTCCCAACCGTCGTGCGCTCGAACCACCGCTCATCTTGTGAAGACAATGATGGGGGACAAATCTTTGTTTTTAATTTATTTTATTATTATTTATTGCTTAGGATGTCATGTGGAATATGGTGTAATAGTTGCAGCTCCTTACAAACGTTATCTAAAACAAAAAACTTGGCGATAAAAAGAGGGGTGGAGAGTTTATTGCCAGTTCTTCTCTTCCGTTCTACGCCCTTGATTTCAGAACTAGCAGTAAATGTAAAATTAGAAGCATTTAATGTATATTTCTTTTTTGACGTTCATAAGTGTACATTGTGTTACCTATATGAATAAATGATTTTTGACTTTGTATTATATATAGCATATAAATGTATTTTATACATAATTATTGTTTAGTTTAGTTTTTTATTTTATTTATTTAAAAAAGGCACACACACACGAAACACATAGAAACACATTCATGTGCATCAATGACAAGTGTGCACAACATTTAGAGGTATATATTACAATGATAAAGAGAAAAGAATCAAGTTGATTAAGAAATGCTAATATGTAATTTAAAATTTTTATTTCTACTTTGCAATTGTTATTATTGGTCGACAGTGGCTGCAGCATCTCACGTCTAAAGATATGGAGACTGTCTTAAAATTGATCTGCTTTTTTTTCTCTTGTTTTCAAAAGCTCAGTAAAAATCAGAAATGTCTACCTTCAATAAACACGTTTCATCAATTATTTTCAGGCTACCGGAGTTAAGTCAGACGTAGTGGGAGAAGAAGCGGTTAATTGGGCTAAAGCGGTGCGGGAAATTTACGATGCGGGTATAGAAGGTTATGCCCCACACAAACCCTACTTGATGGATGTTTTGTGCGTTGCTCTACCCGCATTAAATAATCAAGATTTTGAAGAACTGTTTGATGGTATTTTTTTAATTTAATTTATTTTGTTGTTATCGTATCATGAATTGGCGTTCGCTTTTTTTACAATTGAAACTACTTTTTTTACACTAAAATACTTTTATTTTACCATCTTAAAATGTAGGTGTAGACAATAGAGCATCGTTAGTTTACTGGTTAAGGGTTAGATTTAAAAAGAAGGATAACGAGGGGTGTGCGTTCAATCCCAGGCTGGGCGTCTATAGAATATATATATACTGCTCAAAACAATTAGCGGAACAAGATTTTTCTCCTTTCTATTGCTTAAACTAAAATTAGATTTAAATTAACTTGTACGCTATTTTTTACCTTGTTAATTTGTTAATTACTACAATTAATAAAAAAAATCTATTTGTATTTTTTTTATTAAAAAAAAATTAAAATGTGCATTGTACGAAAAACTAATTGGTGATAAAAAAGGTCCATCAAAGAAATATTCTTATATCGTTTGAATATTCGTCTTTAGTGACTTTCAGTAACGTGTGTGGCCTCCATGAGCCCTAATCACGGCTTGACAACGACGCGGCATGCTTCGTATGATCCTCCGAATATCTTCTTGTGGAATTCGCTCCCATTCTTCAATCAACGCTTCAGTGAGCTGCTGCAGTGTTTGAGGTGCAATCGGACGCTTCCGGATGCGCCTGTCAAGCAAGTCCCAAATGTGTTCAATTGGATTTAGGTCAGGGCTCATGGAAGGCCACTCCATTACACGGATTTCCTGCTGTCGTAAGTAATCTGACGTGATGGCTGCAGTATGCGGCCTGGCATTATATTGCATTAAAAGAAAATCTGGGCCCATACCATATGCTGCGGGCCAAACATGATCTTCGAGCACATTTTCAATGTAAGTTTGAGCACACAAGCGCCCGGGAACAACGATGAGATCTGTGCGCTCGTCCAAACTAACTCCGCCCCAAACCATCACAGAGCCACATCCAAATTTGTCATATTCCTGGACTGCTGCTGCACTGTATCGCTCGCCTGGGCGTCTGTAAACACGGAGACGACCATCGCAACGTGTTAGACGGAATCGTGATTCGTCAGTAAAAAGCACTGGCCTCCAATGTCGAAGTTGCCAATTAGCGTGATTTTGCGCGAACTGTCGGCGAGCTTGTCTATGTTGAATTGTTAGACGCACAGCCCGAACTGGTCGGCGTGATCTCAAATTGGCTTCCAACAACCTATTTCTTACCGTCTGGTCGGAAATTTCTACTCTAGTAGCCGTCCTTAGTGTATTTTGTAGATCTCTTGCAGTTGTGGTGCGGTTACGTAAAGCACAGTTGACGATGTAGCGATCTTGCAAACGTGTAGTTTTTCTCTTTCGACCTTGACCACGCCTTCGTGAGTATCCTCCCGTCTCACGGTATCGCTTCCAAAGTCTGTAGATAACAGAAGGGGCTACTCCTAGATCATTTCCTACATAACGCATAGTTCGACCCTCTTCAAGCAAAGCGATAGCTCGGGAGACATGCAATTCAGTCAGATCTGGCATTATGACCTAAACTCACTGAATGAATAACAATACTCAAAAGGCTCACTTCAATTTCTATTAATACTCAAAATATTGAAAAAAACTACTTAAAATGTGTTTTCTGTGATTAGAAAGTAATGAAAATTCAAAGACGTCACTTTGTTTTTCGTCTACAATGCACATTTTAATTTTTTTTAAATAAAAAAAATACAAATTGAATTTTTTTATTAATTGTAGTAATTAACAAATTAACAAGGTAAAAAATATCGTACAAGTTAATTTAAATCTAATTTAAGTTTAAGCAATAGAAAGGAGAAAAATCTTGTTCCGCTAATTGTTTTGAGCAGTATATATTCTACATTATATCGTATATCTATATATATCAGCGTATCCAGAGCTGGATATATTCGGTAGTGGGCTGATCGGTTTTAGAGAAAGCATTGTGGGGTGCCTTTCTAGAACCTAATTTCTTTTTTTTCTGATGATTTTTCTTTTTTTTTTGCACATAGTTGTTGAAAATTTTATTTTATTTTATGTTTATGTTAAAAAATTGATTTTATTTTTAATGTGTGCTTGCATTGTCGTGTGTGTTTTAGTTGTGTTTTTTTTAATTTCTATTTGATTTTTTTACTGAGAAACTTATGCTTGCATTAACTGTCACACATTTTAGATGTGGGATTTTGTGAAATAGTTGGTGGACTTATGACTGTGTGTGATGTTGTGGGCTTTATAACTAAATACATTATATATTCTATGCGAAAGAATTTAAATTGAAAACTTTCACATCTATGACTCAAAATCATCTAAAAAAATTTGAGGTTTCACTAGTGTGACTGCATTATTTTATCTATCTTTAAACAAATACGAACGAACGAGACGAGAAAAGTATTCGCAAATCTTAAGAACACTTCTTTGATAAACCTATGGCGCGTCATTATTCGATGCGTGCGCTCATCACTACGCAACCAGTTCGTAGCGCGGGACGAGGTAGCGCGCGGGAGGACGGGAAGTCCCTTACGGGCTGGCAGCCGCAGTGCGCACCTAAACGATTTCGCCGCAACATTCATGTCCCTCCGATCTTTCGCACCTATTGTAAATTGCCTAGCGCTGAGTACTATACATTTCAGTGTTTTCCCAACAACGATAGCTATAAATCTTATAGACTCTGGCTAGTGAAAGAAGATAACGAAAAAGCGCGGCGAATTAAAAAAAAATAGTATGGTATCTCTAATAGTGTGATATATTTTGTGGATTAAACTTACTTGATACTTGATATATTATTTTTTACATTGATAGTAACTGTATTTCTATGAAATTAAATACTATACGTATTTAGTATTTTACAATTTATTCGGAATATTCAAATCCTGCGAAATAAACGAAATATTCTATCAAATAAAACAAAGTTTAGGCTATTATACCTGTTAACTATTCGGAAAAAATATATAATAGAAATAAAAATGAGTAATTGCATGAAGTATCAAGACAATAACTCAGGGGGGGGCGGCCCCCGGGGGGGCGCGGGGGGGCAACACCCCGGGGCCCCCCCTAGAGGGGGGGAGAGGGGGGGGGGGGAGGGAAGGGGGGGGGGGGGGGGGGGGGGGGGGGGGGGGGGGAGATTTACTCGTACATCCCGCAATATTCTTACCGCGCATATTTGAGCCATTATCATAGCCTTGCCCCTTAAGTTCTTTATGTCCAAATTAATTTCGTTTAGTTTTTCTATTATAAATGACGTTACTCCAGCGCCAGTTGTATCTACGATTGAGCAGAAAGTGCTATTATAAATTGGAAAGCTAGGAAATGCTCTCTTATTCTTAACTTTCTAGTTTACATGTTAAAGTTGACAAATCTTATTATCATACTAATTTGCTCTTCGTGTGAAACGTCAGTAGTACAATCCAGTATTATTGAAAAATATTTATTAATTCGACATAAATTTAAAATAAAATGTTGAATTTGGTTACCGAGTATAAAAAATAGTTCATTTTGGATTTTATCAAGGTATGTCGGCATATTATTGAAATCATAAGACATAAACACACTCAAAAAACTCACGGCGGTCACCAGCGGCCTTTCTTTTGATTCGCTAAGCTCTGAGTAATTAATGTAAACTAAAACCTAAAGCGTAAAATGAAACTTCAAACGTACGTAAGAATATTGTAGTGTAGTATAAATAATTTCGGTGGCGGCGCCCTTATTGTATCAGCGCCTGTGTGCACCGCACACTTCGCACACATGGGCGGCGCGGCCCTGTACTAACCTAAGAAATTCAATGACATTCTGTGTTGCCATCCGAAAGTTTTCAAATAATTCAATTATCTTTTTTCATTAGGCAGACTCTAGAAGACATAATTTTTAAATTAGGAGATCGAAAATGACTATGAAAACAAATGTACTTTCAGATGACGTGAATTTCTGCAAATGGGCTGTTCCGGCGTTGGTATACCTCATAGAGCAGAAAGGAAACGACCAACCACTGAAAAAATCCCAAATCGTGGAACTCCTACCACTGTTATGTAAAGCTCCAGTGGGGATTGTGGATCGATTATGGGCGGATTTCGAATCGAATAGCACATTTGAGGAGAAGATCGAAGCGGCGTTAGTGATTGGCGCTGGTGAAGCTTGTCTATGGGCAGAGAGGATTGTGCTGAAAGACACGCCCCCTCTTCAGATGTTGCAGCTATTACCCCTTCTACCGTCGGATATGCGCCGCCGGTGAGTTCTTCTGTCCCATTACGAAATGCGCACTTTTAAAACAGATTTTTATTTTCAAAGCAAATTCCTATGGTATATAAACGAGATTTAAAATGTTATGGATTTATTAGACATAACATTTATTACTAACAAAACACACACAGACACACAAAATAACAATAATAATAATTTAAAAAAAAGAATGAGAGACAAAATTTTTTTTCTTTTAAACAAGGTACGTTTTAAGTTTAAATAAAAGAAATATTTTTTTTAATTTTCTAGAGAGCTTAATAATTAAATATTCAATCAGGATTTTTTATCAGTGAATGTTTATTTGAAATACCTGTTGCAATAGCTTCTTATTTATTAAAAAAAATAATGAAACAATTCGAGTCTTTAGCGTAACCCTGATTAGTTTTTAAGCGTATCATTGCCATTGGTCAAATTAATTTAATATTACAGTTTTTTTAAACGTGTCTTCCATTAATCTCTCTGAACTATTTTCAATGCTTATTGTTTACCACATTACATCCATTTATTTGATTGACCTAAGTTATGTTCGTAGTTGTTGAAGGGATGTTCAAATAAATTAAATACTATTTTCGAAGCTGATTGTCAACTGTCTTTAATCGTTTAAAACAAGAGCTACATGAAATTAGGGGTAGGGGGCCTCATAGCCTAGCGGTCTTATTAAGTGGCAACTAGTGAGGGGTACCGGGTTCGATTCCCGGTTCGAGGGCAAGTTTTAATTTAATTTAAATTTGTTCTCGGCCTTTGGGAGGGTTGTGCGGTACCGGGCGAGTGCTTAAACCGTACATGGAGGACACGGTCGAATTTCTGAAGACAAGCACGAATTATAAAAAATCCTATACTTGACGCTGGCTAATGCAGAAATCGTGCCAGAGCCATAAAAAAAAATTAGGGGTAGTGGGGTGCGACGCTGGATTAACAAAAAACTGTATCTTTATTTATGGGTTCTTAAAACTAAGAAACAAATTTATCTTTAACGTCTTTAAATGATGTCGACTTTTATGTTACTTTAATTTATGAATGTGAAAAAACTGACGTTTTACAATTTATTGGCTACGAGTGTACGACTATGTATTTGCGTGTTGTTCCCACGCGATTGTAAGTGCGTGCTCCTATTTCACCATGCCTCCTGCTGATAGAGGACAAATCTTTGTTTTTTATTTATTTTATTATTATTTATTACTTAAGATGTCGTGTAAAACATGGTGTAAGGGTTGGAGTTCCTTACAAACGTTGTTGAAAACAAAAAACTTGGCGATTAAAAATAGTGGCGGAGAGTTTATTGCCAGTTTTTCTCTTCTGTTCTACGGCCTTGATTTGAGAACTGGCAGTAAATGTAAAATTAGAAGCATTTAATGTATATTTCTTTTTTGACGTTCATAAGTGTAAAGCGCAACAACTTTTTATTATTAACTAATATATATATACGTAACTTAACTAACAGCTTTAGGTAACATAACATAAACATTTATTTCCTGCTCTCGTAATTCATAAAACGAAAGATTTAATTAATAAAGAATAATTTAAAAAAAAATATATATCATAGTTGTTGGTTATTACTGATTATATAAAATAAAAACAATAAATATACATTTACATTGAATACATTTTTATTACATAAAATAAAAACAATAAATATACAATATATTAAGATGTCGTATCGCATGATTCCAGAGTGGCATCTTCTGCGCTGGCCGCTGCAGGTGTGACAGGAGCAGGGGGCGTGGCCCGTGCCAAAGAGGGCGTGGCTGTTGCAGCAGTGAGGGCGCTACTTGCTGCCACACCTAGCTTGGAACTCGTAGACATTATTGCTACACTCGCTGATGGTAATATACTTCATGGTATTTCTAAATAATTGTTGTCTGATTTGTTCAGGTTATTATTATGTCGTGATTATGAGTCAAAGTTAAATATTAAGATCTTTAACAATTGCAACACCATTTTTCATAATATGAAATATGCTTATACACGGTATTAAACGCTACAAATAAATACTTTGTATCTTTCTTAAATTTGTGTAACTCATGATAATATACCGAAAATGTAATCAATATTTAATAATCTATTTAATGAATAAAAACACGAATTCTTCATCTTTATATCTATATAAATCTGAGCGTGTGTTTGTTATTAAATTCCTAAACGTTTGGACCCATTTTGATAAAACTTCTCGTGGATTCGGTTCAGTTTTTGTGTGCTTTTTTTTGTATTTGACTTATTGATTGATGTACTGACGGACACATCAGGTTACCAGATAACTACATATATTATATTGAGCAGAATTAAAATATTGTGAAGTTGGTTTTTGCAATATTTCAAATTTTTACTATTTATTTTATGGTAACACTGTTTTATATCCACGTTCAGATGAAACGGAATGCGATTGGTTTGAAGCAGCATTATCGCAATGGGCGCGCAACGCAGCCGCAAATGCGTGTGCCGCCTATATCCTAACGCGTCTTCACGAACTTTGTTGGGATGCGCGTACGCGCGGAGTCTTACGTGTTTTGGTTCCTATGCTACGGTAACGCTTCTTTTATATTATAATTAAAAATTATTCTGTTACAGAGAAACATGAATTTCTTACCATGAACTTATAGCTGAAATTATAAGATTTGTCTTTTGAAAGTACCGACTCTTTAAAGACCGGCAACTCACTTGTGAAGCCTCTGGCATTGAGAGTGTATATCACTTAATATCAGATGAGCCTTCTGCCCGTTTGCATCCTGTTCTATAAAAAAATAAAATAATTTTAAAAAATGTTTCAAAAACACTACTAATTCCACTTAATGAAGCTTTCTGAATATATTATGTGTAATAATAACTCTTTATAGTTAACGTTTTAAAGTCTGTGTCCTTTTTTTTTATACTAGAATATACAATTGTGTAACATCATTTATATTAAAAAAAATAAGTGGGGCTATAATCTAAAAGTCTTGACTTCAGATTCCTTATGTTTCGAGTTTTTGAAGTGAAACTTCTTTAGGCGCATGAGGGGAAAATTTTTACGGTTGAAACGCAATAATAATAATATTAGCGTCTCGAAGATGTGCAGCGTTTTTGTCGAAGAATAGAGAGAGAGCGACTGAGACCGATTGAGAGAGAGAGAATTTATGAGATAAATAGTATTTTATATTTTATGCAAAATAATTTATTGATATCTCAAATGACGAATATATAACATATCTTCCTTTTTCCCTCCCTCTAAGTCTCGGAAACCTAAAGTTTTAGATTTGTATAAATATCAAGAAGACTTAAAAATTAGTTTGCCAAAGAATTTTCACTTCTGACATGTGTACTTTGTACGCACGCACTTTTTTTAATGGCAAGTAGCTGATCAATATTCTGTGGCTAGACACGTAGGCCTAAAGCATGCCGATTGGGCGATGGTTTCCTTCACTATACGAGCAAGTGTTACTCGGGCAGAACAAGAAGTCATGTGTCAAATGGTAAACAGCTGCAATTTGAACACGTGACCTCTTTCCGAAGTCTCACACGCAGCCAACTGCACACTTTTATTAATGACAACTTTTACTATTTCCAGGGCAATAGATCCGTCGCTGGTCGAAGACCTTATGTCCCAATGGTCCAATCGTCTCATTGGGGCGATTCGCGTGAAGCCCCGCCCCGGTGGTGATCGACGTGCGTTGATCCGTTGCCTACACGATTACGTACGAGCTCTCACGATCCTTACAATTGCGTTCGAAAGAGTTCCGAGAGCACACCACGAGCGACCTGATGCTAAATTGCACCAGGAATTATCCTCTCAGCCATTTCAACTGGTTCGGGAAGTCAGCACACTCTGTGTTGCGTTGAGACAATCCGTGCGAACTGCTTATGATGATAATCTGCGGGAACTCTGTAGGTGAGTTTAAAGTTTTTAAGATTTAAACAAGATTGTAAAATAGCCTATAAAGAGTCGGAAAAAAAAATATAGTGTAAACTCTTTAAAATTTCAAGGGACAGAGAATTTCTTCCGTAATATGGAGGGAAGAGACAAAAAATCCAAATTTAACCAATTAAAATAATTTTCAATTTTATTACTATCAATAGGTAAATTATTCTAAACACATATATAGATACACGATAGGTGACGGTGGTGCGTTTAGTAACTGAGACCAAAATTTCCTACAGGCAATGTAATCTAAGAATAATGGCACACGTGTTAATACAATTAATAATAACAAAGGCGAGAAGGCTGTTTATGACCTCAGGTGTCTTTCTTAGAAATTTTGGCACTTCAATAGGTTAGTTTTGTAAGCTGATTATAAAAATAATTACACTTAAGTATGTTGTTGATGTCTAAATATGAAAATATTTATTCGTTATAGAGAATGGCTGTAGCGTTATAAAGACTGAATTATGTATGGGTTTTGTGTTAAACCAAACAAATTATTATCTTATTTGTACGTTATAGAGAAGTTTTCGTTAAGACAATTGACGTTATAAAGAAGTAACAATATATACATCTTTGTATTTTTTTATATAACGAAGGGCAAACGGTCTGGAATCTCATCTGATGTTAATTGACTCAAAACTTAGCGATTAAAAAGAGCGGAATGTTTCTTGCCCCTCTAGGCCCTTGACTTGCGAACTGGTAGTAAATGTAAATTTAGAATCAATTTAACATCTTTTCTGTTGACGTGCATAACTGTACTTGTTTACCTATATGAAAAAAGTAAAAAAATCTATAAATCGCATTTTCGTTTCGCCAGAGTGTTTGAGTGCACCAACTTCAAATGTCTAAGTGCGGCGCTGTTCTGCCGCCAAGGGGCATCTTCGACATTCCGTGCTTTACTCGATGATGCCGTATGGGAGCGTCTCGTTCAGACATCCATTTCATTGCCCATCGTCATACAAAGCTACGCTACGCCTAGGCCAGTGGAGACGGCTTCGGTACAATCGCGCGTTTTTCTCTCTACGCTCACTGATGACCCACTTTTGTATGATTTGCATGAAGGAGTTCTTCAGGTATATTATACTTTAAAAAAAATACAGCTTTATTTGGGCGTCCCGCAAGCTCATTTGCTCCCTTATTATATAAAAAAAATATAGTGGTTGCTAAGTTCTTCTGTGGAGCATCGACGACAATTGAATACAGAAGTTTTTGTTTACTTCTAAAGTAATAATAAATGTTTTTATTTACTTCTAATGCAATAATAAAGAAAAAAATCTAGTTAAATAAAGTTTATTTAAATATCACAATTATAAAATGAAAACAATAAAAAAAATAACATTTTTCATTTTAAAATGTTGACTATGCTAACTTCAGGGTGTCGGTTTTTTTGACGGTGTGCGCACGCATCGTCAAATGTATTCATAAATATTTAGTCCCTAGAATAATTGTGTTTCCTTTTTGCGTAGTTTGACGACGTTTGATTTGAAAGTTAAATTATTTTTTAATAATTTTTGCAGACGGAGACAAGCGACGCGGAAATGGTCGGACAAGAAGGTGTGATATGGGTACACGAGTGCGCGAACACGTTATCGATACTCTTACGTCACAGCGTGCGTGCGTTGCCACCGGATCTATACCTGACACCCATACGCGCTGCGCTTGCGACGTCACGCACGCGCCCGCTAAGGTGGCTTCTAGCGCAGGCCGTATGTGACGTACCGTCACTGATAGATACCCTACGTGACGATTTGCTCACTGTCGTACTAGACACGTCAGAAAATGGCCTAAATGCAATACAACTATACGTACTCAGTGTGGTTAAACCCGTTCCGTTGGATGTGACACGAGCGACGGAGGTTTTGACTGCCCTAGTCCTGACTGCGGTGGGATTGGAATCGCGGTCTCCGAGGTTGCTCATAGACACCCTTGAATCGTGGTCGCGCGCTCACGCGGGTTTGGTTTTACCCGACACCTGCTATAAGGAATATGTGGCTGGTAGGATTTTTTCAGTTTTTTAGACCGCTAGGTGATTTTCAGAGTCGAAATATATCGCTAAGGGGCTGTGCAAGTATTACGTAAGCATATTTACTGCAATTTATTTTTTATTTTTATTTATTTACACTTCGTTGCTATATAAGAAACACAATACATAAAAATTATAAGGGATGCAACGGGCGGCCTTATCGCTAATAAGCGATCTCTTCCAGGCAACCCTAATTAAGAGAAAAACTAAAAAAAGACACATGATGCGTGCGAGAAGTGCAGAATCCTTAATCTAAAGTAATACAAAAAAAAATATTAATAACAAACTAAAAACTTAAAAACCAATCTTACAAATACATGAACAGCGAATAGTGATGTAAAAGGAATCATAAGAATTATACAAGTCACGATTGATGAGGATAGGATAAGGTTAAGAAATGATTATACAGAAGAGTTTACCCCCTCTTTAGTACATATAGGTATTAGTATTTTGTAGGAATCCTCGAAAATGCATTTCGTTTTCAAGCAAAGACAATTTGTGGGTAATAATAGTCCCAATTACTACGTATGTCAAAATCTAATCTGGTCAGACAAAAAAAAAAAGTGTGTGTGAAAAAAAAATCTGGAATGAGATCGTACTGAATTCTTATTTTATATACTTACTAGCTTCCCCCGCGAACGTCGTTTCTCCTTAATGTGATTTTACTTAGCCTACCTTTTTAGTATATACCAATATGGAACATTTCTTTGCTACCCCAGAGACTTCAGTTTTCCGAAATGAAAACTTTTTAGGTTTACCTGTGAATTTTTCTTTATACCTCAGAGTTCAAGTCAAAAGTTTTAATTAATAAAAAAAATAGGGGATGATCGTAGAGGGATTAAAATTAAGGGTTATATTATGTATTTTTTAATGCCGCATAGTAAAAACAAACGACACAAAAAATATTATCCAATAAATTTATATTTTTTTGGTTGGACACCTCTTATCACTTAGGAACCCCTAAGTGATAAGAGATAGATAGTAGCCGATTCTCAGGCTTACTGAATATGCACAAAAATGTCATAAGAATCGCTCGTGCCGTTTCGGAGGAGTACGAACATTGTGACACGAGAATTTTATATATATAGAGATGTATGTATACAAAACTATTTCAGTCAATTATTTGCGCTTGCGTATTCACTGGTACTTTTTTGTAGATTCAGGAAGGAAACGCTGGAGTTGTATGTCGGTAATGCGGCGTGTGTGTTCGAGCGGTATTCGCGTGGCCGGACTTGTTGGGGAATTGGGAACGGTGGCGGTGTCGGCTGCGAATGACACGCGCACGCTACGCTCGATTGGAGTGACGTTGGGCAGCGCACTGACGGCGGACGCGGATGTGGCGTCCGACGAGAAAGCGCACAAAGCTATGGTGGCCGTATGTATTTCACCTTTTAAATGCTCATGGTCATATTACGTTAGATTTGTTGGGTCATATTTAGTTCGTTTTTCTGGAGAAAATATGGAAAAAAAAAGTGCGCGCGTACAAAGTACACATGTCAGAAGTGAAACTTCTTTGGCAAACTAATTTTTAAGTCTTGTTCATATTTATACAAATCTAAAACTTTAGATTTCCGAGACTTCGAGGGAGGGAAAAAGAAAGATATGTTAGGAATTTAATGAGTCATGTTGCATTTTAATTTACAGTTCGTCATTTGAGATGTCAATAAATTATTTTGTATAAAATATAAAATACTAATATTTCATAAATTCTCGATACGCAATAATAATTTTAAAAATAGAATTTCCATAAGATATTTAACCCTTCTCACTCTCTCTCAATCATTCTCAATCTCCCTTTTCTTCGACAACAACGCTGCACATATGAGGTTCCGTAAATTTTTTACCATCAGGCGCCTAAAGAAGTTTTACTTCAATAATAATAAAGCGCGTTTCCAATCCTTACAAATATTGAATGTACAGTTCAGATTCTAAATCTTCTTTTTTATTAATTTTCTTCGGTACCATTGATCGGAACGCGTTCACGAGTTCATGAGGCCTTCTCCAGATTTTTCCAAATATTTCTGTCCAACCCTTTCGTTCCATTCGCTTTTAATAATAATAATTTATTTAGTGCAAGAATATGGTACAAAAATGTGTAGGTTCTGCCACACAATGGCGCGCAAATTTGTCTTGAGGAATTTTACATTTTACATTATAAGTCAAAGTCAATTCTTATATGATTTGTATCGTACATATCATATCATACTTTAGCTTCCTGCTAACACTTCTATATCTTCTATCTACCTTTTATAGGGCGTCCTCTTCTCCTTTTTCACCTTCGTCGTTTCCATATAGTCCACCTTTTGTCTGTGCATCTTTATGCCCCGCCTATTGCCACTTCTGTTTAAGGGTATAAATAAATAAGGCATAACTTTTGTTTATTTTTTACAGGTGCGTAAGCAAGGAGGCGCCGGCGCATACCTCACACTCCTTGCGGCTGCCGCATCCGTATATCCAGCTCTTGTTAATGCGGACAATGCCCGGTTAGTTATTATTGTTATGGGACCATGAAATGAATTTGTCTTGTTTTCCAACTTCTACGTTTTTATAAACCATAGTGTATGTTGTCTTCTAACGGGATTACTATACCTATAAAACTTTTTCAAAAGAAGTTCTTTTTTATATGAGTCGGAATATATTATAACATTTAGATAACTCGATTGCTTTGCTACAGTAAATTACTTAGGGTAAATTATTGAAGTGAAAACTTCTTTAGCGGCGTTGTACACTTTTTTTGGAATGGGTAAAAAATTTTAAACTCGCGTCAGGACACGTGACCTAATCGAAATTTCGTAAGACGGATGGACTGTAATATAAATTGTCATGTTTGTGTACGATAGCGCAATAAATAAATATTGTATTCTCCACATAAATGATAGTACTTTTATACTGATAATTAAAGCAATTCGTGCAAAATTATTCCCTAACCATTCCAAAATATCAAAAATGCACAACGTTAATATTCAAGTTTTCACTTCTGTCGGCACTCCCGGTGTGCATACCCGTCGTTTTTTTTATAAAATAGTGTTTCAACGGGTTCAAGCCCCGAAACATCTAACGGTCATCTAAAATCGATTTTCGATGAGACACACATATAACCTTAATTTTTAGGATCGTAACAGATATGGCAACGAAGATAATAGGCCGCGACAAACAGAAATGTCTACGAATACTTTGTGCATTTGCGAAAAACGCGAAGCATAGCGACGAAAAAATCGCGGATATTTTTGACTTGGTGGAGCCGACGGTGTCTTTGACCTGTGATCCTTTGATTATTGATTTGGTGAGTGACAATTGGTTTGTGTACAAATTATGTTGCAATACCTGCAGCTGAGTTTCATTATCGGACGTCAAGGCAGAATACAAAATACCATCCGTATCACCTCGACGTCCGTCGTTCCACAACTGAGCGTTTTCTAAGGCAGTTTTTGCCCCGCACCACCACTATGTGGAACCAGTTGCTCTCTGAAGTATTTCGACTTAGGGTCCTTCAAGAAAAGAGCGAGCCAATTCTTGAAAGGCCAGCAACGCACTTGTGAGCCTTCTGGCAATGTGAGTGTCCATGTCCATCACTTAACATCAGGTGAGCCTTCCCGTTTGCCTTTTTTGAAAGAATATATTATAATAAAACAACACACAACACACTCATGACAAATTTTATTTGTCTGAAAAAGTAGTCGACTGCATACACATATATATATATTTGGACAATATTAGCTTTTTGATAAAGCTGCTATTATTTTTATAAGTGTACCGCGGCCTTACCGTACGCTCGTCAAGCAGCTCGCGACCGCGTCGTAACGATCGCGGCACAAATCGCTACGCCTCTCGCTTCACCAAGTCTTCAACGTGCGGCCTATTTATTGCTCTTCGCAGAGATAACACGTAAGTATTAATTTAGTTAACGAATAACATAGGTTAACGGACCTTATTCATTGTCCGTTGAGTGAACTGGCAAAAGTTCTATTATTTATTAGTGCCTATAGTAGTTAGTTAAGTTTTTGTATTTTTTATTATGTAATTTTGTTATTCCTTTTGTTTCGTCTGTAAATTTTATTCACTTATTATTTACTCTTGTCAATTTAGGGTCGCCTGTTAGGGCAAGAGTGTTTTTATAAATAATTAAAATTAATAAAATATTTTATTTAAGGTTTTAGAAGAAGTTTAGGCTAGGTTATATGCCCATGGACTGTTACGCATGTCATTTCAATAGTTCTACGCTCATACGACATACGAAGGCAAAAATAAAGATTAAGACATATTTAATATTAACATTTCGTAATAGTAACATATATTTTTCTATCTGGGCCTTTAGGGCGAGTTGAGGCTGAGCGTGAAGGGAGAAAGGATGTAGAGCCACCTACGAAACGTCGCGCTGGATGCGTTCACTCTCCAATACTCTCGATGTGGGAGGATATGGCGTGGCGCGAGGTTTTAAGCCGTACAGTCTACGCATTGGATCATACGGATTCTAATATTGTCAAGGGCGCATTGCAAGCACTCTCTAATGCGCTATCTGTTGACGATCACTATACACGGTAATTAAAGACCAATTTTTGTTTTGCTTTTCATTGAATTAAAACGTTTAACTAGGTGTAGGTGAAATCGGCTATTTGACAAGATTTAAAAAAATAAGTTTATTTATTAGTAACTATTCTAAGGGCTAGTTGATCTAGTTCTTAGGGTAGGAAATTAAACACTCCAATGATGACTTGATTCACTATATCAACTAATTCACGTCACTGATTTTACGTAAACATGAGCAAAGGAATTGCCCGTGCGCATGTGTTAAAACTCTTTTATAATCTATTCCGGTTTATAAAAATTATAAACCGTTCGTTTCGAATTTGAAAGTGGAAGAATGTGGAATTAAATTTAAATGAACAGTAAACAGGCTAGGCAAGTAATGAAACGTCATCGATCCAAGTCATTTGCTTAGCTTTTTAATGATCTGACTGAATATCTTTCAGGCCGTTAGTTAAACGGTACCGTTTAGTTAAAAGGCTAGGCTGTTAATTGAACGGCTAATTAAGCTAGTTGGCTGCGATATATCCGTTACAAATAATAATCAAAATTTCCCTCCCTCCCATTTTTCTAATATAAGTTTATATATTATACTTGGCGATTAAAAAGAGTGGCGGAAAGTTTCTTGCCAGTTCTTCTTACCCGCTCTACGCCTTTGACTTGCGAACTGGTAGTAAATGTAAATTTACAATTAATTTAACTTCTTTCTGACAATTCATAAGTGTACTTGTTTACCTACATGAATTGATATATTGAGTTTGAGATTGATATACTTTGCCATTTTTTTGCTTATAAATAAAATCTATTTAATTTCAGATTGTCTGAAACCGTGCTCCTATGTTGTACATTTGGGTCACGTGGCTTCGACGATTTGTTACGTCTCTTCTTCTATGGTGACGAAGAGGCAAATCAAATAGACGTGCTAGAATCTCTGCTAAGCGTGGCACGGGGCTCTGAGGCGGTAACCTGCGTTCTAGCTGGTTCCATAGCGAAGGTTGCAAGAGGATCCGCTGCTGAGAAGGAGAGACTGGTTACGATATTAGCTGAGAACATTGCTTCTGGGCCAGTCATATTGGAATTGTTACACACCCTCGTACCGGCAGGGAGACAGATGGAATACGGCGGAACGGAATCACGTGGGCTTTTAAGGGAGCTAAGGCGACGTGCTACGCTTACTGATGGGGATTATTATACGCTGGGGTAACTATAATGTTAATTATTCCTAATCTATGCTGTGTCCAAAACTTTCCAAGCTTTCTTAGTTTTATAAGCGTGGCGATTTCTTATATCCTCGGAGTTACGCCCCGAGAGTAAAGCCAGACGTAGGCACTCTCTTCAACTGCATTGCATTCATTTTGAAGTCCCCAGTCTGAGACTCCACGTAGTAGAGTTTCAATTGTGTTAACTAAATGAATAAATGATTTTGAATCTTAAATTTTGAATTGGGCATTGTATTTCTTTTATTCGCGACGAGCGCAAACACTACGGGGCGACGCCGGCGCCGGCAACGTCCGAGTTAGGCACATGAAATATAAGACCGGCAGCGCACCCGAGATGAGGTTCCTGGCCGTTTGCCCCGACTTGCATTTTGTCGGGCCAACTTTTTGAAAAAAGCTGATATTTTGACGGGTGAATTTTCGATTAAAAATAGGGTGCTTTTTCGATATTAATTCAAAATAAGATGTTAAAAATAAATATTTCAAATCAAATATATTACAGCGTATTTAGGACATAAAAAGGTAAGGTTTCACCAAATTTCGTGGAAATTTTTTTTTTGCAAAAGATAAAAATAAAAAACCAAAAACTTGAATTTTTCACATAAAATTTGTGGTTATGTGAAAAAAGTGTAAATAAAATAGTATTAGATCTTTTTATTATCTACAACTTTGCCATTTGACGTTTTTCCATAGGATTTTTAGTTTTGCCGGAAATCGAGATAAACCGTTTTTTACCCTTCCCGACCTCAGATCGCCCGTAAATTATTTTTCTTTTCATTTTTATAATATTCTGGCTTCTGCCCTGGTCTACTATGTTTAACAGCAGTTATGTTTTAACAGGAAAATTCCCACAGAGAAGTGCATTCAAACGTCGGTCGAATCGCGTTTTTCAATCAAAGGTACGTTTAAAAACAATATATTTTTAATTGCCAAAAAATATGGATTTTAACTTTTTCTTGTATCATTTTACAGACATGAGCAAGTGCTTCGGGTGGTTATGCGAGTGGGATCGTTGGGGGGAATTGGGCGAGAGATCTTGTCGAGTACCGCAGCTTTGGACTGATAATGATTCTTTTAGACGGGAAATGGAGTCGTATAAAGGTAAATATACGAAATATAGTCGTCGAGTAGTGACGGATCTGACAAATAGTAAACTTTACAGGTACTCCAGTCAAATTATGGCTAAAAACGGGTTAAATAAACATGAGCGAACACAGTTTGGGGATTTTGAGGATCGATAGGGGGGTGTATTCTGAGCATAAATTCCAATTTGAGGGGTTGTACTGAGGTCAGCTCAAGGTCATTTCGATGGAAACGCGTTTAATTCGATATCTCAAGAATGGTTAGTGTTAGGTGAAAAATTGTAGAGACCTTTTCTTTTCCAAACAAAATTTACTAACTTTTTTATCTGAAACTTTTTTTTATAACATTAATATTTTTCAAGTTATAACTCCCGCAAGGCAAAAATTTTACTTTTTTTCAATTTTTCATCGTTTTCTCCCCAACCATTCAATTTTATTAAATTTTACTGATCATCAAAGTGTAGATCTTTTAATTATGAACAATTTTGTACTTAAACTTTTTTCCGTAATGCCAATACCTTCGGAGTTATAGATTACTTTACCGAGCGAAATTCGCGCCATTGTCGCAACGTGTATCCACAGATAAGTTTTTAGGCAACGAGAGTAATAAGACCAGATTCATGTCACTACTGAAAACGGTTCTCATCAAATCAGACATAGAGGTGGAGCAAGCTGTAGAGGATGCGGATGGTCTAATTATCAGTACGGCTAAGAGAATTTCGGCACAATGTGTGAAACAGTTTTAATTATTTATTTACTTCTTACCCAAATTAACCCAAATTAAATACCTAATTTTTAATAGTTTAATCGATTGACCTTTTTATATTGCGACAGTGGCGCGAATTTCGCTCGGTAAAGTAATCTATAACTCCGAAGGTATTGGCATTACGGAAAAAAGTTTAAGAACAAAATTGTTCATAATTAAAAGATCTACACTTTGATGATCGGTAAAATTTAATAAAATTGAATGGTTGGGGAGAAAACGATGAAAAATTGAAAAAAAAGTAAAATTTTTGCTTTGCGGGAGTTATAACTTGAAAAATATTAATGTTATAAAAAAAAGTTTCAGATAAAAAAGTTAGTAAATTTTGTTTGGAAAAGAAAAGGTCTCTACAATTTTTCACCTAACACTAACCAATCTCGAGATATCGAATTAAACGCGTTTCCATCGAAATGACCTTGAGCTGACCTCAGTACAACCCCTCAAATTGGAATTTATGCTCAGAATACACCCCCCTATCGATCATCAAAATCCCCAAACTGTGTTCGCTCATGTTTATTTATTTCGTAATTTGACTGGACTAAGGGCAGCCATTTCAAAATAATATAGTCATGTTGTCATAACTTTTTTAATTCATATTCTGTAATTATGAAAATTGGCATACAAGCAAACAAAAGGGTAGGCTTTGACACAAATTAAAAATAATAACATGAAATTACACAGCTTCCTAGAATAATCACATGTTTTTATCAAATCCGTCACTTTACCGACTGATTAATTTGAAGTTTAAAACACATGGATTTTTTTTTTATTGTAGCCGTAATATTTAGTCAATGATATGATAAAAAGTGGGTTTTGGATTTATTTCAAATCCGACATTGTTCTATCGGATCATTTATTTATTTATTTATTTATTTATTTGCTTAATGGTATTCCTACAGCTACTTACAAGTACTATACAATATTCAAAAAATTACACTATACACAAGAGCCAAAAATGGAATACACATTTAAACATACATAAAACACAGTTACACCTATACAAATACAAAAAATACAAAAAAATTACACAGAATATATGTATGTATGTATGTAAATTCTAAATTCTACGATTCACAGTTCATTACAACATATTTATTATAAAGAAGGAATAACAAAGCCATTCTATCTAATAAAAGATACTAGATTTTTTATATCATTTCTTAGGCATTTTTTAGATACATTAAATATTTCTATTTGCTGGTAATTCCTATTATAATCCGAAGGTATACGATGCATGACTGAGTTACGCAAATAGTTTGAATTAAACCGAGGAATTTTAAATAGTTGCGTTTGCCTTGTATTGTGTGAAGAAGGGGCGTGAAAAAGTAAAAGCGGCAATAAGTCAGGACAGTCAATTAAACCGTTGCAAATAGCGTGTAAAAATATAAGGTCATATTGTTTACGTCGACATTCTAATGATTCAATACCAAAGTACTTGCAGGAATCTATATAGCTACTGTACTTTCGGAATCATGACGATTTCTTTGTGTCAGAGAAGTTCAGTAGGAAATTGTGCTTGCGGTTTTGACTTAAATATATTTAATATGGTTTAGAATAACGGCTAATTTAACTCAAAAGTACGGACGAGAGAAGCTGTGTTGGCCTGGATATCTGGAAGCTGTATCCAGGCTGCTTCACTTGGTAAAATAATTTGCGCTTCGGCTGTCGCCTATCAGTATAATAAAAAAGAGGAATCCAAGAATCGATAAGACTAGCGTTGGCCATCAACGGTGGTGTCTCCTACTCCAAGCACTGGATTCTTAATAATTTAAAAGAAAATTCAGTAGTACCGTGTGTGAGAGTACAGTGCGGACGCGACGCGGTTTTAAAATCAAACTACGTATACCTTCAACATTACACGGGAACACCGATGGTAGGTCCGTTTCCGGTTCGTCTGTCAAAGGGAGCGTTCAAGTAGTTGGAGACTATTGACCCAATTTTCTGTACCCAAGTATAGTAAAACATTTTGTGACCACCCAGTGACTCTTTATACCTAAAAGTTACCATTTTGTAGTGTAAAGTAACGGAAATTCGAAAATAATATTAACAATAACGCGTAATTCAATCGCTTTTGTAACGTTTTACAAGAGGAATATCTAGAGTTGTAGCGCCACGCTTTTTTTATTTGTTCGGAAATATTATACGTATATAGGTTTTAAAACTAAAATATTCATTGAAATCCTAACGTTAGCGCGTTACCACCAACAAACAAACATAAACAAACATAAGTAATTGAGCAGTTTTGGCTTGGATTCAGCAGGCGATTCTCATCCTTGAGGTCGTAGGTTCGATCCAGGCCGTGCACCGCATTCGATGTGCGCATTAACATTCGCTCGAACGGTGAAGGAAACATCGTGAGGACACCAGTTTGCCTTACACCCAAAAAGGTGACGGAGTATGTCAAGCACAGAAGGCTGATCAGTTACTTGCCTATTAGATTGACAAATGATCATGAAACAGATACAGAAATCTGAGGCCCAGACCTAAAAAAACCCAAAGTTGTAGCACCACTAATTTTTTGACGTGATAACGTCTTTAAAATCGTTTTAGTCGGGTGACATGTTCAGAAACTTGTGTCACACCAAAACCTCACGAGCGCGATCGCAGGTATAACGAGAGAGAGACGGACCGATCTCCCGTCTCTCTCACTCTAGCGGCATACAAACGAATGGAGATTTGTATGAATGTATGTATGAAGAAAAATGTATATCATAGTCGAATAAGTAAACTTGTCATTTTACACCCGAAATTTATCATCAAAAGTGTGAATAAAACGATAGATGTAATTTAAAATTTGAAAAAATTGTTATCTTCATTAATTCCTTACTTCCCAAAAACTTATATCACCAATAAGACGTTATCACGTAAACATCTCGATCGTAAACCTACTTTACAAACAACCAATATTTTTTTAATTGTATAGATCTTTTATGCCACTTGTAAGTCGCGGTTTCCTTGTAACTAGGTGAGGTGGGCTGGTTCCGCGCAATGTGGTCAGGACTTGACACTGATAGAGACGCAAGTGGACTCTACCGGCTTCTCTTGGCTGCTGATCGTTGGCCTAGAGATCCCTTCACGTTATCTGCTGTGAGTAGATTCCGATATTTCCGCTTGTTTAAAGTTTATGAACTAACAAAAATTATCTAGAAAATATGATAATATCAATGCCTACAGCTAGACGACGTGTAAGGCTAAAGTTACACGATGCGGTAACGGTGCGGTTATTATGTAGACCTGTAGGGTGCCATACGGGTGTTGCGGTGTGGCAATATATTTTACACCTCCCTGCCTCGTCTCGCAGGACACAAGTCCGGCGCCATGGTGACATGGTATAGTAATTTGTATGTAGAGAGACGCTGCGACACCGCTCCGGCGCCGCACCGCACCGTTACCGCATCGTGTGGCCGCGCTCTAAAATTAAACTTTTGCAAATATTTAAAGAAAAAACTTTTTAACCGGATTAAAGTTATGTATTATTATAAATTTACAATTATTTAACATAATTTTAAATTTATCCGACGTTTCGAGTGCTTTACAGCGTGCGTGGTCATGGTGACTGAAGACAAAAGGTGTTGAATGTCAAAAAGTATCACAGCTGTAGAGAAAGTTGCATTATCTGTATTTATTTCCCCGGAGTTGGTATCGACTAACGACGGTTTTGCAAATATATTTTTTAGTTTGTTATTAGAGTACTATAATAAGGATTACATTAAGTTTGTTATTATTGTATTTAATATTAGTACACGATCTCCGACGGAGTCCAACTTCATCCGTTTGTCTCTCATCTTCGCTACTATTTTCCATCTTCCCAGGTTTCTAGTTGGCCTCCTAATTTTTTCTTCCCACTGGACCATTCCATGTAACCCTTACACACTTCCCTACTTGGTCACTATATTATATAAATTGCAATATTATCATTTTTTTTACATTCCGATACCAATGCAAGTCTGGTGTCTGAGTTCATGGCTGTCGCTGTAATTACGCATTAAATTTATGGCATATGAACCGATAAACACTTCAAGAGTTTCACTGTCGTTACAAATATCACAAGTTTAAATATGATTTTTGTTTGTTAGGTATGGGAACTGGAGATGTGGAAAGACGGTGAATTTTTGCAGGAGTGTAACTGGTTGGAGAGGCGGGACCAAGTTTGTTTGGCACAAACTGCTGCACTTCTTATGATGAGGTTTGTACTGACAAAAATTGTGTTACCAGAAATCCTATAACAGTTATTTAAATATCTGCTTATGATGTAGATTTATTAATTATTTAAAGATAATAATTTGTCGGTATTTGCTTTTTAATAAACAAAATATTTTTACAAAGAATTTTATCCAAGTTTTGTGGTAATTAGTCCACAATTTTATTTACCCCTAGATGCGGCAGAGTGATTCTCCATCGCGGTCCGTCTTGAGCCTCGTATTTTACCTCGCTCCAAGTCTTTCTGACTCTCTTTGCTTCATCTGCAACTGTACGGCGCCAGGTTTGCCTGGGACCGCCACGCTTCCGCTTTCCTTGTGGGTTCCAATCAAGCGCCTGCTTGGGAATATGATTGGGATCCCTTCAGAGTATATGGCCTATTCATTTCCATTTGCGTCGCTTGATCACAATTTTGCTGCACGTTAATCAACACAAAATGTATATAGAGAACACCTCCAAACATAGCACATGATCGTATTAAAGACAAAGTAAAAAAAATCTAAACATGAAGGTTTAGTAAATTCTGTCTGTAGCAGCCATCGCTATTTTAAGCATCGCATTTGGTAACATATAAAAATGCTTCATTTTTTTTTTGCGGCGTTTTTCCAAAAACTTCTGATTTTGACAGCTTAAAAAAAATAAAAAAATAAATCAGTGGCGCTACAACCTCTTTAGGTCTTGGCCTCAGATTTTTGAATCTGTTTTATGATAATTTTTTAAATCTAATCGACAAGTAGGTGATCAGCCTCCAGTGCCTGACACACCCCGTAGACTTTTGGGTCTAAGACCTGCGGTTTCCTTACGATGTTTTCCTTCACCGTTCGAGCAAATGTTAAATGCGCACATAGAAAGAAAGTCCATTGGTGCACAGCCGGGGATCGAACCTACGACCTCAGGTATGAGAGTCGCACGCTGAAGCCACTAGGCCAACACTGCTCTGCAATTTTAGCTGCTTGTCCAACGTTAACAAATAATCAAAGACTGGAAAAGGAGTCATTATAGTCAAGTTCAGTTTACATTTGAAAAATTAAGTAATAAATATTTTTTATCTTACATTAAGTGTAACATAAATTCTATTATTATTCGAATGTTGAAATTATGTCCAATGCCGTAGCATCTTCCGTGGGCAACTTCATTCTGTTAATTTTGTGTCACGGTGCGCGCGCATCGTAAAATTTCACTCTCATCAATTTTTCATAACGCGCCTAAAGAAGTATAACTTCAAAAATATTTCAGATCTCTTCGTTTACAATCAGAAGAACACTCTACTCAACAGGCATCCGCTTTACACGAGAACATGATAGGGTGGTGTTCGCTGGTTAACAGTATTCAAGGTGCACCAGAAAATCTACGAACTACGTTATTCGAAGACGTGATTCGAGTTTGCAGTCAACTGGAGCTGGAGACAATTGACAATGGAATTGAGGAGCTGGTGTCGGCGAAGCGTGGGTTGGCCGTTCTCAGGAATATTCCATTAGAAATGGCTGATACGCTGGAATTCGCCCGTGAGTTTAGAGTCACGAAATTATATAAAACATACATACTAAAAAAAACAATGCGAATGTATATTGTCATATTTTGAATTGAATCTGGTGTATTCCAACAGACCAAGTTTTATCAAAATCGGTGCAGTCGTTTATGAGATTTCGGTGTCCACGCATGTTTGGAGGGTACATGTATATAAGATTTGATATCTTTTTATATGGAATTGAAAATAAACAATTGTGTTTCTCTGAAAACAAGGATATTTATTTTATTATTAACACACTATACTAATTACATTATTCTTAACCTAAATAACAATATAACAATACCAGAAAACAAGGAAACGACATTAAAAGTTTATAATAAAATTATCAATTCCTTTTTACAATTTCACAATCAAACAATTTATTAATAACGATGACTTTTCACTTGTAAAACTTCTTCTTCAAACCAAGATGGCCGATGGCGTCATCTATTACATATTGTTACGAAGACGGGTCGACTGCAATATTTTAGATTTTTTCACTACTTAGAGAACTTTTCAGCAGGCTGAAATGTGATTTCTGACCGTTTCAGGGGAGGGTCAATCACATATTAGAAAATCGCAATTTACAAATTTACCCTAGTTTTCAGGAGCCTGAAACATTTTTTCAGGCCGTTTCAGAACACGTGAGTCGAATGGTACACTTTTCAGGAAACCCGTTTTCAGGCTTTTCAGGCCTGGTTATACCCCTTTGACGAAGGAATGTTTAGAACGAATTTTCTAGGTGTGGGACAAGGACGGAACGATACGGAGAGAGGGAAGATCGGAACCTTCTCGAAGCTAGACCGAGCACTCTAGAACGCCGTACGACAAGGACGGAGCAATGTGCGAAAGAGATAGCTGTACGCACGTTCTAGAATTGGCGGCTAGTTGACTGCCTAGAGAGTTCTCGAACATCGCTCCCAGGGTATATAAGCGAGCCGAAACGCGACCGATTAGTTCAGTTTTGAATGCGATACCAAGCGATAAACACCGGAGTGACAAAGTGCGAATAAGTGAAGAAAAGTGAATACGAGTACTGTGTGAAGTGCGTGTTTAGAGTAATAGTGACAGGTAGTGAATTTGGGAATTAGTTTTTAGTGTTAACAAATTCTTGTAGATTTAATTGAAAATAAACCCTTGAAGAGATTTACGGCTTCTATCCGATCCCTCTAGCTCGTAACATTTTGGTGTCAGAAGTGGGATAGAAAAATGCCAATTACTCGAGGGAGAATCAAGAGGAGTTTGTGGCCGAGTCTCCAGTGCGGAGGGAGTGCAGACAAGGGCACAATCAGCACGCGACGCCGCCCGCGACAAAGTTTCGATGCGAACCGCGGATGGGCGAAAGCAACGATAGCAACATCCTCCTTGCCCTACGACAAATGATGGAAGAACAGGCACGACGTCAAGAGGAACAGGCTCGTCATAGGAGGAACAGGTTCGGCGATTGATGGAGGAACAGGCTCGCCGTCAAGAGGAACAGGCACGCCAAATCGTGGAAGAGCAGGCTCAGACACGTCGTTTGATGGAGGAACAGGCTTGCCGATGGAGAAAGATAGGAGATCTAAAACAAGAAGTAGATAAAAAATCGAGAACTTGGAATCTAATGGATGCAAATTTTCGAAACAGGACAAACGTATTCTCGGATTAGAACAAGAGATGCAGTGCCTGAAGACCAAAGGTGTCGTAACGACTGTAGCACCATCTGGAAATCTGAAAGTACCTCCCTTTGACGGTACATCTTCCTGGGGCGCGTACAAAATACAGTTTGAGACTGTGGCAGAGTCAAACGGGGGAATGACGATAGGCGTCACGCCCTTTTTGGGACTGCGAGATGAAGCCCTCACCATATTAGATACCAAGACAGGTAAAGTGACGTTGAAGCAACTGCTGGATGCCCTAGAATCACGGTACGGAGACGCACATTTAGAGCACGTCTATAGGGCTCAATTAAAGGATAGAATAAGAGACAAATGAAAGTTTGCAAAAATGGGGATGTGAAATAGAGAAGTGGTAGGAAAGCCTTTGCATCCTCACCAGACGTTGCAGACAAGATGGGTCAAGCCCGTCGACGGTATTCGAGACCGTGAAATTCGAAGGTGTGAACTAGGTCACATAAGGACCTCAAGAATGCTCTTGCTCATGCTTGGAAGTGGAAGCATTTTGAAGGATTCTGACCTACCGCATTAGGGCTTCTCGGAAAAACGTAGTTCCCAACGTGGACCCACCTGTTACCTCTGCGGGGAAGTAGGGCATATGAGGTTTTCATGCCCTAAGAGAGATCTCCGAGGTGAAATGAAGACAAGACTGGGAGCCCGATGACGTGGATGTGACTGCCGTGAAAGCGGAGGGAAACGAATAGAAGCCAGGACCACGGGGCGGTGCTGGCCGATTCTGTAAGGAAGGCCCCAAAAGTTATGATCTCTCAAACTCAGGATGGGAATACCATTGTCATCGACGGAGAAGTTAACGGCACTAGGTGTGAGTTAACCCTTGATACTGGAGCTTGGACAGTAATCAGATACCAACTTCTGAAGTCATTTTACAAGAGCCTTTCTGGTGGAAATGTACAGCTCCTTACAGCTACTGGTCAGCACATAACCGTTCGAGGAGAAGGTATCGCTACCTTCAAGATTGGTGGAAGAACATACAGACATAAGGTGGTTAGGACATGTGATGACTGTGTTGATTCATGAAGCATTACAACTGTAAGATTGACCTGAAGAACGGCACATTCAAGTGTGAGATGAAGTAGTTTCCCTAAAAGATAACACATTGAAGAACGGGTACGACGTGTATAGAGCTATATTGAAGATGGTACAGTTAGTAAACAACGAGATATAGTTCAAGCAATACTTGAGGACTGTAAGGAAACCTTGACGAGAGAAGAAATGTCGAAAGCAAAGGGACTATTAAAGACATTTTCTGACATGTTTGCTACACACGATGGAGATCTAGGAGGACAGGTTAGTTAAACATCGAATTGAGACTGGAACCGAAGCACCTATACGTTTAAGACCGCCTACCTGTCGCATTGAAAAGAAATAGACAAGATATGCAGAAATGTCAAACAAAATGTTTTGAAGCATCTTCCAGCCCTTGGTGCTCTCCAGTAGTTTTAGTCAAGAAAAAGGAAAATTTAAGGTTCTGCGTCGACTACCGTCGTCTTAACGATATCACGAAGAAGGACAGTTATCCGTTACCTAGAATAGATGACACCTTGGATACCTTAAGTGGGGGCAAAATGGTTTACAACTTTAGACTTGAAAAGTGGGACTGGCAAGTGGAAATAGACTCAAGTCAAAGAGAAAACAGCGTTCTCACTGGTAAGGACTTGGCAGTTTAAAGTTATGCCTTGGGTTTGCAATGACCTGCCACCTTTGAAAGACTAATGGAAAAAGTACTGTCAGGACTGAAGGAGAAGCCTGTTAGGTACTTGGATATGTAGTCATCATTGGAAAGGATTTTGATGATCACATACGAAATCTGCAACGGGTGCTCTCCAGACTGCATAAAGCCAACCTGAAACTAAGTGCAAAGAAATGTTTATTTTTCAAGAGAGCAGTGAGCTACTTGGGGCACATTATATCAGAGGAGGAGTTCGAACAGACCCTGAGAAGATAGTTGCGGTGAGGATTGGCCAGTACCTAAAGATAAACTGAGTCCGGCTTTTTAGGCTTATGTCTACTACCGAAGATTTGTGAGAAATTTCGCGGAATTGCAAAACCACTTCACAGACTCACCGAACAGAAGAGGAAATTCACATGGATGGAGAGTGTGAAGATGGTTAATGAGCTCAAGAACCGACTGTGAGACTCCAATACTAGGCTACCCGGATCAAGATGGTGAATAGTGGTAGAACAGATGCAGTGGAATTGGCATTGGAGGTGTACTATCACAAGTAAAAGGTGAGCACGAGCAAGTAATAGCCTACTTCAGCAAGTCATTGTCGAAACCAGAACGGAACTACTGTGTCACTCGGAGGGAACTACTGGCTGTGTGAAGACGCTGCAGCACTTCAGTAAATACTTGTAGGTCGCAAGTTCGTCTTAGGACAGATCATGCTGCATTAAATGGCTACTTAGTTCAAGAATCCGGACAAGCTGATGGATCGAACAACTGAAGAGTATGATTTGCTACTGAACATCGCAAGGGCAGAGCCCACGGGACGCAGATGCATGCTCGAAGGCCATGTGAGGAGGATTGCAAACATGTACAAGACACGAAGAGAGAGGTAGCCCATGTAGGAACTAAGGACAGACACCATTTCCAGATTGGTGTGGGAAATTAATTCAGGAAGAGCAACAACAAGATTCTGACATTAACCAATTCTGGACTGGATGAAATCTTTCAGCTATTAAGCCGCGGTGGAATGAGTTGCATACTAGCACCACGACCAAGGTTACTGGGCTCAATGGGATAGCTTAGTTCTTCATTGACGCAATGGGAAAACACTGAGGGGATGATCTCATCTACAGTATGTGCCAGATCCAAGGTTCGCAACACTTGGATGTTTCATGTGGCTCATCGGGCGGACACTTAGGAGTAAAAAGGACTCTTCTGAAAATTAAAGAGTTTTTGGAACATGCCGGAAGATGTGGAAGACTGGATTCGGAAATGTAAGGCTTGTGCAGCAGTCAAAGGCCCACAGACGAGAACTAGAGCTGTATGAAGCAATACATCGGAGCTCCATGGGAGAGGATAGCCGTTGACATAGCTGGACCATTTCCGTTAACAGAAAAAGGAAATAAGTACATCAGGTTTTATGGATTACTTTACGAAGTGGCCCGAAGTGTTCGCTATTCCCAATCAGAGGCAGTTACAGAGTAGAACTTGTAAATGACGTATTCTTGTCGGAGTACCCTTAGAGATTCACAGTTCAGGGGAGAAATTTTGAGAGTCAAGAAGTGCCGACTAATGGGAATTCATAGACCGGACTACTCCATATCACCCACAGTCAGATGGAATGGTGGAACGTTTAATCAAACCTTGGAAAGGCACTTGGCAAAACTGGTGGACAGCCATCAAAAAGACTGGGACAAGTATATTCCATTATTTTTAATGTCATACCGGTCTGCGGTTCATGAAACCACGAATGTTACACCTGCTTTAGCCATGTTTGGGAGACAACTTAGATTACCAGCAGACATTGTAACGGGACGACCACCTGACACCCCGAGAGTGTTACAGAATATGCTGCGGATTTGCGTAATAAACTGCATGAAATCCATGAACACGTACGAGCATCACAAAGCAAAATAAGTGAGACTACGAAGATTAGGTATGACAGAAAGACGAATCGCATAGAATTTAAAGAAGGCTCGCAAGTAGGCTCCATAATCCAACAAACGAGGCAAATCACCAAAGCTTAAGCTGACTGGGTGGTCCATACACGATAATCACGAAGATGAATGACGTTACTTACCGGATAAAGAAAATGAGTGGTTTAAGAAGCAAACCGAAAGTCGTTCACATAAATCGATTGGCTCCCTATAAAGGAAGTAATGATGCTCGGGACGAGCATGTCTAAGGAGGGGGTAGGTACGAAGACGGGTCGACTGCAATTATTTTAGATTTTTTCACTACTTAGAGAACTTTTTCAGCAGGCTGAAATGTGATTTCTGACCGTTTCAGGGGAGGGTCAATCACATATTAGAAAATCGCAATTTACATAATGTTACCCTAGTTTTCAGGAGCCTGAAACATTTTTTTCAGGCCGTTTCAGAACACGTGTAGTCGAATGGTACACTTTTCAGGAAACCCGTTTTCAGGCGTTTTCAGGCCTGGTTTACCCCTTTGACGAAGGAATGTTCTAGAACGAATTTTCTAGGTGTGGGACAAGGACGGAACGACGGAGAGAGAGGGAAGATCGGAACCTTCTCGAAGCTAGACCGAGCACTCTAGAACGCCGTACGACAAGGACGGAGCAATGTGCGAAAGAGATAGTAGTACGCACGTTCTAGAATTGTGCGATCGCTACTCAGTGGCACTGCGCTAGAGAGTTCTCGAACAGCTCCCAGGGTATATGCGAGCCGAAACGCGACCGATTAGTTCAGTTTTGAATGCGATACCAGCGATAAACACCGGAGTGACAAAGTGCGAATATAGTGAAGAAAAGTGAATACGAGTACTGTGTGAAGTGGTGTATGAGTAATTAGTGACAGTGTTTTGTGTTGTATTAGATTTTGGCCAGTTTTTAGTGTTAACAAATTCCTTGAGATTTAATTGAAAATAAACCCTTGAAGAGATTTACGGCTTTTCGATCCCCTAGCTCGTAACAATTCAAAGAAACATGCAAGTTTCTTTACATGTATAATATTAATTTTGATTGTTATCATTTATTGTTATTCGTAATAGTCTAGTACTAATTTAATTTAAAAAAAATGATAAAATCACTTGTTACAGAAGAGAAATGGCGTGAATTGAGTGAAAGATCTAAGGAACCACTTCGTTTGATGCAACTTATATTAAAACTCCAAGCCGATACCGATGGTTCGTATTGTTTTGTATAAGGAATAATATTAATCTATGGTATATTCAGTCCAGGGCCGGATTTAGAGGTGTGGAAACAAAGGAGTGGAGGCCCAAATTATTATCCTTTTTTTTTCAATCATTCATTTATTGTGAATCTACATTCAAGAAACTAGAATATGATTAATTTAGTATTTACCAAACAGAAAATATATCAAAGGAAAAGTTGTTTACTAATCGGAATTTAAAACATTTAATTCCGAAGTCTATTGTGGAGGCCCCTCTTTTGTTGAGGCCCCGGTTGCCCTGAATCCAGCTGTGATGCAGTCTTCAAAAATCTAAAGTTTGACACAGCTCGATATAACACAACGTGGAGACTTGAGACCGAAGCTGACCAAGCTGGAACCCAATATATAATCTCTGTGCAGCAAGCATCAAGCAAAATGATCTCACGAAATTAATATAGAAAAATCTTTAATTAATAATTTTATTATTTGGAATTTCAGTTTTTCATTATGTTTTGAAAATTTACTTATTGTTTCCTAAAACCTATAATTTCAATTTCTTAAGTGAACAAATTTATGTTAAATTAAATATAGTAATATATAAATTAAATTAATTTTGTTACATGATACACTATATTTTATAATAGGTGTGAACAGAGCATTCGTAGAAGAGGCAATGACAAAAATAAAGCAGACCTTAAGTGCCAAAGAGGAGAGTGAGACACGCCCTATACTTGCGACTGTCGCAGAACAACTATTCTGGTTATTTGAGAGAACCACTGGTTAGTAAGTACCACACGGTGGTGAAGTAATTATTATCCTTATTATTTAAGTAAATTTACGAGGCGAATAAATAAAATGATTTTTACACAAACATATTAAGTGCAGCTAGGGAAGTAGTGGCTTGGCGTGGTGGGGTCAGTGACCTCAGGTGAATGACCGAAACGTTAGATTGCGGCCCCCGCTACCCGCAATTGTCACATTTAATATCGAAGTAACTATTAGTAAATAACTATTTTATCGTAGACATATGTGTATAGCACTGTTGGCCCAGTGGCTTCAGCGTGTGACTCGCATCCCTGAGGTCGTAGGTTCGATCCCGGCTGTGCCAATGGACGATCTACGTGCTCATTTAACATTCGCCGGAACAGTGAAGGAAACCGGCTTGCCTTAGTCCCTAAAAATCGATGGCGTATGTCAGGCACAGGAGGCTGATCACCTACTTGCCAATTCCAGAACCATAAAACCAAAAAAAAGGTTGTAGCGCCACAAAATTGTGTTATACCACTTTGCCATTTGGACTCATTAGGCCATCTTTGTCACTACTAAGTACATTTTTTTTAAACAGTCAAACTCAAACTCAAAATATCTTTATTTATATTATAGGTAAAGGGGGAAAAAAAAAAAAAAAAAAAAAAAAAAAAAAAGGGGGGGGGGGGGGGGGCAAGTACACTTATGAACGTCAATTTTTTTTAAATTAATTGTAAATTTACATTTACTACCGGTTCGCAAGGCAAGGGCGTAGAGCGGGAAAGAAGAATTGTCAACAAACTCTACGCCACTCTTTTTAATCGCCAAGTTTTGATATACAAATTGTTTGAACTGGAGCAAATCTATCCTACGTATTATCATTTAAATAAGTCAGTGATAATTCTCTAACTTCACTTGGGAGTTTGTTGTTAAAACGAATGCAATTTCCATATAAGGAGTGGTTTCAATCACTATCAGATTTGATTTGATTTATGGGTCACAATACATAATAGTAAATAAATAATCACGTGATTTTAACACAGCCATGCCACAGTCTTATCAATAAATAATACGTACAAAAAGAGTTGTCTTCGTAAAATGTGCAATTCTAATGAATTCCTAGAATCGAGTTGACGCTCACAGGTGGCAACACAAATACTTAAAAATGGTTTTCAGAAGTGGAAGAGAAGTACAATATATTAAACCAGATGTATGAGACAATAGAGCTAAGTGGGGGAGTTCGCCAAGCGGGGCCTATTGTAGACATTCTTCTATATTGTATGCTGAGATTGCCACAGGAATATCGCCCACAAGCCGTCCTAGATAAGGTATTTGTATAATTACATGATGAAGTTTCTTAGGTGATAAAGGGCGTATATGACAACTTGATGATATGTCCAATAATTATTATTCGAAAACATATTTTTAATTTAGTAAAATTTGATACAAAATATTTTTAGTTGGCCGATCGCCACATTTTTTCAAAGTGAAACTTTTATTACATCGTCTCAAACTTTTTCGTCTGTGTGTAACATGTCGCGTGACGGTCGGCCGCAGAGTAGGGATAAAGTGAAAGGCGCTCGTCATAGCAGCCAAGGCCAATATGGCGGCGCCTATAGTTCGTAGCAGCTGACCGTGTAGTGTATATTATTCATTTGTGCCAGTGCCCCACGCTATTTTGTTTGCTTTGTCAGTGTTTAATGTAAATGTTGTTATTTATTATTGTGAAACTTTTTAAAAAAGCGATTTTTAACTAACTAACTAACTAGCTAACTTTTAGGTATAAAGAGTCACGAGGTGGTCACGAAACGTTTTACATGGGGGGGGTTCAATAATCTCCAAAAATTGCGTGACTTTTAGGTGACGAGGATCTACGCAACGGGTCTGTGGTTTCTTTTGCCGTCGCGGATGGGTTTCGTTATCTCTTCTTTGTTTTTCATTCTTGATAGTTCCTAGAACAGTATTTTTTGATTGATAAATAGTTTTTTGTTTTTGATTGTCCATTTATCGAAGAAAACTAGGATACGGCCAAAAACGCTATTAAAACATTATTATTTTTAGCTGTCAAATGCAAGTAAAGACTTGGAGGAGTACCAGCGTGAAGCAGCACATGAATGTGGGGTGGGAATAGCTCAAATGGAAAATGAATGGGCCCCTCTATTGGCCCTAGTGCGGGACACCCAGCATGACTTATTCCGCATGTGTACTTTGCTCCTTCGAGCTGCATCTTCAGAGGATGGGGAAAGATGGCGTGAGGCCGTTCGTCAAGCTCGTCTTACGTATCCACATAAATTTGACACCTTGTCAGATGGAGGTAATTGTGTACTATTTAAAGAAATGATATAAACACTTAATTTAACTGTTCAGCTGCTATACTAACGATGACTTTAAAGTTTTAGAATTGTTGTATCCAATAACTTAGCTATGGCCGTCCGCAAATATGACGAATTCAGTTAATACATATTTTGGATATCTTAAATCAAGTTATTCTTTTCTGAGTAGGTATATTCATTAAGAGACAATATTTTTTCGTATGTTTACATGTAAAACTCAAGGGTTAGGTTCCACACGGACTCGAAATTAAACAAAAACTGCATTTATAACAAAGGATATATGTACATACTTTATTATCAAAAGTAAGTTCTTAAAATAATTATATGTATATGCCCTTATGAAATTTCTAGTTATTTTTGGTATTTGTGTGTTAGTTATTTTGATAATAATTATAAAACTTTAATATGTAATCAAAATATGTAATGATAAATAATAAATTAAACTTTTGATTCAAACAAACTATCAATTCTAGATTGCTTCGCTTCTTTCTACATACAGATCTTGGTAACACTGATAGGCTGCACAAATTTTGTTATTAACGTTGAAACTTCTCTCAAAATTAGGATAATTTTTTTCAAAAATTTCATGGCATTCTCCAAATTTGCATATGACAAGTGAATTCTCCTATGCCGGAAATCGAAACAAATGTATGCTTGAGGAATAGTGTCAAAACATTGTTCGACGTAACTTTGAACGACGTAAATCGAAACGACGTAAGTCGGGGACTGCCTGCACAAAGAATATCCGTAGACGGTCAAAGGTTAAATAAGAAGCGACTTCATGGGTGACCTGGCCTCGTACGAGAGCGAGAACATTTTCAAGCAATAATCAAACCCTTTTTGAATTTCAGAAATAGCAGAGGACGCAGTACGAACTATAAAAATGGTACAAAAATCGGCGCAAGCAGCTTTAGATGCGCAAGGCGATGGAGTTCTTCTGCCTTTAATAAATCTCAGTCCGGCACTGACTCGTTCTGTATCTGAATCTCCTACACTAGCGTCTCTTCTTGGCTTGCCCCCACACTTACGAGTCTATTACTTCGAGCAGAATGTAGAAGTGTTCGTGGATAGTGCACGGAGGCCGTGCGTACTGTGTGCGCGTTTGACGAACGGGTCCGTTCGCCGTTGGCTGATCAAAGCTGAATCGCCACGAGCTGATCGAGCCGCTTTCGCCGTGGCTCATGCTTTACGTCGCTTGCATCCGTTGAGGGCACAATATGTCGGCAGCTATGTTGTAAGTTTTGGTTTTATGTTGATAATGTAGATATTATATGATACTGGTAAAGTCCAGCATCAACGAGCTCCCAATTCCCAATTGCTCTCGCAGCTTAAGAATTTTCTCGACTCTTCGTCGGGGAGTGGCCTATTTGTGAATCGTATGGGAATAATGTACTGTGATTTAAAATATATGTACATTAGTTTATATATACGTATGTAAAGAAATATTTATATTTCTTAAATTAGATTAATCATTACCTATTTTGTTTTTATAAATGTTCATTTAGTTTTGTTTGTTAGTCTGTGGAAAAGACACTAGTTTTATTTGTCTATGAATGTGTCATTTTTAATTTGAATACGAAGTGTTTGTTATGAGTACATTTTTAATTGATTATGAAAGAAGTAGGATATAAGTGATTTTCAACTGAAGTAGCAAACTCTAAATGTTGTTTCTTAAAAATAAATATTTTTGCGTGACGTAATACTTCCAAAAATTGCGTGACGTAATACTTGAACGCTCCCCAATGAGAATAAAGTTCTTTCAACATATGCCTACTAATTCCATTAATTAAAACAGAACAACCATTGTTTAGGCTAACTGAACTATATTCTCTTCCAGGTCCGAGCACTGACTTCAGACTGCTCCCTAATGGAGTTCCTAGAGGACCACAAGCGCCTAGACGAGCTCGCTTCAAACAATTCAGCGCTAGCTCTACGCGAAGCGATGCGCAAGCGCAGTGCTACCGCTCAGCACTTTCTAGACAAACAGAGAAGATTTACCGAAACTGTAGCAGCCGGTACTGTGCTGACTGCGCTTTTAGGAGTTGGCGATCGGCATCCGCAGAATTTACTCGTGAGCGAAGAAGGGGCGTTGGTGCACGTGGATTGGGCGTGCTCGCCCCGACATGATATGCTGGCCGTTGAACCAACTCCAGTTCGACTCACGCGCAATATGATAGCATTAGCTACTCCTGGTAAGAAATGAACTGACAAATAGTAAACTTTCCAGGGCAGCCATTTCAAAATAATATAATCATGTTAGTTTTTGTCATAACTGTTTTAATTCATATTCTGTTATTATTAAAATTGGCATACAAGCAACAAAAACGATTTGTTTTGTAACAAAATAAAAATAATTACATTAAATTACACAGTTTTCTAGAAAAATCACACGTTTTTATCAAATCCGTCACTTTACCGACTGATTAATTTGAAATTTAAAACACATGTTTTTTTTTAATGTAGCCTTAATATTTAGTCAAAGTAGTATCCAAATATGATAAAAAGGAAATTTTGGATTTTTTTCAAATCCGACATTGTGCTACGATCATCACATTGTTTAGTTTAATGGTAATTATTTTGATTTTAGTTCTAAAATCCAAATGGAAAGTCTTGCAGGGTCCGGTGTACGCGGAGATACGACCTACAACTGTTTAAAAAAGCATACTCAAAGGCCGGCAACGCACTCACAAAAATGCATATCCATGGGCGACCACTGCCTTTTCTGGGCGTCTCGTAGCCTTGTTTGCCCTATATATAAAAAGATATAATATGTGAATTACACAATAGCTCGCCAATATACAATATAATATAAAAGCACGGAAAAACCCGTTCACGAATTTCGATTTTTTTTAAAGTGAAAACTTCTTTAGCGGCTTTGTACACTTTTTTTGGAATGGGTAAAAAATGTTAAACTCGCGTCAGGACACGTGACCTGATTGAAAATTCTTAAGACGGATGGAGAGTAGACAGCTGGCGCGGCGTATTTAATGTAATATAAGTTGTCATGTTTGTGTACGATAGCGCAATAAATAAATATTGTATTCTAGCACATACTTTTATACTGATAATTAAAGGAATTCGTGCAAAATTAATCCCTAACCATTCCAAACTATCAAAAATGCACAACGTTAATATTCAAGTTTTCACGGCACTCCCAGAGTGCAACCCGATTTTGTAAAGCATGTTTTAGACTGAAAGTCTAAAACATGCTTTAATTAAATATTATGGTTTCATTCCAGGACTGGAGAGCCTAATACTGGAATGGAGTGAATTGATTCGGGAATACGCCCCTGAAATGATTGCTACTTTGCGGGTAGTCTATCGATACTTACCTAACTCTCAACTCTTCAAGGTAACATTTATTTTACTATTGATGTGCCTCCGGAAAACATACAGCATTGTATAATGAAGAAGCAATGTATACTTAGCCATGAAGTGCGATACATACCGAGTGAAATAGTTCCGCTTAGATAGAAAAGATGGCGCTGTAATCGCCTCAACTTCATACTTATCTTAACCAGCTAGGACGTTGTCATTTCCACAGTCATAGCGTTGTGTACTTTCGCCGCGTGCGGTCAAAACCGAATCGACTCAATATTAACAGTAAATCGGTGCATAGTCATCTTAAAACCTTATAGATTTTCTAAGTGTTCATAAATTACTAGCAAACCGCATTATATATATATATCACACGTGCGTTATGGAATCCGCGCCGACTCACGATGCCGATGAGGCCGCCGCCGGGGCCGATCAGGCAGGTAGTCTAAAAAGTGTCGAGCAAGGTCAAAAACAAGACAAAGAGGACTCCACGTGCACCAGCAGCGCGTCTGATAGCGACTCGGAGCGTGAGGAACCACCACGAAAGAAAAGGAAACGAGTACCACAGGTAACGGTCGATCCCCGGATCGACGCGTTATATAATCAGGTGAGTTTCCTCACAAATTTTATAGTGCATCAACAATATGTACCCAATGCCAGTGCGTCCAATGACGAGGGTACCTACCAACCTACCAACTACGATAGCGATTTTTTAATTAATCCGTCGACCGAAAATTCGAAATATCTGGACTTGGGGGTAGGTAGCACAAATATTGATGATAAAAAAATTATTAAAACGGCCGATGAAAAACGATTACGTCAGCTCATAAAACTCCAAAATTTCAATACTTCCACGTGGCAACATATTAGATACAAAAAAGCCCTGGTAGATATGCTGGCGTCTCCAGGCTTTTGTAACCTGAAAATTAACGATGAAATATGTTGTCTAAGCAAAGGAAAAGATTTCTTGGCCTCAACAGAGGAAATTATGGCTGCGACCACCCACGCGATCATATGTCAAAGGGAATTACTACAATCTGGATTACAAAAAATCATAGACTGGGCTCATAATAACCCAACGGAATTAAAACCCGATAATCTTTTCACAAAAATATCCGATATTTTTGGTAGTGAATCACCTTCTCTCAAATTGCATGAACAAACCCTGCAAATTGTGTGCGGAAAACGAGCGGAATGTATAGAAACTAGGCGTAAAAGATTAATAAGTGAGATTTCGGATACAGGTATTCAAACTGCGCTTAGTAACATACCTCCTAGCGAGGAATTTTTGTTTGACAAAAATAAGCTCGCGTCCCTCATACAATCCCTCGGTGGGCCGCGATTCTGGCTATCCCCGCCGCAACCTTCAAGAGTAAGAGAGCTTTTTAAACCTAGATACAAAGAATCGTCAGCATCTACATCCAAATACAGACACCAGACACAAAATGTGAAAAATAATTTTCGTGATACCCACAAAAACAACAAACGAAGCGAACATTTAACAGAAAAATTGATAGTCATAAACAACTTAAGAACTACCCGCTTTCTAACAAAGACGGAAAAAAATGACTATCCAACACAATTCAAGGGAGGTTGCTTAACATTTTTCAAAAAACGTTGGCAGGCACTGGGTGCCAACAAATTTATAATTTCCGCAATTACAGGATTCCGCATACCTCTGTACAAGAAACCTCCTTTGTTAATGCCAACAAATCGAATCATAAGTCAATACGCAACCGAACCGTCACCTGCGACATCCCAGGTATTCAAAGAACTCTTGAATCAAGGTATCCTACAAAAAGTTCTCAACAAAACTCCCAGTTTTATATCCAAAATGTTTCTTCGGAAGAAAAGAGACGGCTCGATGCGTCCGATTGTAGATTTGCGAGAACTAAACCAATTCGTGAAGACAAAACATTTTCGTTTAATCTCCCACGGCTCAGTCCCAGACTTTCTTCAACCAGGGGACTGGATGATAAAAATAGATTTATCACAAGCCTATTTCCATCTACCGGCAGCGAGATCGCACCGACCTTTCTTAAGGATCACCTACAAAGGGCAGTTATAAAAAAAAAAAAAAAAAAAAAAAAAAAAAAAAAAAAAAAAAAAAAAAAAAAAAAAAAAAAAAAAAAAAAAAAAAAAAAAAAAAAAAAAAAAAAAAAAAAAAAAAAAAAAAAAAAAAAAAAAAAAAAAAAAAAAAAAAAAAAAAAAAAAAAAAAAAAAAAAAAAAAAAAAAAAAAAAAAAAAAAAAAAAAAAAAAAAAAAAAAAAAAAAAAAAAAAAAAAAAAAAAAAAAAAAAAAAAAAAAAAAAAAAAAAAAAAAAAAAAAAAAAAAAAAAAAAAAAAAAAAAAAAAAAAAAAAAAAAAAAAAAAAAAAAAAAAAAAAAAAAAAAAAAAAAAAAAAAAAAAAAAAAAAAAAAAAAAAAAAAAAAAAAAAAAAAAAAAAAAAAAAAAAAAAAAAAAAAAAAAAAAAAAAAAAAAAAAAAAAAAAAAAAAAAAAAAAAAAAAAAAAAAAAAAAAAAAAAAAAAAAAAAAAAAAAAAAAAAAAAAAAAAAAAAAAAAAAAAAAAAAAAAAAAAAAAAAAAAAAAAAAAAAAAAAAAAAAAAAAAAAAAAAAAAAAAAAAAAAAAAAAAAAAAAAAAAAAAAAAAAAAAAAAAAAAAAAAAAAAAAAAAAAAAAAAAAAAAAAAAAAAAAAAAAAAAAAAAAAAAAAAAAAAAAAAAAAAAAAAAAAAAAAAAAAAAAAAAAAAAAAAAAAAAAAAAAAAAAAAAAAAAAAAAAAAAAAAAAAAAAAAAAAAAAAAAAAAAAAAAAAAAAAAAAAAAAAAAAAAAAAAAAAAAAAAAAAAAAAAAAAAAAAAAAAAAAAAAAAAAAAAAAAAAAAAAAAAAAAAAAAAAAAAAAAAAAAAAAAAAAAAAAAAAAAAAAAAAAAAAAAAAAAAAAAAAAAAAAAAAAAAAAAAAAAAAAAAAAAAAAAAAAAAAAAAAAAAAAAAAAAAAAAAAAAAAAAAAAAAAAAAAAAAAAAAAAAAAAAAAAAAAAAAAAAAAAAAAAAAAAAAAAAAAAAAAAAAAAAAAAAAAAAAAAAAAAAAAAAAAAAAAAAAAAAAAAAAAAAAAAAAAAAAAAAAAAAAAAAAAAAAAAAAAAAAAAAAAAAAAAAAAAAAAAAAAAAAAAAAAAAAAAAAAAAAAAAAAAAAAAAAAAAAAAAAAAAAAAAAAAAAAAAAAAAAAAAAAAAAAAAAAAAAAAAAAAAAAAAAAAAAAAAAAAAAAAAAAAAAAAAAAAAAAAAAAAAAAAAAAAAAAAAAAAAAAAAAAAAAAAAAAAAAAAAAAAAAAAAAAAAAAAAAAAAAAAAAAAAAAAAAAAAAAAAAAAAAAAAAAAAAAAAAAAAAAAAAAAAAAAAAAAAAAAAAAAAAAAAAAAAAAAAAAAAAAAAAAAAAAAAAAAAAAAAAAAAAAAAAAAAAAAAAAAAAAAAAAAAAAAAAAAAAAAAAAAAAAAAAAAAAAAAAAAAAAAAAAAAAAAAAAAAAAAAAAAAAAAAAAAAAAAAAAAAAAGGGAAAAAAAGGGGGGGGAAAAAAAAAAAAAAAAAAAAAAAAAAAAAAAAAAAAAAAAAAAAAAAAAAAAAAAAAAAAAAAAAAAAAAAAAAAAAAAAAAAAAAAAAAAAAAAAAAAAAAAAAAAAAAAAAAAAAAAAAAAAAAAAAAAAAAAAAAAAAAAAAAAAAAAAAAAAAAAAAAAAAAAAAAAAAAAAAAAAAAAAAAAAAAAAAAAAAAAAAAAAAAAAAAAAAAAAAAAAAAAAAAAAAAAAAAAAAAAAAAAAAAAAAAAAAAAAAAAAAAAAAAAAAAAAAAAAAAAAAAACAAAAAAAAAAAAAAAAAAAAAAAAAAAAAAAAAAAAAGAAAAAAAAAAAAAAAAAAAAAAAAAAAAAAAAAAAAAAAAAAAAAAAAAAAAAAAAAAAAAAAAAAAAAAAAAAAAAAAAAAAAAAAAAAAAAAAAAAAAAAAAAAAAAAAAAAAAAAAAACGAAATGACATGCCTTCCTTTTGGGCTAGCGTCAGCACCACACCTTTTCTCTGCAGTATCATGTTGGGTCGCGGAGACCTTACGTGCGAAGGGATGTCGAGTGCTAGTCTTCCTAGACGACTACCTTCTGGTCAACCAAGACCACTCCAAGTTATGTGCTCAGGCCTCGGAGGCCGTGAGACACTTGGAACACCTGGGTTGGAAAATCAATTACCAAAAATCCGTATTGGTACCAACCCAAAATTTAGAATACCTTGGAATTCGTTGGAATACAACGGACAATGTGATGTCGCTACCCAAGGTATACAGCGCATAAACCATACAGTAGAACGGACGCTGTCAAAAAATCGCATCAACCTCCGCGAGTTACAAAGTCTGCTAGGGCAACTAAACTTCGCAAACTTTGTCGTGCCCCGCGGGAGGCTTCATTGTCGCCAGGTACAGATTTTTCTGCGACACTTCAACAAGATGCGACCTCGTCGATGTCAACTGCTGCCTCAGATTGTAGTGCAGGAACTGATGTGGTGGCTCGGAGCTACTCATCAGACGACACCTATACACAAAGAACCTGCAACCCACTTCCTAGCGACGGACGCTTCGGATTGGGGTTGGGGGGCACATCTAGACGGGAACCTTATGTCAGGAAAATGGTCATACCAACAGAAAAGGTGGCACTACAACAAAAAAGGAACTATATGCAGTGATAGCCGCAATAAAAATAAATGTGAAAATATTACAAAACACACACGTATTAATACAATCGGACAACCGAACTCTGATTGCATACATTCAAAAAGAAGGTGGAACGAAATCGATAGGGTTACTGACACTAACCTTCAAGTTATTGCACCTGACGGACAAATTCAACATAACTCTGTCGGCACATTACCTACCAGGGAGATACAACATCATAGCAGACAGATTATCAAGGGGAAAAAAAGCCTGCAGAATGGCACCTTCTTCCTCAAGCAACAGCCGAGATCTTTCGGAAGTGGGGACATCCGGAGATAGACCTATTTGCAACAAAGGAGACTGCAGTAGTAAGAAACTACGTATCAATAAATTGCAGAGATCGATCCGCAAATTACATAGATGCCTTCAGCAGAACATGGCATTATCGTCTAGCATGGGTGTTCCCCCTCCAAGTCTGTTACCCAGAGTTTTAGCACACCTGAACCGGGCGACGGGAACCTATCTGATAGTTGCTCCAGATTGGCCGCGAGGTTTCTGGCTTCAGGACCTGAAATCCAGATCTCTAGATCACCCCCACGAAATTCAACACCTATCGGAGACACTCATAGATATGACAACTGCACTGCCTCCTCCACAAATACAAGCATTGACCTTAAAAGTTTGGAAAATTGGGGGTGGGGTGCCCAAATAAAAGACTGGTCCAAACAGGAAAAAGATCTACTTTTGAAGAGTTGGCGTCACTCCACCTTGTCCACCTATTTACCCGCAATCAAAAGATGGCTCTCATGGTGTGACAACTCTCAAGTGAACCCAAAATCCCCTCAACCAGCCGATATTGCAAAAATTTTAATGTCTCTTTTTCTAAAAGAAAATTTATCCTATGCAACCATCCTTGTTCACAAATCGGCAATTTTAACTTTTTGCGGTCCCCATGTAGAACAACAAACATTTTCAAATTTTATTATTAAACACACCCTCAGGGCAATAGGAGTAGCTAAACCAAAAGTCGTGAAATCATCCGTCACGTGGGACCCGCGGATAGTACTAGACTGGCTTTCTTCCAACCCTCCTAAGGACACTTTATTCGATACGGCTCGCAGAGCAGCCACTGTATTGCTTTTAGCATCGGGCCGTAGGGTTCACGATTTAACTTTATTAAAAATTACTGACGAGCATTTCGTGGATGATGGTGATAACATTTATTTAACACCGACATTCGGATCTAAGACAGACACACACTCAAGACGCCAGTCAACATGGAAGCTTTCTAAACACCACGATAAAAACATATGCCCTGTCACTTTAGTTAGACTCCAAATAGCTATGAGTCATACAAGAAGATCCCAAGTAAAAAATTTAAACAATATTTTCATATCCATTAACAACAAAATAAAACCTGCTTCGCGAACCATAATCGGATATTGGGTGCGCACGGTTCTCAAAGATAGTGGAATCTATGCATCTCCAGGGAGTTGTAGGGCAGCAGTAGCTTCTTTGGGTTGGGTCGAAAATCAACCAATAGATGATATTTTAGCACGGGGTAATTGGAAATCTTCAAATACATTTTTTAATCATTACTGCCGCGAGATAGACTCTCGTAAAGAAAAATGCAGCTCTTTCTTTAATACATTTGCACCATCGTAATTATAGAAATACCTTGTTGTGATTATAGGAAGTTTATATTATAATGTTAATTGTAAATCTCAATCAAAATAGTTATATTTATACCGTAACCAACAATAATAATTGTACTTATGCTTTGATTAAGAATATTGGCAAGTAAATAAAATAGTTATATAAACAATAACGTCTTTAGCTAAAGCCTGACTTTCACTCTTCTTTATACATCCACCAGCAGATAACAAACACGTCTTCATTATACAATGCTGTATGTTTTCCGGAGGCACATCAATATGACGGTTTTACATAAAAATAAAACCGATATTATGTGCTGAGAAGGAAAACATACAGCATTGTAGGAAGTTCTTCCTGGTGAAGACTCTATGACTGTGGAAATGACTACGTCCTAGCTGGTAAAGATAAGTATGAAGTTGAGGCGATTACAGCGCCATCTATTCTATCTAAGCGGAACTATTTCACTCGGTATGTATCGCACTTCATGGCTAAGTATACATTGCTTCTTCATTATACAATGCTGTAGTTTTCCTTCTCGGCACATAATATCGGTTTTATTTTTATGTAAAACCGTCATATTATAAGGGAAATCTATATTCTTAAAATTATTGAATTTCAATTAGACAGTCAATTGCACTTTTTGTCTCTTTCCGTCAAAGTGTGTTTACACCGTGGTGTAGAGATGATATGAAGATATGATATCACTCGATGAGTAGCATTGATATTGATACATTAGAGTTACTTCAAAGTTCTAGTTAAAGTTACCAATAACGATAACTTTGAATTTGTCTAATTAATTAGACGATTGATAGTGTACGAGTATTTCGCCAATGTATTTCGACTAAATATTTTAAAAATTTGGTTTTTTAATGAATTTTTCATTTAACTATAGTGAAAATCTTCCCGGAAGTCATTTTTTTTTACGAAATAGTATTTTTTAAGTATCAAATCCTAATAAATGGAAAAAAAAATCATGTGCAGCTGGAAATGATGGAGCAGCTCGTGCGTGGTCAGCGTGTCAGCCATCAGCTGCCGTTGCAGCATTTAAAGCATCAGCAAAGGCGATGTGATTCTCTCGAATCCGTTCTTGCTGATCGATTCCAAGACTTTCCTGACAAGGAATCATATTCGGTACAAGAGCAGGTAACAATTAAAAAAAAATACAAACTTGCAGTTCCACCAGTTCCACCAGAATGTATAGAAACTAGGCGTAAAAGATTAATAAGTGAGATTTCGGATACAGGTATTCAAACTGCGCTTAGTAACATAGCGAGGAATTTTTGTTTGACAAAAATAAGCTCGCGTCCCTCATACAATCCCTCGGTGGGCCGCGATTCTGGCTATCCCCGCCGCAACCTTCAAGAGTAAGAGAGCTTTTTAAACCTAGATACAAAGAATCGTCAGCATCTACATCCAAATACAGACACCAGACACAAAATGTGAAAAATAATTTTCGTGATACCCACAAAAACAACAAACGAAGCGAACATTTAACAGAAAAATTGATAGTCATAAACAACTTAAGAACTACCCGCTTTCTAACAAAGACGGAAAAAAATGACTATCCAACACAATTCAAGGGAGGTTGCTTAACATTTTTCAAAAAACGTTGGCAGGCACTGGGTGCCAACAAATTTATAATTTCCGCAATTACAGGATTCCGCATACCTCTGTACAAGAAACCTCCTTTGTTAATGCCAACAAATCGAATCATAAGTCAATACGCAACCGAACCGTCACCTGCGACATCCCAGGTATTCAAAGAACTCTTGAATCAAGGTATCCTACAAAAAGTTCTCAACAAAACTCCCAGTTTTATATCCAAAATGTTTCTTCGGAAGAAAAGCGACGGCTCGATGCGTCCGATTGTAGATTTGCGAGAACTAAACCAATTCGTGAAGACAAAACATTTTCGTTTAATCTCCCACGGCTCAGTCCCAGACTTTCTTCAACCAGGGGACTGGATGATAAAAATAGATTTATCACAAGCCTATTTCCATCTACCGGCAGCGAGATCGCACCGACCTTTCTTAAGGATCACCTACAAAGGGCAGTTATACGAAATGACATGCCTTCCTTTTGGGCTAGCGTCAGCACCACACCTTTTCTCTGCAGTATCATGTTGGGTCGCGGAGACCTTACGTGCGAAGGGATGTCGAGTGCTAGTCTTCCTAGACGACTACCTTCTGGTCAACCAAGACCACTCCAAGTTATGTGCTCAGGCCTCGGAGGCCGTGAGACACTTGGAACACCTGGGTTGGAAAATCAATTACCAAAAATCCGTATTGGTACCAACCCAAAATTTAGAATACCTTGGAATTCGTTGGAATACAACGGACAATGTGATGTCGCTACCCAAGGTATACAGCGCATAAACCATACAGTAGAACGGACGCTGTCAAAAAATCGCATCAACCTCCGCGAGTTACAAAGTCTGCTAGGGCAACTAAACTTCGCAAACTTTGTCGTGCCCCGCGGGAGGCTTCATTGTCGCCAGGTACAGATTTTTCTGCGACACTTCAACAAGATGCGACCTCGTCGATGTCAACTGCTGCCTCAGATTGTAGTGCAGGAACTGATGTGGTGGCTCGGAGCTACTCATCAGACGACACCTATACACAAAGAACCTGCAACCCACTTCCTAGCGACGGACGCTTCGGATTGGGGTTGGGGGGCACATCTAGACGGGAACCTTATGTCAGGAAAATGGTTATACCAACAGAAAAGGTGGCACTACAACAAAAAGGAACTATATGCAGTGATAGCCGCAATAAAAATAAATGTGAAAATATTACAAAACACACACGTATTAATACAATCGGACAACCGAACTCTGATTGCATACATTCAAAAAGAAGGTGGAACGAAATCGATAGGGTTACTGACACTAACCTTCAAGTTATTGCACCTGACGGACAAATTCAACATAACTCTGTCGGCACATTACTTACCAGGGAGATACAACATCATAGCAGACAGATTATCAAGGGGAAAAAAAGCCTGCAGAATGGCACCTTCTTCCTCAAGCAACAGCCGAGATCTTTCGGAAGTGGGGATATCCGGAGATAGACCTATTTGCAACAAAGGAGACTGCAGTAGTAAGAAACTACGTATCAATAAATTGCAGAGATCGATCCGCAAATTACATAGATGCCTTCAGCAGAACATGGCATTATCCTCTAGCATGGGTGTTCCCCCCTCCAAGTCTGTTACCCAGAGTTTTAGCACACCTGAACCGGGCGACGGGAACCTATCTGATAGTTGCTCCAGATTGGCCGCGAGGTTTCTGGCTTCAGGACCTGAAATCCAGATCTCTAGATCACCCCCACGAAATTCAACACCTATCGGAGACTCTCATAGATATGACAACTGCACTGCCTCCTCCACAAATACAAGCATTGACCTTAAAAGTTTGGAAAATTGGGGGTGGGGTGCCCAAATAAAAGACTGGTCCAAACAGGAAAAAGATCTACTTTTGAAGAGTTGGCGTCACTCCACCTTGTCCACCTATTTACCCGCAATCAAAAGATGGCTCTCATGGTGTGACAACTCTCAAGTGAACCCAAAATCCCCTCAACCAGCCGATATTGCAAAAATTTTAATGTCTCTTTTTCTAAAAGAAAATTTATCCTATGCAACCATCCTTGTTCACAAATCGGCAATTTTAACTTTTTGCGGTCCCCATGTAGAACAACAAACATTTTCAAATTTTATTATTAAACACACCCTCAGGGCAATAGGAGTAGCTAAACCAAAAGTCGTGAAATCATCCGTCACGTGGGACCCGCGGATAGTACTAGACTGGCTTTCTTCCAACCCTCCTAAGGACACTTTATTCGATACGGCTCGCAGAGCAGCCACTGTATTGCTTTTAGCATCGGGCCGTAGGGTTCACGATTTAACTTTATTAAAAATTACTGACGAGCATTTCGTGGATGATGGTGATAACATTTATTTAACACCGACATTCGGATCTAAGACAGACACACACTCAAGACGCCAGTCAACATGGAAGCTTTCTAAACACCACGATAAAAACATGGGTGGTTCTTCCTGGTGAAGACTCTATGACTGTGGAAATGACTACGTCCTAGCTGGTAAAGATAAGTATGAAGTTGAGGCGATTACAGCGCCATCTATTCTATCTAAGCGGAACTATTTCACTCGGTATGTATCGCACTTCATGGCTAAGTATACATTGCTTCTTCATTATACAATGCTGTATGTTTTCCTTCTCGGCACATAATATCGGTTTTATTTTTATGTAAAACCGTCATATTAAAAGGGAAATCTATATTCTTAAAATTATTGAATTTCAATTAGACAGTCAATTGCACTTTTTGTCTCTTTCCGTCAAAGTGTGTTTACACCGTGGTGTAGAGATGATATGAAGATATGATATCACTCGATGAGTAGCATTGATATTGATACATTAGAGTTACTTCAAAGTTCTAGTTAAAGTTACCAATAACGATAACTTTGAATTTGTCTAATTAATTAGACGATTGATAGTGTACGAGTATTTCGCCAATGTATTTCGACTAAATATTTTAAAAATTTGGTTTTTTAATGAATTTTTCATTTAACTATAATGAAAATCTTCCCGGAAGTCATTTTTTTTTTACGAAATAGTATTTTTTAAGTATCAAATCCTAATAAATGGAAAAAAAAAATCATGTGCAGCTGGAAATGATGCAGCTCGTGCGTGGTCAGCGTGTCAGCCATCAGCTGCCGTTGCAGCATTTAAAGCATCAGCAAAGGCGATGTGCTTCTCTCGAATCCGTTCTCGCTGATCTATTCCATGACTTTCCTGACAAGGAATCATATTCGGTACAAGAGCAGGTAACAATTAAAAAAAAATACAAACTTGCAGTTCCACCAGTCTCTGATGTTCTTATTTGGTGATTACGTCATGAGTAATTATTCACCTTTTTACACATATTAACCACATTGTCTAAGCTTGAAAACGAAGTGCGGTTTCGAGGATTCCTACAAAAAATTATACGTATATGTACTGAAGGAGGGATAAATTGCAGTAAATCTGCTTACGCAATACTTGAACGGCCCCCAAGTAGGTGATCAGCCTCCAGTGCCTGACACAAGCCGTTGACTTTTTGGGTCTAAGGCAATCCAGTTTCCTCACGATGTTTTCCTTCACCGTTCGAGCAAATGTTAAATGCGCACATAGAAAGAAAGTCTATTAGTGCACAGCCGGGAATTGAACCTACGACCTCAGGGGTGAGAGTCGCACGCTGAAGCCATTAGGCCAACACTGCTCCAAGATAATACTACTCAGTTATGCTAAAATTATGTTATGGCAGGCGTGAAATAGTCACGATTTGGATTTATGAAAATGTCAACGAACTATGCTTGAATTACTTTTTTGTATAGAGTAATTTGTAATAACTTACTTACTTATGCTTACAGGTATCAAGCCTCCTGCGCATGAGCACAGAGCCGCGAATATTGGCGCTCACGAGACCAACTTGGCAACCCAATATGTGATTATTTGTTTCTTATTTCTGTAAGTGTTTAATAAAGTTTGTGAAAAATATCTTGTTTTATTTAAAACTGAGTGTGTAATGGTGAATGTGGTAAATCACAGAACAGCTTTTTTTTTTAACTTATGTAACTTTAATGACGTTGTGGTTTATGACATTTCCTTTGAATAATTGTAATGTAAAGGGAGGGCAAAACTTGCTGAGTTTCTTGCCTGTTCTTCGTCTGGCGTAGTCTTGCCCTTTCGTGAATTTTGTAAACGTTGTTGACATTCATAAGCATGCTCTAAGAAGCATCTAAATTGAATAAACGTATTTTGATTTTTTTGATTTGATTTGTTTTAAATGGAATGTGTTGACTGAAATCCAAAATAAATTCCTTTGATTTTTTAAAATTAAGGTTTGTAGAATATTTATAATTATATTAAACCTCAGAGCTCTCGAATAGTTGTCACGTGAAAACATAAACAGTTTGATGGCAGTATGTGAATAAAAAAATTAAATAAATAAATATTTATTATTGTTATCTTACATTAAGTGTAACATAAATTCTATTATTATTCGAATGTTGTTTTTAAATTATGTCCAATGCCGTAGCATCTTCCGTGGGCAACTTCATTTTGTTAATTTTGTGTCACGGTAATAACTTCAAAAAATCCTAATTTAAAATTTCTTTATTCAATAACAAATTACATTATTATTCCAAGTCAGGGAGACCTTTACACCAGGTTACTCCGAGGTCTTCAATTGGCATGCCTGAGGTGTGTACTATTATTATTATATATTAATAATTATATATTATTATTGTATTGTACTATACAAAGCGTCCAATCACAACACGTCTTTCTGTTTGATAGATACGTTGAAAACTGCCATGACTCTGGCCAATTGTATTGCTAAAATAATAATAATATACAATTTCCTTATAAAAAATTAAATTAATCGCGCATCGTAAAAAAAACTCTCATAATTTTTCCCAAAAGAAAAAAAAAACTTTAATAAACGTTTATTACGTAAAAGGATATTTAGTTTCACTAGGATTCACTGTGTGGTTGATATAACTTGAAATAATAATACTTTCCGTTTCAGCATAGGATAGGTTGAGAAGATGTTGTTTAAGTTTGTTAGTGAATGTGTAAAGTTTCGAATCGTTAGTGAAAATATGGTTTTTCCGAAAGTGCGTTGGGGGTAGCTCATATTTAGTTTGTGTTGTATATCATGTGGTTTAGTCGGTGTTTGTCTCCCGAAAAATCTGCATATTGACATTAAATGTAGTTATCTAACCGTTAAAAACCTTGATTGTATTTGCATCAGAATGTCTATGGCGTTTGAACACAGTATAAGTTTGTGAACTCGAGAACAGAGTTTATTTAAAAGCCCCAATAAAGCCTCGAATCAATCATGAGTCCTAGGTATTTAGTTGTTTTAATAAAACAGTTTATGTTCAATATTTTTTTAATTACCTCATAAATATAAAAACCAAATTAAGACGAACTCTTGGAGAATAATATTTAGACTGAAAAACTCCTTACCATAAAAAAATAATTAATGACGTTCGCAGAGAAGCATTCTCAATAGTTAATCATTAATTATTTATCGTTCTAAAAATTGTATGGCGTTGAAGAGATTTCGTGCCGTCAATCATTAAATCGATGGTTTTACGTACGCGACAATTATCACGCTAATTAATTCACGTCCTGACTAATTTGCTGGATGCAAAATTATTCATAAACGATTTAATACGATAAATAATTTATATGTAAAATATACTTTAGTATAATCGTATTAAATCTATGCGTATTTAGTTGTTTGTCTGTGTAAATAATAATTCACAAAAAATACATACTCTATCCTTACAGTACTAAACCATCTACTTACTATATATATATATATATATATATAATATAAATATATATATATAATATTAATTACATAAGAAACGCAAAAAGCGCTACTAAGAATATATTAAAATGTCAATACCGACAGTATTCATTAAAGTCGTGGTAAGTTAAGAGGGACTAATTACCGACTTCAGAATGTATGACTAACCGTTTATTTGCTTATAAAGAGCAAAAACGGAACTGTTACTGCTTCTGTCTCAAGGGAGGTAAATTGAAATTAGGCACAAGAGTAGACGTGATTATAAACAATCGGAAAATTGTTTCAATTTTTTTAAATTCTTATATTCTGTCTTGTCTTTGTGGCTCATATTCCTTTCGGTTATCTGCGAATATTTATATATGGTAATAATGAATATTTATTGAACATATGTAAAATAATGAAATTATAAAAAAGAAATAATAAAACTATAATAAAACTTGATTAAGTACGAGTACATGCTCATTACCTATATATAATACTAGCCGTATCCCGCCCGCTTCGCTGGAAAAATAGGAAATAAATAAAATTTTATGTTTCATTATTATATTTTTTTTCATATTTTTACTAACTTCCTGCTAAGAAAATTGAAAATTTTCGAAAATCGAGTTATTAACAGATGTTGACGTTTTGAGGCTCTAGGAAGCCTCCCCGAATGTTTCCGCGTGAAGTCCGGATGTATAAATTTTCATAAAAGTAAAACATCAATAAAAAAATGAAGGAAAGTTGGAATTTAAAAAATTAATAGCCATAAACCATCTAGGAAAATCAGTGGTTTAGGCGTGAAGGAAGCCTCAAACGAAGAGCATTTTTCTTATATACATAGATATATATGTAAATTTGGGAAGCAAGCCACGTGCTTTGCATAAAATTTTAAACATCCTAAATAACGTTTTTTTAAATTTATATGCGTGGGGAGACATTACCCAATAGGTATATGGTATACAAAGTGAATTCTTATATTAACATGTTTATAGATAAGATGGGACCGAATTTATAGTTTTATATCTATTTATTTGTGGCTTAGAGATAGCGGATAATCCGAAAACTACAGTTCACTTCCTAACGAAGCAATATTGGTTTTGTGCTCCTAGTCAAAGAGTCACCAACTAAACTAGATAAAAAAATAATTAAAATTGAGGCAGAATTGTCTCTGATATAAGGTTTTATTTAAGTAAATATGACGTGTATTCATAATAATAGATATTTATTTCAGCACACAAATATACATTATTTTCATTACTTAAGGCCCTATCCCAGCACGAATTGCTGTGTCAGTGTCTCGGGGTGGACTGCGAGGCGCAATGGAGAGCTGTAGCACAGAAGCGTAATAACAATTAGTTATGTAAAACATTAAATGAATCTGATTCTACAATTTTTTTTCTGAAATGGTTAACTTGGCTTGCGATAAAATATATCGTGTAAATTTCAAAATTATGTTCTATATACATTTTCGTCATAAAATGAATTCCAAGTGTCAAAACTTGGCTATGTTTGGATTTTTTTCTATCGAGCAAAGTTATTTAAATCGTGTATCGATCTTTCAAAATGGGTACATAAACTACTCAACTCCACCATATATTTTTTCCCTACTTCAAGAAACGATGACGAAAAATGGAAAGAAACAATGTCCTTTCTTGGAGTTTGGCGACCAGATAGGTTCTTAACCTAAATAGTTTTTAAGAAAGGGGAGATTTCGACACTCCCCTGCTGCTTAGCCACTCGGTCACATATCTGCCTGATTGCGTGTCTGATAGGCTAGGATGTAGGGGTCCCTGTATATAAAAAAAAACTAAATAGTTATAATAAATAATTAAAAATTAATAAATAGATAATCGACACAAATTTAAAAAGTTTATACAAATAAATGATAAATTAAATAGAGATATTCAATGGGCAACAACAGAATCGTTTCACCAAATCGCCTATGATTGTTCATGCTATACACAGCCTCTTGACGTGCTCCTATCACTTGAGCAAGACTCGACTTGTATCAAATATCGAACAACCCAGTTACAAGTATCGAGAAATTCTGTGGAAATTCCTCCCGTAATGTGAGCTAACGTGTCGTCAGTCTCCCGGAGACCGAATTCGATTAATGTTTGAAACCTCTCGCTGCATCGAGTGACGTCTAATCGAATTACAATGCACGTTTTGCTGCACCAAAAACTTACCTGAGTCTTATAACATGAGCCAAATGAACAAATTTATAACAAAATTACGAATAATCGTTTTACTTTATTTTATTTATTCACACTTCGTTGCAATAAAAATAAAACAAACACACATAACACAATACATAAAAATTATAAGGAATGCAACGGGCAGCCTTAACGCTAATAAGCGATCTCTTCCAGGCAACCCTAGTAAGAGAAAAACTAAAAAAATAAACATGATGAGTGCAAGAAGTGCAAAACCAAATGTTATATAAAAAAATACAGAACCTTAATCTAAAGTAATCCAATAGAGCAGTGTAATCACCTACTTCTTTTTTTTTTCCTTTATGGCTCTGGCACGGTTTGTGCATTAGCCAGCGTCAAGTATAAGATTTTTATAATTCGTGCTTTTTGCCTTAGAAATTCGACCATGTCCTCCATGTACGGTTTAAGCACTCGCCCGGTACCGCACAACCCTCCCAAAGGCCGAGAACAAATTTAAATTAAATTAAAACTTGCCCTCGAACCACTTGCCACTTAATAAGACCGCTAGGCTGTAAGGCCCTCAAATCACCTACTTAAAAAAAAAAAGATCAGGGGAAAGATACAGAAAAGTATGCAGCACCACAGGTTTAATAAGTATTTGTATCTTACTATGATAATATAATGTTGATATATTTTTTAATCTGACAACAAAAGACTGTATATTAACTGACACTTCTGACAATATTTGCTCCTGGCTGTTTAATGTTTTGGTTGGGGGATGCATTTCCCGACACGCTTTGCGAATTCTGTTTTCGATCCTCACAAGGGACTGTCATTCAAACAGATATTCTCCCTGCAATTTCAGCCCTTTTAACCATGATCTCGGCAATCTACCATGTTTAATGGTAACACAACGGAAATTCGGTTTTATTAAGCACGATGGGGGTCTATGTAAATTGGTGTTGTGAGTTTCAACTAGACGCTATTC